CTCTCTCACCCATCCTCGTCAACATGACGCTGCAACTCGAAGTCTCTCTCTGGTGAGTGGTCAATAGGGTGCGTTCGTTGAGCTGTGTGGGTGGGCAATGCGGCGAGTTGGAGGTGTGCGGGGATGGGGATGGTGGGTGGTGCGGCGACTTGCTGTTCCGAGGGTCGATAACCCTACAATCCCCACCGCCTTGCTTGGCTGGTGGTCGGCGGGCAAACAAACACCCATCCACCTCATCCAACAGCCCCGCCTACCATCATCTGCCACACCTCATCCCCACAGCAAAAAGAACACACCCATCCAACGGGTTCACCCGTTCACCTGTCACAAGAGTATCACGCTCTCACGTGGTCACGCCTCGTCACATTAGAGCATCAAGCATCGGGTCATTACGTCGGACGCAAACGAGTTCATAGTCTGTGTATCATAACACTCGTCCTCAGGTGTACCCACCGCTGCGCACTAAGGCTTGGCGTGCCCTCCAAAGTGTGTTAGATTAGGAAGGACGAACGAAGCATCCACTCTGACATTCTCGCACGTCAAACAATCAAAAGCCCACACCAAGCGCAGCAAACACACCACAAGTCGACATGGGCAAGCGGTCAACAGTATGCAAGTTTCCAGTGGCACGGATAAAGAAAATCATGCAGGCCGATGAGGACGTTGGCAAAGTTGCTGCCGCCACACCTGTGGCTGTCTGTGAGTCGGGGACTCTGTTGTCGTCTCCGGGAAAGATGGTTGAAGGCGGGCTGAAGTTGGGGTAGGAGAAAATTGGAGATGTGACACAGGAGGTCGTGATGAACCTGGGAATAAGAAAAGCCCCTGCTTACACATTCTCTCCCTTTCGGTTCCATGCATCAAGGCAAAGCCCTGGAACTTTTCATGGAGAACATCATGGAGGAGGCAGTGAAAGAAGCGCGATCAAAAGGCTCGAAAAAAGTCACTGCATACCATCTGTGAGTTGCCTTAAGGGTAAGGTGCATTTTTCCAGGGTATCGGCACAAGAGCCCTGACAACTTTTCCGTATTCTTCGGGCAGAAAACGGACAGTTCACCGAAACGAAACGTTCGACTTTCTGAAAGAGATCGTCTCCAAGGTCGCCGATCCAACGGAAACCACGACTGAAGGTGACACGCGTGGCGGAAAGCGGCGGAAAACTTCGAACACTGTAGGCAAGGCGACTGTTGGGCCAAGCGGATCAACAAGTGCCTCTGGCGGAGCATCTACCGCTGGGGATGAAGGAGACGATGATGACGATGATGACGACTGAAACACCGTCTACCAACACAAAATAATTTGTATTTTTACGGCATTGTACTTTTTGGGATAGCAAGCTTTCCCGATGGCACGTACGCATTGGCCCACTCTCTGTCATGCGGGAGGAGACCCCCGTGTTGTGCGAATGGGACTGTCATTCTAGCGCAAAAGACAGATGCACTTGGTCAAGGGAGCAGGTCTATGGTTTCATTTCGCGCATCTACCCTTGTGTATCCTTCTTCTTCTTGTCCTTCTTTCCTTTCCTCTGCTCCAGAGCCATGATCTGTCTCTTGATCTCACCCTCCATGTTCATCGTATTGTAGTACGCCGGCGCGTATTCAACGAGCCATTCGAGCCTCACATCCGTAATTGTACGGACGTAATTCCGCGTCGTGAGCACAAACTCGTGGTAGAGCAAGTACTCGGGCGAATGCGAGAGACAAGAAGAAGGGTGCGGAGAGACTATTTGGTTGTCCTTGATCGTTGTGTAGGACCCCTTGGATCCGCCTTCCTTGTGGGCTACTTGCATGAAGAAACCACAGGTAAGCGCACGTTGGATATTCGTGTAGTAGTCTTTCGAGCTAAAGTCGGTCGAGACGAGGTCTAGATCGAACCGCTCCATAGTACGTTGCAATTGAGAGCGCACATTGTCCGCTTGGATAAGTGAACGATGAGACAGGTAGTTTTGCCAGCACCAGTTCGATCCGGTTGACGGGTCGGGACAGTCTATGCGCGGGAGAGAAGGTAGGTCAGCGCTGAATTGAGCATTCTTTGTCGATGAAACTGTCACTTACTCGTCTTGTACGCATGATAGACGTTGAGCAAGGTGAGGTGGTCTCCATCTGGGTGCGCAAACTCGGCTCTCGCCGCATCCGCCTGCTGCTTGGCAAAATTAGGCCGAAGAAAGACATTCGGCACGGAGAGCATGGCAGCGATGGTGAGGATCTCGTTCGAGCAGCGGAACTCTGGGCTGACAATCAACATCTTCGATAGCTGAGGATCCAAGGGGAACTCGGCCATGATCTCTCCCAATGGCGTCAGGTTGCCTTCATCGTCAAAGGCGCCGAGGTACTGCAAATCAAGGCCAGGTTGAATGGTCAGGATCGCTCAATTGACTAGCAAAGGGAGCGAGACACTCACATTTAACAGCTCAAGCGCACGCATAATTGTCTCTGGCGCAGGCGGGTCCATGTAGTCGAAAGTGACGAGGTTGTCCACGCCGAGCTTCTTAAGTTCCAATACTGTATTGGCCAAGTTGCTCCTGAGGATCTCCGGGTACGTCTGCTCGATGAGCTCGCTGATGAAGTCCTTCTCCGTGTACAGCCTGAAGCATTTGCCAGGTCGTGTACGTCCTGCTCGTCCTGCTCGCTGTTGCGCCGATGCCTTGGAGATGGGTGAGACGAGGAGCGATTCGACTCTGATGCGCGGATTATACACTTTCTGCTTGCTGAATCCAGGGTCGACGACGTAAACAATTCCATCGATTGTCAGTGATGTCTCAGCGATATTGGTCGAAATGACGACTTTGCGGCCAGGTGGCCCGCCTTCGTACAGTGCGGCTGGGGCTGGCTCGAAAATGCGCTGCTGTTGAGCTGGCGGCAGTGACGAGTATAGCGGCACCACCTTAAGTGGGCCACAGAGATCAGGCGACTTGCTAGCCAGGTCATCCGCCTCCGCTTTGATCTTCCGACAGGCATCTTCAATTTCCTCCTCTCCCGTCAAGAACACCAGAATATCGCCTGGGTCCTCTGCTTGGTGAATCATCAAGACAGTGCGTATGGCAGCCTCTAGGTAATCTGGCTCGGGTTCTTGCGTGTAGAATGTCTCGACTGGGAACGTTCGTCCCGGCACCCGAAGAAGCGGCGCATCGTTGAAATACTTTTGAAACTTGAGTGCATCAAGTGTTGCACTCATCACGATGAGCTTGAGGTCTTTACGCCGAGCTGTGATCTCCTTAAGCAATCCCATGAGAATATCGGTTGCCAGTGTCCTTTCGTGCGCTTCATCCAAGATGATGCAGCTATATCGTTCGAGATTGTGGTCGTTCATCGCTTCGCGCAAAAGCATACCATCCGTCATGTACTTGAGAAATGTAGTACGTCTGTCCGTTGCGTCTTCAAAACGGATAGTGTAGCCGACTTCCTTGCCCAGAGATACGTCCATCTCTTCTGCCACACGCTTTGCGACAGACATGGCGGCTACACGACGCGGCTGTGTGCAGGCAATCATACGCGGCGCGAGGACGCCATCAGGTCCTTTGACTTTGCGAGTCTGTGGCAGATCGGAATAGGCGACGAATTGAGGGATCCTGAGAAGCAGAACGAGCCATATATCAGCATTTAAGGAGAAATAGTGCGCCAAAGAAGTCGTCGACTCATGGAACTCACTGTGTGGTCTTGCCACTCCCCGTCTCGCCAATCATAACCATTGTCTGACTCTCCTGGAACTTCTCGTAGAATTCGTCCATCTGAGCGTACACCGGAAGTTCCTTCCTTTTATTCAGAATATCCTTGTATTTCTTCGAGAATGGTGTAGGGGTAATCGAGAATGGATTGATGCCGCCTTCCATCACTGACCTGACCTGCGAGCCCACCACTTGCCGCGGGATGAACCCATCGAGTGGGTTGCCACTCCTGCCGTTGGCCAGCGGTCCGGCCCCTCTCTCAGAGCCCTCTGCATCTCCCCTAGTGAAACGCTGCTCTGGAGGCAAGTGCGAAAGGTAGGGGTTCTCTTTGGCTGCGGAGTGAACAGGCTTGCTGGGCGGTGGACCGGGAGGCGCAGCTGCGCTACTGCCGCCGCCGTTCTCCATCTTGCTTCGCTTGGCGGGTCGGTCGCTGCTCGCCATTGGTAGAAATATGAAGTTGGCTGCTCTTCGGATATTTCACTCTTCGTCTCAGTCGATTCTTGAGCTGTATTCGAGTCGCGTTACTATGGCAATACTCAACAGCTCGAAGCCGAGATGGATGTTCAGGCGATGCAGTTTCATTGCAGCTTTTTGACACAGCAACATTCAACCATTTTATTGCAGCTTCTTGACCCTGAAGGACACCTTGGGCGCAAATTTTTTGATGATGCAAAGTGTGCGTCCAATTAGGGTTGAGACCACACGGAAGAGCCCCGATTCTAGTTCAGGTGAAGCGAAACTAATGTGACAGTCAGTACACTCTCGATCTCCTAACCCCTCCGCCAATTCCGTGATGGCGCTTCTCCGTCCTCGGAGTGTGGGGCTTTCTTTCACTTGATTGCCTTTCTTCTCCCAGCTGTTTGCTGCGTTGAAGAGAACGGGAGAGAGATAGAGAGAGAGAGACTATTGGGAGTGGCGAGCAGAAGCCCATGCATTTATATTCAAATCAGTCAATGCTTCAAGCCCTTTGCTCATCTGCCTGTGCTGAGCGTGCTTTCCACCCAAGTCGACCACCGGCTTGCAGCCAAGACGCAACTCGAGCTCCAAAATGGACACCTCGCCGTCAGCGCCATACCAGCGTCCCATCTCGTCTTCTTCACCTTCGAGCCTATTACTCAAGCCGAGATCCTCCTCTTGCTGCTGGAAGCGCTGCAGGTTTCAACTACTACCACCGGTTCCTTCACCTTCCGCTCCTCTCGTCCTTGGGGAATGTTGCCCTGCTATCGACGATCTATCCCGCTGCCCTCTGTCGTTCGATTGGCATTTATCGACTCTACTTCAACCGATTGCGCAAGAACCTCGGGTCAACTAATGAAGCTCTGTTTAAATAGAGCTTGGTATCGGTGTAGCTGTTCAGCGTCGTCACTATATCCCCGCCTTGCAAAGGCAATACAGCGACCCGGTCCGCACATGTTTTTGAGAGCCCCCGCTCAATGACCCCGAAACCACCCCGTCATGCTTGGCGCCAAATCCACAGTGCTGAAATGGCCGTGGCCCACAGGAGTCCACGCTGGTTTGCCAAAGCGAAGCTTGGCCTTGTATGCTAGGGTCGACATTCATGATGATGCGGTATGAAGAAGGATCTGGGATATGTGCTTTAAGTCGACTGCCTCGAATGTTTATGAATCAGGTTTGACCAAGTTAAAGAAGGAGCTGATGCTGAGCCTGGAGGAGTACGTCGAAAAAGATATCAAGATCGACAAGGGGGTTGCTTTTATCTCTTCCGACGAGTGGCACCACAACCTTTTTGTTAGCAACGAGTTCACCTCATTAATATGCGGCATTCTCCCTGTGGCCTCGGATATGATATCTTTTGTCGGCTTATTTCACAACATTGACTTATCAGCAAGGGAGGGCTCTCACGCCCAATTTTCTTCTTGGAAAAAGCCGTTGAGATGTTTAACGTCGTTAACGGTGTGTCTTACATGGCTCACATAGCTCAGTACTTTCTAAATTCTGCCCTCGAGTTCAATCAGTTTATGTTGCCTGCGCTGGAGGACAGGATCAACAGAGGAATGAGTGAGCCTGATGTAATGAGCTACTTGCTTGGAGAGAATAATAAACGGGCTAAAAACATACCAAGGAAGAGGTGAGTATCAGGCGCCCTCTTGATGCACTGATTGTAGCTGGATAACTTGACCCTTATTCCCGTTGCAATTCAACTCAATGTAGGCTCAATATTTGTCACAGGATCAGTCCAACTTCTGTCTCCCGGGCAATGGCAATATTCAAACTCGCGCACAACCCGCAAGTCCTCAGAAAAGTCGCAAAAAAGATCGATGGGGTCGTCGACAGTGAGTTCTTGTTCTGCCCTTGAGCGCAGCCGAAGACACGCGCTAAGATACTTCACAAGCGAAACCTGCTGAAGATCTCGGCAAGCTTTCAAATGCCAGTATCTGAATATAGTCATCAACGAAGCCCTCCGCCGCTACCTATCCGTCATGAGTGGCTTGCAGCACTTCACGCCTCCTGAGGGAATATTCGTTAATGGCAGGCACATTCCTATGAAAGTTCGTCGCGATCCCAAGGTACACGATCCACCGCGACGGGCGCAATGTTGGCTCGCCGAATACTGTCATGCCCACACGCTGGATGAACTCAAAGCCTGTTGGAAACGACAACGTCAAGGCTTTCAACCCATGCTCGTACAGATCGACTGGCTATATTAGCAAACAACTGGAATTGAGGGAGACAAGGTCCGTCATCGTGGCCTACTCGCAAATATTCCCAAGTAAACTAGCAACTGGCCTCAAATCCGACGGCTGGCTCGAGAAGTATTTGCTGGACACGTTGACCATCTGCAAGGAAGATCCTATCAGGGTCGTGCTTACCATGAACCCTGCCGGGCCGCGCAAGGGTGTTTGATGAAGCCATACTTCAACTTTCACAATAGTTTGATTATTAAGGAATGAAGTTAGCATTTCCTTGATTGGCAGGGCCAACTGCAAAACCTTCGCAACCAGTGACAGATGAGCGCGACGGATCGAATTGCACAGATTGCGCCTGCAGTCGCTTTGACCATAACCGAGTGAGCGAAAGCATCGAAGTAGCTAGGGCCTTGGTCTATGCATCATTGCCCATTGTCCAGACGACTGGACTGTCGTTATGTGCTTGCATGTGTGCAATTAAGGTGCAGGCTCCGACAAACATTGAGGGCATTTTTATTTATCAGAGCAACTTATGTACATAGTAGGGTTGCAATATCCAGCGGAGGGTCCGAGCCTGTCAAAAGGCCCCACGAAAAAGTCAAGCGAGAACCTATACAAAAGATCGCGCGCCACATCCAGCAACCATTAGCTTTTGGCCATTGACGGACTAATCACCTTATCCCACCTGGACTGATTCTGATTTGAGACGGGCTCGGTTACATGCTGCGGTCAGTAGGAGGCATGATCCTTTAGTATTTTCTTCTGTGAACTACCCGTAGGGATTCTGTTGCGCTCCTCTCTTGGTCGACCTCGTCTCAGCTGTGGCGGCCACAATGGAGTACCCTCCAATCCTCCTTAATGACCACAAGGGTCAACCATCAGCGAGCGCTCCAAGCGACAGCTGTGCATCAGACGTGACGCTCTCTGATGATCAGTTGCCACTCTTGCGATCAAATCATGGGCGAGACTCCAGCAATGCCACCTCCGCCTCAGCGCCGACCAAAGTCAATCATGGGAGAGGCAAGATTGCCTTGTCGGACGAGCTTAACGGGGATGACGACGACGAATTTGTCAAAGATGATGATCTGCTTGACGAAGAAGAGCGGATAGCATTGATGCAAGTCGACCGTGAACGGTATCAACAATCTCTTGGAGAAGCTGTCGGTACTAATCGACTCACATTGCGAGTACATGGAAAACGAACTTCTCCAGCCAGAGGGTGCCTTGTGTTCAGCCTAGCCGCCGTCACCATCCTCCTCGCCGTGCCTCTTCTCCTCTGGCTTTCAACTACATCGGGATTCTCATCCACTTACTCGCCCCAGCACTCGATACTTTCATCGGCGGATGAAGCGATCGGAGCAAGTGGCTGGTTCCCCCATCAGTTTTCTAATGGACGCGGGAAAGGTAAAGGCAAAGCGGGGGACTCGGAGACGATGGAGGTGACACTGCCTTTCCTGAACAAGGATCGATGGTCTTCAAAAATCACAAAGTTCGCTGCCAGCTCGAATGACGAAGCCGGCAATTGGGGCCTGAAACATGCCAGCCCAGCGTTCAGCAAAGTGAACCGGGCTTTCACCGGCTGGGGCACAGTAGGCGAAGCACTCGCTGCGTTTCCACACCCGTCTTCTCTAGCTCCAACAATGCAGCCAAGAAGCTCTAGTGCCAAGTCTGAAGATGAAGTTGATCAACGATTCATCGAAGCCCTGCGAACTCAAAGTCCGAAAAGCTCGCTGAGGCAGCTCAACATGGACATGCTCTTCAATGGCACGCTGTACGCGCGCGGTGCAGACATCAACTGGAGCGAAGATGACCCGGACGTCGGAGTTTTCTCTTACGTCGATCCTGCAACGCAAGACCTGATCATTCAAGATGTCACACATGCGCGCAAAGAAAAGACTGGAACAGGCGAAGTCGCCAAAGGCGGCGGAAAGGTGACACTGGTCTCCGGTTCCGATGTCAAAGATGTGAGCAAGCGGCCCAGATTGCCACTGAATTATGCCTTATTGACCATATTTAACCTTCTTGGACTCAGAAAAAAGGAAACCGCATACAGTTCGACGAATACATCATCTCTCCCGACATGCGCTATGTTCTCTTCTTGAGCGATCGCGTCAAACAATGGCGATATTCTTCCCACTACAATGTCTGGCTCTTTGATGTTGCTGCCAAGAAAGCGGCAGCTATCAGCGCGGACGGCGTCGGCAAGCTATCCATGCCACCGACCATCTCGAACGTGAAATTCGCCCCCTCGTCTGCCCCGCGTGGATCCCCCGCGCGCACGCCCCCTTCCCTGGCATTCGTGTCTCAAAATGACATCTATTTTCTGCCGTCACCAGACCATGCTCCCGTACGTATAACAAACAGCGGGGCCACCGAGATTTTTAACGGTGTGCCAGACTGGGTATACGAAGAGGAGGTCTTCAGTAGCGATTCAGCCATGTGGTTCTCGCCTGACGGCACCAAGCTAGCCTACCTCTCCTTTGACGAGCGTGACGTCCCCACTTTCGACTTTCCAATATACAACCCGAGCCATTGGTTCCCAGCACAGACGACGCCTTACACTGAAAAGACCAAGATGAAATATCCTAAGCCAGGATATCCCAATCCGGTCGTCAGCGCCCATGTTGTCGACGTGGGAGACATCAAGGAGATCAGCGCAGAGCAAGGTGCACCATCCTACAATCAAATCTCTGCAGCAAAACTCGAGCTGCATTCACCGGATCCTCTCGTATCTGCTTTTGCGATGGACCTCGATGTTGACAACGCGCTTGCTGGCAGCCGCGAAAAGCGGTCTGCACGACTCGTTACCGAGGTGGCCTGGATAGGGAATAGCGATTTGCTGCTGCGCGAAAGCAATCGTGCCAGCGACAGGGCGCGTGTGCTCCATTTCGATCTGAACAAAGTCCGAAATGTCAATTCCAGCTCAGAGGCGCACCTTGTGGGCGACGTTGTGCGCAGAATCAGCACAGTCAAGGAGAATGGGTGGATAGAGGTTGTGAGCACTTCTTTTGCACGTGAATGCATTTCGCGCCCACTGATCATGGAACAACTACAGGCGCAAACCATTCGGCCCTTGGGAAACACCGGGGCATACCTGGAAGTCATGCCGACGGCGCAAGGCTACAGGCAATTAGCGCTCTTTGCATCTGCAACCTCTGCTGACCCCGTATTCTTGACTCAAGGAAAGTGGGAAATCGACGGCAACATCAAGCACGTTGATATCGAGAGGAAACGAGTGTGAGTGTATATCGATCAGCGCCAATGCATGTCTCACGGAATCTAACGTTATCTCTCGTGGCCTCAGCTACTTTATCGCTGCCCATCCTCTTCCGTCTGAGCGCCATCTTTTCTATGTGGCCCTTCCAGACGCGAAGCAACTATCGACTTACAGGGCCCAGGACCCAATCCCTCTAACCGACACCTCTACTGGTGGCTGGAACACTGTCTCTTTCGACCCCAAAGGGGCTTACTATCTTCTCAGCAGTCAGAGTCCGGACGATCCGCCTGCTCGCCGCGTCATCGGCGTGGATGACAGGGCTTTCAACTATGTGTTGGAAGACAATCGAGCTCTTCGCCGCATCTCGGCAGAATACGTCATGCCGACAAAACTCTATTACAACATCACCACTCCCAGTGGTGCAAACATTAGTGTGTCAGAGCTGCGGCCGCACGACTTTGACGCTAGCGGTCGGAATTCCTACCCTGTCCTCGTCAATGTCTACGGTGGTCCAAACAGTCAGATGGTCCAGCAAAAGTGGCAGCGCAGTGATTGGCATCAATATGTCGCTTGCGAGATGGGGTATCTCGTTGCTACGATTGATGGGAGAGGTACGGGTTTCAAGGGCCGTTTGAACCGTAACCCGGTCACGACGCGCTTGGGGGACGTGGAGTCGCTCGATGTGACAGAGGCTGCTCATCAGTTGAGCCGTTTGCCATACGTCGATGAACGGCGGATAGGCATCTGGGGATGGTCCTACGGTGGCTACCTCACCTCAAAGGTCATCGAAAGAGACTCGGGTGTCTTCAATCTTGGAATGTCTGTTGCGCCTGTCACTTCCTGGCGCTTCTACGATTCAATCTACACGGAGCGATACATGAAGCTACCTACGGACAACATGCAGGGATACGAAAAGTCAGGGTTGCACGCGACAGATGGCTTCAAGCACTCGCACTTCCTGATCGCCCAAGGATCGGCCGATGACAATGTGCACTTTCAAAACTCGGCGCATCTTCTTGACATGTTGACCGGGGCCAAGGTGCGCGGCTTCCGTTTCCGCATGTTTACTGACTCGGACCATTCGATCTCAATGCGAGGCGCCTACCAAGAGCTGCACGAATATTTGCTCAGCTTTTTGAGCGAGAAGTGGGGTCCCGGTGGAAAGCGTCGATTCAGATTAAAGGACACTTAGATCGCTATAGCCATGCATGCGAGTTTGCACAGCAGTTTAGCCATAGATATGTTCATTTTACTAATCTAGGTCGGTCTGACAGATGACCGTTTCTACAAGTTTCCTGATGTCTTCCGCTCTGCGTTTGCCGACCTCTAGCACTTCTTCGTGATTCGCTGCCGCTGCTGTGTCTGCGTCTGCGGTCTTCTTGCCGAGCGCATCTCCGCCATTAGCCTGATCTTGCAGCGCTTTGCGTGCGTCCAGATAATCGTCGACCACAACCTTGTTGGTGATCAAGCTGATTGCCAGCACCCGCATGCCAGCGTGATGAGCAGCAATGACCTCAGGGACGGTACTCATGCCGACACAGTCGCCGCCGATGCTTCGCAGGAAGCGACACTCGGCCCTGGACTCGTATGTCGGGCCGGACACGTGAGCGTATGTCCCTTGTTGCATGTCTTTGGCGGAGAGATTGAGCGCATTCGCTGCTCGAAACAGAGCCAGTCGCAAGGGAATATCGTAAGCATTGGAAAGAGGTGGGAATCGGGAGCCAAATGCGTCCAAATTGTGGCCGATCAGCGGGTTCTTGTCCTGTAGAACAGAAATACGTGTCAGGGCATGTGCGGCTGGAGGGAAGGAAATCGACGGGCCACTGACGGTTAAACATGGTAGTGAAAGGTGGTCATGCATGGCAACAATCGTACCGACTTCAAAGTTGGGGTTGATACCGCCTGCCGCATTCGTGACTGAACAGGCAAGGTAAATGAACAGGGATGAGTCCGAAGTCTCGCTGGAATCGATGCACGCCGTCCGAGCGTCGAAACTCACCAACAATGGCCTGGGTGCCTAGGCATCTGAAAAGACGAGTCGGAAAGACGCAGTCTTGAGGCGAATGGCCTTCGTACATGTGGAATCGACCCAGACATGCTACGACTGGAACCCTCTTGTCACCCTGCTCTAAGAATCCTAATGCGAGTATACTCTTGTGCCCATGCACCGTCGAGTTTGGGAAGCCCTGTAGACCAGAGGGGTGTAAGCCATCAGGACTGGCAAGGCTAATTTCGATGCATCCGATTCCAGCTTCTCACGGGGATTTGCTCGTAAGGAATCTCCACTTTATCCTTCAAGGAGCCTGCCAGGCCCGAGAGCCCTGAACCACTGTACAAGCAAGCGTCTGTTGTCAGCATGAAATGCCTGGCCATCCTCTGAGAAGCTATCTCACCAAATAATACCCCATGCAGGTCTGGCAAGCGCTGCAGGCACTTTGGCTCGAACAGCCTTCACCGCTGCTCCGTATTCGCTCGGTAGGGCGGAGAGATCGACTTCAGGGAGCGGCATGGTTGTAAGGTAGGCTGGATAACACGGTGGGTAGTGTGCAGCACTGCCGAGATAACAGCAGTCCACCAAGTTACAGTGGTCGGACTTCTAATAAAGCATGGACGGAGGCGATCTCACGTCCGGGGAGCAGACCCTTTGCGGTATTCACAATAGGCTCTAATGGATTACTGAATGCTGCTGGAAGAATGAACAGGATTATTGATGAGGTACATTAATCGCAATCAGACTGTGTCAGTTTGGGGCGGCTTTTTGCCACGGATGAACCGCGCCAGGTATATGAAACAAGAGCACTCGGCTCCACTTCCGACATAGCTAGACCATTTGCCGTATCCTGCTTCTTCCCGCACCTTTCGGCTGGTGAGTGCAGCACACAAAGACTATGGACATCGAACCTTTGCATGCGATAAATAGATTGCCAGATTGTACACGTAAACGCGGTGAAATGCCACAGGAGCAATGTCATTGGGTAGGTAAGGTAGTAGGTGGTATTGACACGAGAATGTGGTCTGAGATTTGCCAGGCGTGGGGGTGTAGGTGGATCGATCATCGATCCATGGGACAGCTGCTGCTGCGAGGAATGAAACATGCGAAAACCCCAGATGTGAAGAAAAGCTGCGAGCTGCGACACTGATGAAGACGCAGATGTGGATGCGGATGCTGATGCTGATGCTGATGCGGATGCGGACGCTTAGATTGTGAGGGGTGGGCTGAGTGCTACTCGCTGGGAACTTAGTAAAGGCCGGCCTCCTGTAAGTTGCTCCGAAGAATAGTATCCTGGACACTGATTAGAATCGCCTTGATTTTGCTCGTGTCGACGGCGCATGAAGGGAAAATGTACACTTGGCCGACGTTGCGTTGGAGCTCCGAGTGAAGCTTTCCGCGCGACGCCTTGGCTACATCCGTGAAGCGCGCTCGGAACCATCGCCAGACTTGTTCGTAGTCGTCATCGCGACCATCGTAATTGGGCCAGTGCTTTTTGACGCTTACTCCTCGTCGAACTTTGTGCTGCAGAAGATCGCTGTTCGAGCAACAAACAGAAGAGAGTGTGCACACAAGGAGAGGTGGGAGAGAGAGGGAAGGGGTGTATGGGTATTTATAAAAGTGTGTATGTGCGTCAGCGTCAGTGGTCAGTCGTGCGCTGTAGGCCTGCACCAGCAGCACGCACATTTTGTTGAGGAGCAAGACGACGGAGGCGGACAGGAGAAGCGGGCTCGTGGCCACTTGCCAGAAGAGGTCGAGGCTGTCCTGCACGCGATTGACGCTCGCGTCCTCCTGCAGGCGCTGGTCGTACGCGCCGACGGGGGCCATGAAGATGACTGCGCGGACTTGGTCGCCGAGAAAGGGTGCCCAGGCGATGCGTTGGCTGCGGTCGCCGCCGACGTCGTATACGCGGTACTTGTGAAGCGAGCCGACCTGAAAGACGCTCTCCGAGAGACCGATCGTGCGCACGCGCGCATGCATGATGTCCTCGTTTGTCGGCGCGTAGTCCGCCACGGAGATGCGGTCGAGCTGATCGAGGAACCACGTGGGTGCGCTGACGCGCTCGAACGTAAAGTTCTGGCGTAGCTTCTTGACGACACTGCCGTGCGAGAAGACGCCGCTGTCCTTACCGCTCCATAGCGCCTGGATGTCGCCCTTGCAAGCCAGTACCAGCGCCTGCGGGCCGTCCTCCTCGCGCTGGCGCAAGCGGTTCGCCACCTCGTTGTTGTGCTCACACTGCAGTGAATCAAGGCTGGTGCGCATGTCGAACGCCAAAGATGCAGAGGGCGGAGGGTAGCCGGGCGAGGTGGGAGATGAGGGGGGCGAGCCAGCAGACGGCGAAGGCGGCTCCGCTGATCGGTCTTGCCAACCGGCTTTCAAGACGAGGTCGTCGCTGCGCTTCGGCTTGTAGTGGATCGTGCGCGGGCCCATGTCTTTTGAAGAGCTTTCATCGACATCCACCTTGATCCCTGCGCTGGCGCGCAAGCGCACGCCGTTGCTTGCAGACTCCCCGGCGTTACCCCCGCGCCAGTTGGGCAGCTGCTGTTTGGTGCGAATCGACCCTCGCAGCGACGACCGCAGCTCTTTGCCCTTTGCTTGGAGATACTCGGGCACATTGGCAACGTCGTCGCCGACGGCTCCGAGGCGGTTGCGCAGGTCGGGTTCCAACGACAGCAGCGGGGCGAGGCGGAGACGGATCAGAAGCGTCGCCCGGCACGGCCCTCGCCCGCGCTGGCTGGACGACCGGCGCCCCGTGCTGTTTGACGACGTGTCCTGACGGCTGAGAGAGATGAGAGAGTTTCGGGAGGAAGTAGGGAACAGGACGTGCGATGTGCCATTGACGGCCGTTGCAGCTGCAGACAGCAGGCCGGTGGGCACGAAGTCCCCCCTGCGGCCTCCGCTGCTGGAGGTGTCCACACTGTCGTCCCCGATGGTCTCTTCGACGTCGACCGCCCCGCTCCGGATGGCTGCTCGCGTTGCTGCCTCTTTGGCGTCTTCCTGTTCTTCTAACACGCGCTCGACTCCCTCGAGCAGCAGTCGGGTTGCGGTGATCACATTGAGGTAGATAACGAGCCGCCATGAGGTGCGTTCGCGTTCATATCCTTGTGGGTCGTACAACAGTCGCATCTGCCAAAGTTCGATTCGTCAGTCTGCCTCTAAAGCTGGGAGTATTCAGTGTCCGCTTCGGCACACCTGTTTAAGTAGAGTTCTGTCCAACATCCCACCCATGTCAGCTGCAGCTGTTACAAGGCGCATGCGCTCCAGCTTTCCAGAGTGGACTCACGTCTTTCCCGCTCCCGATTGTCCGAGTAATGCGAGCTGAACCTCTCCTTGTCTATCCTTTCTGGTGGCGGTGCTGTCTGCTTTGAGCCATTTGTCAATGTCCTCGCTTCGTTTGCGAGCAACCGACTCTTCCTGCAGACGGGCATCGCGTTCTGCCGAAGATTCCTTGGCCGGTGGAGCGGTGACGATGGCAAGCGGGTCTGCTTGCGACGCGAGCGCCAAACTGCGCTTTGCCTTACCTGGCCGCCCGGAGCCGGATACCTTGCTTTTGGATGTGGGCCTGCTGGAGCCGCCAGACATGCCTCGCAGGAAGGCCGGCATCTTGAATGCTCTCTACGCCCTCGCTATAGATCGGGCTGTTTTGGAATCGGTGTTGACAAACGAGCAAAGGTAACCCGTGAACGTGTCTTGGCGATGAGGTTTCGCAAGGCGTGCCTTGTCGCCTGCGTCAGTGTTCCTGCCACTTTTGGTCTCACGTACTGATCATGCGAACATAATTCGGCGCACTGCTCGGCCACAGGCGACGATGTGGACGAGGATGTATGTGTGGTGAAGATGCTGATGACGCTGATGCCGATGTGATCAGATTGGATCCTGACAGGAAAATGGAAGATGAAGCGACGAAAGTGGTATGCATAAAGCAAACTTCAAGGAAAGCAACGCTCGGCTCCGAGTTCAGCTCAGCACGCGTCCCATGTCCAGCGAGCCCTTCGCAAGGCTGCGTCTTGAATGCTAATACATGTCCTTGCAACTCACAAGTGTTGGTACAGCTGCTACCAATCAATCACTCGTCTGCACTTGCTTGGCCTGCCCAGCTGTGATCTTTGTCTCGCCAATGACCAGCGAACGGGACGACAACCTGGGGAAGGGGTGGTCACGCGTCCAGCTTGAATTTGATGAAGCGGCTCTCACTTCTCCATCCTGTAGTCTGTCACCGCCTGTTTCGAGAGGTGCTGTTTGTGTCTGAATATGCACTCCGCTCCTGCATCGTGACGAACCCCAGGAGAGCCATATGTACAGACCCAAAAATCGATGGGTGGGCACATGTACGTTCGTATGTGGGCAGCGGTCGACGCAGAGCCGCCGCTGCCACCCCCACGCCAAGCGCGGCTGTACAGTGCACCCACACTGCAGGCCGCCGGGCAAGACTACTCGTCTGCAAGGTGCACTGCGGCGCTCTTCCGAGTTCCCTTCGCTTGGGTCACACACACGTGTCGCGCGCGCAGGCGAGCGATAGGGTGCGACACCACACCACACCCCGCGTCCACAGCGCCAATGCCCGCGCCCATCACCAAGCATCAAAAAGGATTACATTCAGACTGTGAAAGTGCTCTCATGCTGCCCGCGTGCCGTGGAAGTGCCTGAATGCGACCAGCGAAAAGGGTGACGTTGGTTGGCGCTCAGCTGGAGACACTGCGGACGCATGGTCGTCGAGGCGAGCATCGGGTGCATCGACGCGGCACGCCAGCTCCCCAGCGCGGGGCAGGGCCAGAGCACTGCAACGGCGCACTGCACGACGTCACCCCCCTTGGTGCCAAACCAAGACTGCAAGTCAGCTCTGGTGAGCAGCGCATCAGCTGTGGCCTGCAGCGTGTGCAGCATCGGAGGCAGCGGGATGGAACATAGCGGGGGAGGCAGTGACGTAAGTTGTACCAAGGCGAAGAGTGCGAATGGGATGATGATGTTTCATAGACGTGAGTGAGTGGCGTTGGCTGGCTTCACTTTCCAAGCCAAGTCTTAGACGCTAATTTCCATGAGGAAAAGACTATGGCAATCGCAATGGCCCTCCGCCCCTGAAACCAGACGAGCTTTCACCAGCTAGGAACACAGTGGTGAGTGTTGCACGGGACCCTGGCTATGTCGTTGCTGGCCAAACGCGCTTCCCAGACGATATCTCCGACTTCGGGTGTCCGCATCATCCCAGTAGTGTCGGGTGCACGAAGTTTCCATGCTAGCTCTTTATTGCGCAAAGGAATCATTGACTTGTTCATGCGGAGATATTCATGCACTTCTTCTTTCTTCGGCGTTTTTTCCTAGTCCTCGAGTGCCTGTCTCTCTGGCCATCGCTTGTCTCTCTAGCCATCGTGTTCATTCAATGTTCTCTTTGCACTCTGATCTTTTTTGGACATCGATGAGCCAGTGGAGGCCCACCTTGTCCTGAAATCGATATTGACGTCCGCGTATGCGATTATGAAGGAAACGGATCGCAATCGCTTGCTAGAGTGAGTCCGAGGGTGCAACTGATCGGCTGAGGAGGGAACTGAGATAGAAGCTGCCTTGGAAAGTGTAGATTCGCTAATCAAGTACCCTTTATGATAATGGATAGAAGACCATATGATCATACACACGGTCCTGTACAAACAATGAGCTTGACCTTTCTGTGATGATCAGGGGTATATGTGGCCATGAGGAGGTCTCACTGATTCCGTTCCATAAATTTCCCATCTCACAGTCTGATTCGCCCGCGTTTCCTTATGTGTCATACCTAAAGATCAATTCGGGATTGTGGGAGTCGGCAGCCAGGCAGATCAAGTATGCAGATGAAGCACGTGAGAACAGGTAGAGCGCGTAGCAAGGGGGAGAGATATTCAGCCCCACGCAATAACGAGGTTGTAGTCTCACAGAGTATATCTTTCGCTTCCTGGATGAGAATTACGCTTTTTAGCCCCATCCTAGCTTCCCACTACCTGTGACTGAAGGGGCATAATATTAACAATTTCTTCAACGTTGGTAATGCTCAGAGGGTTACAAACCCCATCCTCCGCATCACACCTGGTGGACTCTCACACGTCGAATCGTTATGGACGTCACACTTTAGTAGGGAGAGTGGCACTGTTGCACATGTAATTTATTTTCCAGACACTATTTTTATATTATGTAATAAATAATTGCACCATCAAAATGTGGGGACGACTGTACGTTCCGTTCTAGACGGCTTGCAGCGTTGCACGTTTGGATGGATATCGAAGTATTGCTTGCTTCACTGGACCAGGGAGGAGCTCAAACCAGGTACAACATACTAGTGCAACCATGGGCACGCCTGTTGCACATGCAACTAGCACCGAACGTCCAGAGAGGCAGACACCTTGCAGCACCTTACCGGGGTGCATCTAGAAAGGCGACGAGCAGCGATTGCCGATTGGTACCTTGTTGCAATGTTGATATTTTGTGGTACTTGCTCTTCGATGCCCGTGATATACTACCAGGACCCTACTGGTGTCGATTCATGTGCATTGTGTACGCTAGAAGACGACGAGAAGATGCGAAGCATCCTGCTCGCTCATCGTACATCAAGCGGTATGCACTGATAGCCTGATGTGGTGGACGGATGGGTCACTTTGGATATTGATATATTAATGGGACAATCGAGGTAGCTATCATCCCTCTCAGCAAGCCGGTGCCGCACTAGGACTACCTTGCGCAGCTTTCCATTGCTCTCAGACACCAAGACACTCGGAACTTTGGTATTCCTTCGCCCTAGGCTGTAGTGGTGTCATGGTGACTGACAGTGACTCGCGTCGATCAAGTCAATGAAAGAGAAAGGCTCATGAACAATCGTCGCTTGTGTGGAGCATGTTGAAATATGATGTAGAGTCGAGTAGGCTGATGCGCCTTGTGTCCAAGCGCCTTGTTGGGCTCATTTATTTGGATACTTCAGAACCAAGGCACTTTAGTCGACATTCCGGCGCTTTCGCCTTTCTGACTTGGGCTATATTGCGCCTCTTACTCAAAAGGGGGTGTACATGTACATTAATTCCAGCGTATTAATGGACTAGTCGGAAAGCCTTCCTTCTCATCCTCCTCCGGGCGGAAGCCATCGGAGTACATGATCTAGTCGGCGGCCGTAGGGCCATTTGGATACGAGGATATCGACTTCGTCGTCGCCGCGATTCGACTCCTCATCGAAGCGTTTATGAGCAGCCGTGTGCGCGTCAGGCAGCAGAATCGTTATCTGTATCTAATGCTTGTTACTCGTGTATCTGATTCCACTGAAGGCCTCTTTGCGGCTGATCACGTTTCCATTGGTTGAGATACGTGTTTTTGCCCAATCTGTGAAGCGTTTGATATAAGTCTCGGCTAGTTGGCGCGGCTTCTTGTCGCTTGGAAGCACGCGGGGGAATGTCGATCCCGGCGCCGTATGTACATCCGCTCGTAGCTTGCCGAAAGTATGAGCTAAAGATACGATGATCCTCGCCGCAAGCCACCGCGCAGCGCCCTTGGCCCGGCAAATAACCCAGCAGCATCAATATTTGCTGCTTTCACTCCTGAATGAGCTACCGTATACGTAATTTTTGGACCCTATAAATACACACTTTCGTGGAATGTATCAAATGCAAAGCGGTCATGTTCAGCAGCAGCCGCAATCGTCCTTCTCTTCCCGCTCCTCTGGCGATCATGCAGATTGCAGCTGCCACCAGGATCACAGTGATGTGATAGAGCTTAATAGGCAACCACTCCCTCCATCCGGGGCCATTTGCTGCATTGTTTTGGTCAGACAATCTGTGCTCGACCTTGCCGCCACTTGCGCTCGACCTTCAAAAGAACAAGTTCTTTGCCTTCAGCAAGCATCTAACTCTGGTACCATAAGCCGTGGTACCAGCAGGTTGCAGGCTTTGTATTGCACACAGCGAGCGGAATTCCAAGCCATGATATGTATCAATTGACGACCATGGGTTCCGAGTTCCGAGTCCCGCCTACGCCACCCATATTTCGACGGCTGGGCGCAGCTTTATGGAGTTCAGGGTGGCACAGCATTGTAAGAGCCAAAAGTCTTGGCTGCCACAGATCCCATCCTCTAGTCATGATAGATAGTCATTACACGAAGTCATATATCGACTCTTGCAATCTTGCCCACCATCCTCCATTCCATCAGCCAAGGTCGCTTCGACTTCCTCTATATACGCATCCATAAGCTTCAAACGTGCTGGCGACCGTCTGCACGACCAGAACGCACCCCAACTGCGGCATGAGTGAGTAAGGGTAGCAGAGACGAAGCCAGCGGATGCAACCGTGTCCTTGTCACTGATCGCAAGTGCGTGCCCGGTATCTCTTTCTTGCTTCTGCCTGATCAGCTTCCCATAACAGCAATGGGCTCGGAGAGCGTCAACCGCTTCTGATAAACCATTCCGACCTCCCTGCACCAGTTGATTTTTCCGGCAGGCCCAGCAATGCAGCTGATGCCAACTACAGCGTCCACGTCGACGCGGAACGTGGAGACGAAGGTCTGCCCTTACATGTGCGCGGTCCAAGGCATAGAAAGCGCGGCTCAGGCTATGAGCACTATCGCTGACATTTGAACTTTGCTGAAACTTCTCTCATGCGTAGCGCCCCACATCCTACCCCGCCCGCGCGCAACACTACCTGAGCGGACCGTCGAATGAGCCCAACTTTGCGACATCGTTTAGGTGGTTCTTGACTTCGTCCTGGCTCAATGTCCTGCTCGTCTTTGTCCCGCTTGGGATCGTTGCCGAGCACCTCGGATGGTCCGCAGCAGCGATCTTCTCGCTCAATTTCATCGCCATCGTGCCGCTCGCTAAGCTGCTCGGTGACGCGACGGAGCAGGCATCGTTGAAGCTAGGTCAGACGCTTGGCGGCCTAATGAATGCGACATTTGGCAACGCCGTCGAACTTATCGTTGGCATAGTCGCTCTCACCCAGGGCCAGCTGCGGATCGTGCAGACTTCGCTGATTGGGTCTATCTTGTCCAACATCCTGCTCGTCCTGGGCATGGCCTTTGTCGCGGGTGGCATATGTCGCAAGGAGAGCACGTTCCAGCAGACTGCTGCGCAGGCCTCAGGCAGCATCCTCATGTTGGGCGGAATCACCGTTGTAATTCCTGCGGCGTACCAAGGGTCCGTTCGCTCTGCCGAATTTTTCACCACCGGATCGCTGACCCCGGACAAGCAGACCGAAGCAGGGTTGTTGTTCATCTCGCGCGGCACGTCGATCATTCTGCTGCTTGTCTACACTCTGTACCTCTTCTTCCAACTCAAGACGCACGCGTTCTTGTTCGAGGCGCAGGAGGAGGAAGAAGAGGAGGAAGAGGAGGAAGCCAAGATGACACCAGTCGCAGCGATGCTCGGCTTGCTGATAGTGACGATTGTCACTAGTTTTAATGCCGACTACCTCGTCGGCGCCATCGACGAGGTCGCGAGCGAGTACCACATCCCCAAGAGCTTCATCGGTACGATCTTGCTGCCAATCGTCGGGAACGCTGCAGAGCATGTCACATCGGTGTGGATGGCTGCAAAGAACAAGATGGAAATCGCGCTTGGCGTTGCGGTGGGATCGTCGATTCAGATTGCCATCGGCGTCATTCCTGCGCTCGTCATCGTTGGATGGATAATCGACCAGCCCCTTACAGTGAGTCTCATCTTATCAGCGGCTTGATCTTGGGCGATCGCGGCGGCTTGTAAACTGACGCTCTACGCTCTTCATCTCTCTGCTTGTACGCAGCTCTACTTCCAATCCTTCGAGACAGTCATTCTTGTTGCGAGCGTTGTGCTTGCAAACTGCCTCATTCAAGATGGAAAGGTGCATCGATCGGCCCTTGGACCATTGTTCTTCCTTCAGTTCGCCTTTACTAACGTTTCCTTTCCCGCGTCCCTCCTACTCCAGAGCAATTACATTGAAGGGTTCATGCTCTGCGCACTGTACCTGGTCGCCGCCCTCGCTTTCTGGGTCAACTGAGGCATGCCATGGTAACAACTTCGCAATATTCAACTCAACAAGTTCGCCGACAATCCCTTTCCGCTTCGCAACGGACATGATCAAAAACGCGTCGTTGACGGGCTGCAGATTGCGAAATATGGAAGCGAGCTTATACACACGCATCGCTGTGGAGCAAAAATCGATATTTATGCGTCTCGACGATGCATGTATAGTCGGATCTCGGTGCAAAGGAATAATGGGCAAAATGGTCATTGATAACAATGACAGCTAGCACCGAGCGCTGATCTTCATGTACGCATTACCAGAATGTGTGAAGAACATGGTGACGTAGTGGCTATTGATGAGCCTCTGTTGAGAGGCAAAAATTAAACATTGGTAACACTGCAAGTGTGAGTCGCGAAACCGCTCGCAGCAAAAAAAAGCGACCACAGCCGGGGTCGAACCGACGACATTTACCAGTCACCTCCAGGCTCACTGTTACGTGAGGCAGTCGGAAAGTAACACTCTACCACTGAGCTATGCGGCCATTATCAGACGGACATAATGATTTCATTAAGATCCTTTGTATCATTTCCCACACAATTTCAGCCGGTTCCCCGAGAGACCCGCTTGTCTCTCCACTTTTCTTGGCGGCGCGCGTGGCGTTTGCTCGCCGCGGCCCCGTGTGCAGTCTTTGGAGAACCTTGGCAACTATGTTGATGATTGCGAGACATTGGCCTGGTCGGATGTTGCGACGGGCAGACATCAGATGACGAGAGCCTCGTTTGCGGTGTGCCTAGTAGTTGGAAGCTGCATGGTTAGCCTCCACGCTCAGTTGTGCACGAGCATGGGAGCTTCATGCTCGCCTATGACCCCCCAACACTGACGGCTCAGCGGCCGCCATCGTCATTCGGGCTTGATTGGGGCACCACCCACCATCACTGCCCTCTTCACCGCTTCCAGTAGAGGGGGCGTCCGACTCTTCCACTTTCACGCCATCTCGCGTGGGACCACGGACGCAACCTAATAGGCACGGCCGGCTGGTCAGCTGTCTGGCCGCGGTCGATTTGCACCATGGCGTCGTCCTGCTCGTCCTGGCGCCAAATCTTTCCTTCCGGCGTCCCCAAGGCCCGTTCGCGTTCGTTCAGCCTGCTCAATTCGCTTCCAGTGGACTTGCAGATCCACTTGCTCTCTTTCCTCTGGATCAAATCCATCACCAAGACGCTTGCACGTGTCAACCGCTACTGGGCCTACCTTGTCGACGACTATGTCCGCAATCGCATCTTGTACCATGTCAAGCAGAGCGGTAGTCAAGAGAGTAGAGGGACGGCGGAAGTCCTGGACAGATGGTTCAATGTACAGTTGCTGGTGGGTCGCGAGTATCATAGGGTTTGGTATGGGTCATATCTTAGCAACTCGCTTCACCAGCTGACGCTGATACGCATTCGTTCAACCTTCCAGTTTGAAGCACAGCGACCGATCGACACAACATCCATCAAGCATACCCTCTACTTTTCTCACTTTAGCATCACCAACAGCCTTCCTGCGCCGACCTCATGTGGGCGAATGGCCACCGTCCCTGAGTTTGCCAGCAGCAGCGGGGGCAGTCGTGGGGTGTACACGACCTTGGCCAACTTCTCGTTCGTCCAGCCTGCTGTGGACGCGCGCTTTGCCTCGCAAGAGCTCCCGCCTTTCACACCGTTGTCGCCGATGCTAAGCACCTCGCACGGCAGCTTCCGATCCAAGTTCCACACACTTGGTACAGACGGTATCGTCAACGCCGAGCAGCCCGCTGCAGCCGGATCCGTCTACAACTTGTCCAGCGAGCCGGCCCAGCGGACTCGTCCCGTCGAGCACCTGAGCTCGATTATCGACACAAACGCCAACACTCTGCCCGTATACAACAGGAAGATATCGTCCTCTTCGGGATGTTCCGTGTCTACGGATGGGAACGGGTCGCTGCAAGAGTCGCGCAGGGGTCGCTCCGACAGCGTTCGAGACAACGGATTTATCATTGTCTCTGGCCCGCTCTTTATGCAGGACGAAAGTCGGACAGAAAACCAGATATCCACGACGATGACAACCAACACGAGTATCACATCTTCAACCACGATCACCACCCCGACCAGCTCCTGCCCACCCGCCGCTTTCGAGACTGCGCCATTCCCCTTTCTGCAGAGCACCTTTGGCACGCGTGCGGCAGCTACCGCCCCTGCACGTTCGTCGATGCGTGCCCGCGCTGCCTCTGCGGCAAGTAGTGACGGACGCCTGGCTAGCCCGCCAAGGTACCGGCACACGCTTGGCGCCTCGTTCGGCCAGGGCATCGAGGCGTACGGCTCTGCGCTTGACATCCCTGCCAGCTCCGCAGCATCAATGGACATGAGCCGTGCCTTTTTTCAGAGCAGGTCCAGAAGCGGCTCTGGAGCGACTGCGGGGACCATGTCGCCTCTGCGCGAACAGCACAAGCAGCAGCGCAAGATCCCAAGGCGGCTCAAGCCAGCGTACGCGTTTCAACTCGACCCGCTCGATTCGTTCGAGACGTGGATCCTCACACTGAGCATTCATCGGACGGACTACGACCTGACGCCGCCGTTTGTTTTGGCGCGCGCCAAATTGGCACAAGACTTTGACGGGGGACAAGCAGACGGCAACAATGCGCCGCCTTTCGCGTTCAACCAGCCGTTTTGGACAGAACGCAGGATGGTCGAAGGCTTGGAGAGGGTATACAGAGAGTGGTTCCGGCCGCCGAATGGATGCTCCCCTGACATCGACAGCCTGCTCAGCTCTGACAAGCACGATACCAGGCTGAGCGCCTCCGCTTCCTCCCCTACAGGCAACGACAATCACAAGACTCCGTCCTCCGCGCGGCTGCGCGCGCGTCTGTACCAGATGGATATGACCGAGGAGGAGCGTGCCGAAATACTCCCACCGCTGCGCATGCTCGAGGTGGACAACAAGCCGTCTTGCACGCTGTCGATTCAGCCGCACCCATGCGAGAAGTTTACTGAGCACCCCGCGCTCTCTGGCTCGAGCGGCAGCCACTCGTGGCTGAGCTACTCGTCTTTTGGTGCGCAATACGGCCCGGGAAGCGGTATGGGCTTCACAGCTGCCGGAGGACCGGGAGGCTATAGCTACGGATCTGGATCCGGCAGCTACGCCAGCCTTGGCTGGGCTGGCGGCGCGGATAAGGTTGAATTCACATTCCACTGCGAGGAGATGCGCATCAACGCCGCGCGCCTCTTTTCCGCATTGGAAGTGCTCGAACAGGAGCTCGCCATCAAGAAGCACCAAGCCCGCACGCAGGCTGCGCGCGCCACGGCAGCAGCAGCTGCGACTGCACAGGCGGCAGGCCAAGCAGGCAAAGGGGGAACGGGTGGCGCCATTTCTCCCGAGGAGTGGGCCTTGATGCGCCTCTCCGGTCCACGCTCTCTGTGCCGTCGGTTCCTCGATGCGCCCATGGATGGCGATACGGTCATCGTTTCCACAGGCTTCCTTTTTAACCCCTGACCACTGGTGCAAAAGCCGTCCCAAAACAAGACCCTATACTTCTATCTCATTGGCTTTGGCAGGTTCGCTGAATGTAACATGGTTGTATGGTATCATGTGTATTAACGCCAACATCTTGTACTTGTAGAATGCCAGTCGTCGGCGTGTATCTTAGCGACCTCATGAGTTGTGTTCGCACACTCATGATCAATGATTTATGACACTGCATCAAGGAAGAAATTATTTCGGGCTGCCTGGTCTCTTTGCAAAGTCATGGCGCTTTCACGCCATCGTGGAGTCGTACAACCTCTTGTGCTTTACCCATAGCGCGGGGTAGATTATGTGCAGATCGTGGTTATATCCATGCACTTGGGCCTTAGTCCATTGGGCCCAGTCCGCTGTCCGACCCCATTGCGAATGTAGGACAAGCTCGATTCTGAGAGGACGCGCCACGCGGCGCCAATCTAGTGAGAACTGAGCAGAACAATTTCTGAAAGGGTTGATAGCGGTACTCAAAAAGGCATTACGTAAGCATGCCCAAATTTTTTGATGACAACCTCATCCCACACTCCACAGGCTACAGCGTGCAGGACGACTTGTAAGCTTGACACTGGGCGACGTCCATCACCAGCACGACGACAGGAGAAAGGGTCGTACTCTTTGGAAGCTCGCACGCACCAAGTGGGATTACATTGTATCGCATCGCCCCTAGCGCTTTCTTCCATCATGCCGCGCAGCATCAAGTTCTCCGACGACGGCTCTGTTCCCGCCGACGCTGCGGTCACTGCAACATCCAGCCTTGGTGGTAGCAGCCGAAGAGGATCCTATGCAGTCAATCTGCCGGCCGCAAACGTCCGAGTTGGCGATGACGTGGAGGATGATGAAGACGAAGACGATGCTCCTGTAGAAGAGAGCGTGTCGAGCGGGAGGCAGCAAGTGTCTCAGCAGGACTCTAGGCGCAAGCAGGTGGTCAAGGAGTGGGTTTGGATAGCTGCTCTCGTCCACAATCTATGCGCGATTGAATCTGAACCTCGGCTTGTCTTTTCCATCTTGTCGTACTTCAACTTATTTCTGTTTAGAGCCAACCTCAAGCGAAAAAGAGCAGAAGATGCACGCGCTGCTTCCAAACAGGCGAAGCAACTGCAAAAAGCCCAGAAGAAAGAGGCCGCCGTCAAAAACAAGGAACACACCAAGGGGAAAGCCAAAGCTGTAGCTTCAGAAGAAGGAGAGAAGGAAGCCTTTGACATTGAGGAGGACAAGCTCGATGCTGATTTGGATGGCGACGGGGGCGATGAAACTGCAGAGGCTCCGTCATCATCACGCTTAGACCCCTCACTTTTCGCTGCAGCATTTGCACGACAAGCGGAGTTATTCGGCGCGTCCTCCGATGCACCGATTTCCAAGCTGGCCAAATCAGCTTTGAAGCAAGGCTCCTCCTTTTCCGCTTCAGGATCCCATTCTGTCAATACCGCGGCACGATCGATGGATCCCGTCGTGGAAGCTCGGCGCCGAGCGGCCAGGCGCCAGAGGATCCAGGATGCTAAAGCGGGCATCGTACGCGGGCACGATGGAAAGCCAATGAAGCGTCTTGCAGACGGACGTACTGTTGTGCGGGCTCTTGGCGCCACTTCTACTCCTCTTGAGTGCGAAACGTTCTCCACAACAGGAAATAACATTACTCTATTCGACCACGACACTACGCCGCAGGACAGAGAGGATGAGCCGATGGAAGAAGGCTTGTATGATGAGAATGCCACGTCTGCATCATCACTTGACCCGCTGCAAAGCAAGCCAAACGCACGCGCTCGCGCCTTCCTCAAGAGAAATCTGAAGCGCAAAGGCGGCGTCCTCGAAGATCATCCGGCTGCGGCAAGCAGGATGGGAGGCCTTGGCAAACATAGAGCGGGGCCACGCAAGACAATCGACGATCCACTCGGTCTAGAAGACCCGTTCCTGATGAAAGGCGGCGCGTACGCCTCACAAGGTGGGCACGCCAAGCTGACGGGTGCGGCGCCGAGAAACGCGGCGGGCAAGTTGCGGATGCAGACAGCACAGCGAGGGAGGCACGGCGGCGGCCGCGTGGATGCCAAAAGCGCTGTCCTCAAAGGTTCGGTCATTGGGAGATCCGCCTGGGGCGGGTTTGTCAGAGGGGCTTGATGAGGCACGCAATGCTGTCGGGAGCCACTTGATGAGACAACTGATTAGAGGAGAGTTCGAAAAATATAGGCACGCATTTTTGAAGATGCCATCGCTCTCATTGGACAATATTAAAGTACATAAGCATTCCCTCCCTTCTCGCCTTCCAAGGCAGCACTGACATGCCCTATGAGCCTCTGCTGCACCTGGCGGACACGCTCCAAGTATCCTGGCTCGCCTCGGTGGGACTATAGGTAGTCACTATGTAAAATGTCCCTTTCCGCCCTGGATTGGGCTTGCGCAGTGCTGTGATGGTAGATAGCGATGCAAGGCCCGTCCTGCTTCCTGCTGAATGGATGCACGCCTGGTGAGAATAGCTATTTCGTGTGCTACTACGGATGCTATAAGCCGAGAGAGCATATAGCCAATCTATATGGCCTGGAGGCAGCGCGTGGATTGATTATGGCGAATGTTTCCGCGTGCGCTAGCGCAGGGTTCTATTGAGTGTGCAGCACGACGAGCCGCGCACGGCTAGTCTTGCATGAAAGTGGGCGCACCTGCCCTGCCCTTCGCTACTGCTGCATACGTCGCGGCATAATTCATCATCGAGCCGGTTTTTCGGCGCAGTCGAGCAGCTTGCCAACCCTGAGGCCATGATGAGGACAACGACAAGAGGTCGGCGTCGAGGCAATAAGGGATGAACTTAGCTATTTCTTCGCGCGCCATAGCACGCCCCCGCATCAGACCGGTGTAGTCTAACAGCTTGTGGAAGGCTGCAAGGTCGAAAGCCTGCAGCGACGCGTGCCACCTTCTCTTGAAGAGCCAAGCAAATAGAGAGGCTAGTTACCGGCATCCTTGCCTGCCTCGCCGCCCTCTTCAAGCGTTTGCAGGTTGAACGCGACATTTTGACGATACTATGTGTGCACCAGTCGAGGAATACATGATTTGATCAGCTTCACACATGGATCACCCAGCAGTTCTCCTGCACTGTGCACACTCACCGACTCCCAGAGGTTGGAAGCGATGACGGTGTTCTGGTTGTGCAAGTTGATTTGCTGCACGGAGCGTGACACCTCCTCAAGTGACTGGTTGAGAACGTCGACGTTGCGGATGATACGCTCAAGGACGATCACGTGGCGCTCTTCCTACAGCAAGTATCGGGTGCATCCATGTACGTGGTACAAACAAAGACGGGCCAAGGTGGAAACGGGTGCGAAACAAGGAATGGGAGGCAAAAGTGGAAAAATCAGCTCGCGCTCGAACGAAACAGGCGACCTCTGCTTTCCGACTTACGTGTGGGTTGTTCATGGCAGACAGAGCGATGGAGGTTGCGCGTGCAAGCAGTAGCAGATGTGTCTCTCTGTAGGTCAATGCGGTCGTGGTGCTCAACGGGGAACATTGGAATGAAGGACACGATGAACTTGTGTTGTTCAATCATCAAGAATGCTTAAGCTTGTGGGTACTGCGCGCTCGCGACGCGTTCCGATGACTTGGCGTTCCACGGATATTTTGCGAGAAAGGCTGCTGAAATGGCAGTGCCTCCCTTGAATTACAAAGCAAATAGATAGCAAGGACTTGATGACTATTCGTGAGTAACTCCGGGTTGTCTCCGGGATGTCACTGAAACGAAGGTTGTTTTCTGACCATTGTCTGGTGATCTGGGCTCTTTCGGGGCCATCCTCGGCAAAACTTGGCCAACAATTATTGCGGCTGTCGTGGACACTCTCTGCGGTTCCGCCTCTCTTTGTATAGTTTTGGGCGTGCAGCTGCAGTGGCGGCTCAGAGTTCCACCTGGAAGAAGCTTCGCGGCCTTCACAGCTTCATCGGCTGGTTGGTGGGGGAGAGCCACACACTGAACTACACCATCACCTTCCACGTTTGCCTTCCGAGGAACAGGCATCATCGCGGCCCGTAACAGCACATAGTAATAGGATACGCTGAACTTCGGACGGGTCAGAGCACGGGGTCTAGATTGAGAAGCGCAACCAGTGCTGCTGTTGGCCGAGACTTGGATAGCAACTTCCCCCAGGCGAGTTTGCCAGTGCGATTGGTCGGTCACTCCGTCCAACTCAGTCATAACCGACTTCGCAGCCAGCATGTGAGTTCTTTACGACTACTCTATGTCTGGTATAACGTTAACTCTGATAATCTCTTCTTCATGGGTGGACAGGTCCGGCATCGCAATTCAATCTCCGGATATCGCTTCCATCACGCTGCACAAACGTGTACCGCTCATCTGGCACCTGTACGGCATTCCATGTCTCTCCCTCTACCCACTCTACCTCTACACATACTTTGCCAAGTACGATGAGTGGGTCAAATCGGAGGAGTGGACTTTCATCTACACTCTTGGCCTCTTTGGCGGCCACGCGCTGAGCTTCCTCGTCACAAGATGGAGCATCAAGGCCAAAGCACTGATTACCTGCCGCAGCGTGAGTTTGCAACGCACCACATGAAGGTCAAGAGGGCGGTAGAACTTATATTCGTGCTCCTGCTGCATTTTTTCAGGCATCTTCCTTGAAGGAAGCTGAGGTTGTGCGAGTGATTCCAATTGCGCACAAGGGCGAAGGCGAGCTCGTGCCACTCAAACGAGTCACCCGAACAGGCTCACCGGACGAGATCAGCTTCACCTACCAAGCCGACAAATACATCTACACGCTGCCAGACGAGAAAGCTTCCATCACCGGCGTGCTCGTCTCGCCGCTCATATCTGAACCCACCTTCCGCCGCCTGCCGTATCCGCCAGACAGCGCACCCGTGCTGCAGCAGTTCCAGGGAAGCACGGGTCTTACGACGGATGCACAGGTCCAGCAGGCGCTCGACACATACGGAAACAACACGTTCAATATCCCTGTCCCGACTTTCATTGGTCTGTTTGCAGAGCATGCTGTCGCGCCGTTCTTTGTCTTTCAGGTCTTTTGTGTCGGGCTCTGGCTGCTTGACGAGTACTGGTTCTATTCGCTTTTCACGCTGTTCATGCTTGTCGTATTCGAGTGCACCGTGGTATTCCAGGTGCGTACCTCTAACCAATCATTTGCATCCCGTCTCCCATACTGATAGCTTCATGTGCATCTTTTTCTGCACAGCGCTTGCGAACACTAAACGAGTTCCGGTCGATGTCCATCAAGCCATTCCAGGTCTGGACGTACCGCGCTAGCAAATGGGTAGAGGTCTCCACATCTGACCTCCTGCCGGGTGATTTTGTCTCTGTTGTGCGCTCCAAGGAAGACTCTGCAACGCCCTGTGACTTGTTATTGCTCTCCGGCTCTGCGATCGTTAACGAGGCCATGCTGTCAGGAGAGTCGACCCCTTTGCTCAAGGAAAGCATCGAGTTGCGCGATGGGTCCGACAAGCTGGACATTAACGGCGCAGACAGGAACAACGTCGTCTTTGGAGGCACCAAGGTTTTGCAGACAAATGCGCCGGACGCTGCAGCAGGCAGCAAGTATGCTAGTCTCGCCGCCCCGGATGGTGGTGCGCTTGGCGTTGTGCTTCGCACTGGCTTTGGCACAACGCAGGGTCAGCTCATCCGCCTAATGGTTTTCACCAACGAGGGCCGTGTCTCGGCTAACAACATCGAGTCGTTTGTTTTCATCGCTTTTCTCCTCGTTTTTGCCATTGCTGCCAGCGCTTACGTCTGGATCAAGGGAAACGAAATGGGGAGGCCAAAGGGAAAGCTTCTGCTCGACTGTGTGCTCATCATCACTTCCGTCGTCCCGCCCGAGCTGCCTATGGAACTCTCCATGGCCGTCAACACCGCACTCATGGCCCTCGCCAAGGTCGCCATCTTCTGCACTGAGCCCTTCCGCATCCCTTACGCGGGCCGTGTCGACGTCTGCTGCTTCGACAAGACGGGTACCATCACGGGCGAAGATCTGGTCGTGCAGGGCATCGCGCAAGTAGGCACAAAGTCCCCGGAGCATCTGCATGCGGTCAAGGATAGCGACAAGGATACGACGCTGACCCTCGCAGCGGCACATGCCCTCGTTTTGCTTGAAGACGGCGTCGTGGGAGACCCGATGGAGAAGACGACCCTCGAGGCACTCGACTGGAAGCTGAATAAGGGGGATGTCCTGAACCCATCGGTCATCAAGAACTCGCCGCACAAATACCAGGTGCAGATTCGCAGGCGCTTCCAGTTCAGCTCGGCCCTTAAGCGCATGTCGACGGTTAGCTTCGTGTCGGACCCCAGTGGCAACCAACGCAGAATGCTCGTAGCAGTCAAAGGTGCGCCTGAGACGCTCAAGGGCATGTACTCAAACCTTCCGGCTGGCTATGATGAGACCTACAAAAGCTTCACACGGCGCGGAAGTCGTGTGCTCGCGCTCGGCTACAAGTACTTGGATGGTGTCACGCCAAATGCGGACACAATCAACAATCTAACCAGGGAAAGCGTCGAAGCTGGCCTCCAGTTTGCTGGGTTCCTCATCTTCCACTGCCCTCTCAAGCCTGATGCAGTCGCTTCGCTCAAGCAACTACACGACTCGTCCCACCGTTGCATTATGATCACCGGCGACAACCCACTCACGGCGGTGCACGTCGCAAGCGAAGTTGAGATTGTCGACAGGGAGACGCTCATCCTCGACGTGCGCGAAGGTGCCACCAGCGAGACGGATCTCGTCTGGCGGAGTGTGGACGAAAAGATCAGCATTCCCGTCAACCCTGAGGCGCCCATCGACACGAGCCTCTTCGACAAGTACGATATTTGCATGACCGGCGTCGCTCTCAAACAGTACCAAGAGAGGCCAGAGGCTTGGAAAGACTTGATCGAGAACACTTGGGTCTACGCGCGCGTTTCTCCTAGTCAGAAGGAGTTCATTCTCGAGTCCTTCCGCAAGCTTGGGTACATCACCCTCATGGCCGGAGATGGCACCAATGATGTCGGTGCATTGAAAGCCGCCAACGTTGGAATCGCCCTACTCGACGGTACACCGGAGGACTTGGTGAAGATAGCAGAGCACCAGAAGAACGAGCGCATGAAGAAGGTCTACGAATCGCAGCTTAGTCTCACGTCGCGCTTCGGGCAGCCGCCTCCTCCGGTTCCGCCGCAGCTCAAGGCTCTTTACCCTGACCTGGAGAAGGCACGGGACGCAGCGCTCGCGAACCTCCAAAGTGAACGTCGCAACAATCCTTCTGCCAAATTCGACTTTTCCTCCATCACCTCGCAAATGGCTGACCTCGACGAAGACGGTCCTCCACAAATTCGCCTGGGAGATGCCAGTGTCGCAGCACCCTTTACGAGCAAGCTTGGACACGTCAACGCCATCGTTAACATCATTAGGCAGGGGCGCTGCACGCTCGTCGCTTTTACGCAGATGCACAAGATTCTCGCGCTCAATTGTCTCATCCAGGCGTACTCTCTCTCAGTCCTTTACCTCGATGGAATCAAGTATGGCGACTACCAGGTGACGATCAACGGCATGCTAATGAGTGTGTGCTTCCTCTGCATCTCGCGCGCCAAGCCGATGGAGAAGCTGAGCGCGCAACGACCGCTTGCGCGCGTGCTCAGCGCTTACGTCTTTATTTCTGTCCTGCTTCAATTCGCACTGCATGTGGCCACGACGCACTATCTAACGCTGCTCGTTCCCGAGTACGAGTCGCCCGAATCAATTGATCTTGAGGCGAAATTCAACCCGTCGCTCCTGAACTCGGCCATCTTCCTCATCGGCTTGAGCCAGCAAGTCAACACGTTCTCCGTGAACTACATCGGCCACCCTCACCGAGAATCGCTCCGACAAAATCAGTACCTCTACTATGGTTTGCTCTCCTGCTTCGGTGTCGCATTTGCCGGCGCGACGGAGTTTATGCCAGAGATGAACGAATGGCTGCAGCTCGTCAAGCTTCCGGGCGCTTTCCAGGTCCGCCTTGTCACGCTCATGGTACGTTGCATTCGTTACCGCAGCATTGACGCTTTGCCGCTGATTTTGCGCACGTCTCACTGTTTTGCTTTCCTTCCCCCTCTCTATGTGCAGGTCGTTGACTTTGTGGGGTGCTACATCATCGAGTGGACCATCAAGGCTATCTTTGCTGACCAGCAACCCAAGGACCTCATCACAAAGCGCAGAGAACGCATGTACGAACGGCGGAAGGCCGAGCTCGAGAAAGTGGCGTGAGTTGCCGGTGTTACCCAGAATCAACAGCGTCTTCAGACAAGGATCTATAGAGAGCACCTTTATCCTTGGTAATTAAGATTGCCGCGTAACCCCTGCGGGTGTAATAGAACACATTACCTGAAAGATAGCGGTCTATGATAATCGCTTGAAACTTATGGTCGTGGTTGTGGACCCGGTCTGACCCCCCTGAAAAGAGCAACAAGTTCTTGGTCTGTGAGCTTATGCTCGATTGTGCTAGCCACTGAAGCGTTGACACTGTGCACTCACAAATGAAAACTTGGCTGTTGGGACGAAGTCTTTCACTTCGAAGCCAGCTTTTGAATTAGCAAACTTGGCTGTGAGCTCCTGTTCGGTAAAATTGCAGCTGGTGATGAGGAAGATGCCGCCTGCTTTGGTAAGGGACTTGACCGCGCGTAAATATAGGTCGACGGGTAGAGCGCCATTGATTAGCTGCGATGATAATGCAATGGCATCATAGGTCCCTTTGTCGCAGACCAGGTCCCAACCCGCTGGAGAGCCAGAATTGCGCAATGCATCGACTGCTTTTGCGTCGAGCAGGTCGAGAACTTCAAACGCCACCTCTTGATAACTCTGGTCCTGCTCCTCCGCTGCCTTTCTCATGCCTATCGATTTCGCGAGACTGATTGACCCTGCAGAATAGTCAACACCTTTCATGCGGCTCGCTGACAGCGCAGTCTCCGCGTCGCCTTCCAGGAGCGCGAAGAGCATGTGTCCATTGCCGGTGCCCAAGTCGAGAACGGACAACTCGCTGGCCGCCGGTTCTTCATGCTCTTCTTGGCGCTGTTCGAGGTAGCGTTGGATATACCGTACCATTCGATCGACAGAGTCTTCTCCGAACCTATTCTTTTTCCGAAGTGAGGGAGAAGGTGCTTTATTAGGAAAAAGCTGACCTCATGCGTGATTGACCCGCTGCCAGGCATTAATGGCTCACCACACCTCGCCTTCATCACCAAAATCATTAAAGTTCTTTACTTCCCGCCTAGAAACAGTTTGAAAGAGAATTTTACGGTGTTTTGAGTTTAGTTGAGCTTCGGATACCTGCCCAGAGGCAACGGAAGTGCAACGCACGCATAAACTTCATCCCAGTGCGCTTTCGTACCGAGCCTTGATTCTGGGAGACTCGTGCTAGCTGCCGCTCCATCGTCCCTGTCGGTGTTCGCCATTGTGCAAGTTGGACGCGATTGCTCTTGCTTCTAAGCCGCTTTCGACAAGAATGACGCCACTGTGACTCTTAGGTGAGCTCAGAATCCAAGGAAGAGCCAATCCCGATTTTCAATCCTCGCGGCCAACGTGAGAAAGAGACAACAGGATCAATTGAGCTTTCAAGACTGAGTCGTCAGTAGTCAAAAGCTAAGAAAAGAGTCCTCACGGCAACGTAATTGGTGACTCGGCGTGTATATGCGGCGCCGTCACGTGACCGCACTTGCCTCTTTAGCTGTCGAGTACTAAAAGTTACTTCTGTCTTGGGATGTTCTAGTCGCTGGACAAGGCAAGTTGTGGTCTTAGGTGGTCTTATAGCATGCATCGGTTCTAGCAACCACGGCGGCAGTTTCGAGGTAGCTAAGCGGTTGGATCAGATCACGGACGTGCACGCGTGGCAGAATAGTAAGATGTGTGAGCAAGGTCGAAGTTAGCGAGCTATCCGTCAACGCTTTCGACTGACATATTTCATCGGTCTCGTAGCGGCACCATTTTCCTTCAACTTTGGCGGCAACGCTGGAGGGACTGGTACGAACAGTAGTGCAAATGGCGCCGCTGGAGTGAACAAGCCTACAGGCTTCTCCTTTGGCGCCCCTACAGCTGGACAGGCTACAGGGGCTGCGACCGGCGGCAGTCTCTTTGGCCAGCCAGGCTCTACTGCAACAAGCGCGACTGGCGGTCTCTTTGGGACTTCTGCTTCATCTGGTCCATCCACAACGCCGGCCAGTAGTGGTCTGTTCAGCTCTGCGAATGCACCGACCGGGACGAACACCTCTTCAGCGGCTTCGGGGACATCCACACCAGCTTCGAAGCCAACTGTCAGCTTCGGAGGGTTCGGAGCGAGCTCATCCACTACGCCAGCTTCAAACCCTCCTTCGAATCCATTCGGAGCAGCTACAGGCGGGGGCCTGTTTGGACAGTCATCAATAGCTTCATCTGCAACACAGCCTCAAGATGCGAACAAACTCGCGACTGCGACTGCAGTTGGATCACTGTTCGGTGGAGGTGCAGCAGCAGGAGCAGCCAAGCCTGGCGCATTCTCTTTCGGATCCGCAACCGCCCCTGCGGCATCAAAGCCGGCTGAGGGCACAGCTTCTGTTCCCCCTACCTCCACACCCGCTGCAGCACCCGCCCCTACGGGCGCCATGTCTTTCCTTCTAAACAAGCCAGCTTCGGGAGACTCGTCTGCTGCAAAACCATCGACCTTCAGCTTCGGGGCCCCTCCTTCCTCAAGTGCAGCTGCTACACCTGCGGCAAATGCTGCGCCAGCATCATCGACGCCCGCAGCCGCCGCTTTGGGCGGGTTTTCCTTCGCGCCCAAGCCAGCCACCACTTCGGCGCCGGCGGCGAGCGCGCCAGCAGGCACGACGGCTTCCGTGGCACCGACGCCGACGCCGGCACCGGCACCTGCAACCTCAGGCACAGGCGCAGCAAAGCCGGCAAGTATGTTTTCTTTTGGAGCATCATCAGCTGCATCAGCAGCATCCACTTCAGCATCTAAGCCCGTCGAAGCTCTAGCAGCTGGATCTGCAGTCCCAGCTTCCAAACCGACGTTTGCGTTCGGCCAGCCTGCTGCTGCATTGCCAGAGGCAGCATCAGCGGGTGCATCTACGACAGTTTCAAACTCTGGTCCTACATCTGCAAGTGCCGCTTCGACCGCACCTGGGCTCAGTGCTCTGGCTGGATTCGCGAGTAAGCCGGCCGGCGCAACTGCCACATCAACCACTGCACCTGCTGCCGGGGCCGCTCCACCTGCCACAATCACAGCTGCACCCGTTGCGAAAGCACCAGGTGCCGCCGCAGCGCCAACTGCTCAGTCTGCACCTGTGACAGCGCCCGCACCCTCTTTTTTGCGCGGCAGGAGCATGGAGGAGATCGTGAACCGCTTTACGACCGAGCTCGATTCATCCCTGAAAGAATTCACTCGCCAGGCTGTCGAGATTGCAACCTGGGATCGTGTCCTGCTGCAAGGCGGCGACGAGATCGGCAAGCTGACTAAGGAGCTCATATCTGCTGAAGAACAGCAGATGCGCATCGAGCAGAGCCTGGATTACATCGAGCAGGAGCAGCGCGAGCTTGCGGAGATGCTAGATCAGTATGAGAATCAAGTCGGCTCCATAATTGAAAGCTCAACTCATCCGAGCTGGTCTTCAGCTTCTCTATCCCGGAGGCCCCACAGTATCGAGACGGGTGCAGCAGATGCAGAGCGCGAAAGGGCGTGAGTCTTGGCTTCTTTATCACTTGACGAATACCACGCTTCGAGTAGACTGCTCATTTGCCCTTCCTTCCCTTGTAGATACGCGCTCGCCGAATCACTCAACGCTCAGCTGGATGAAACATCGCGCGACCTCCGCTCGATGATCATCGAGGTCAACGAGCTGACGGGGCCGACAACCACTTCGCATGTTTCGCGCGGCGTCGGGCCAGGTGCGCTCAAAGGCAGTGCTGGCGCAGACACGAACGAAGACCCAGTCGCGCAGATTGTCGCGATTCTCAACGCCCACCTTGGCAGTCTCAAGTGGATCGACGAGACGACTGACTCACTCAAGGAGAAGTTGGAGTCACTCCGAAGGGGTCAGACGCCGCAACCTTCAGGTGCTGCAGCCCGCCCGGGGCAACGGGAATTTTACGGCCGCGCATCCACGGCTCGTCCGAGCGTGCGGTTTTGATCGGGTGTAGTACCAAGCCGAAATGATAGCGCTGGATATGAATGCATACAGAGCAGAGATGCGATACATGAAAATTAGATCCAGTGCGTGACTCAGCCAGAGGGCATGGAGGGGAAGGGCCCGCTCAAGCGATTCGGGTTCTTGGCGACTTTGACCGTTCCTTCCGGTAACTCCGAGCTGTGCATCCGAGGACTCCGAATGGTCGCGTTCTTTTCCACCGAGGAAGGCGTCGACGCCTGCGTCTGGACTGTGGTCTGCTCCATGGCTGCTTGCAACAGCTTCAAGTCGTCAAGGTGCGCCTCACACTTGGCCTTTGTAACTTGTAGATACGCAATCAAGGAAGGCATCGCCTCTGGCCGCATCGCCAGCTTTTTGTACACCGAAGAATCTTTTTCTGAGACGACAGCTGTAGCAGACGGCCTCCGTGCTGGCGGTGGTATAGAAGTAGTAGCATGGCTAGTGTCAAACGCTGAACTAGGAGATTGTTGCCCCAAGATTGAAAACGAGCGTCGATGCGGCTTGCTGGTGCCGCATTCTTGCTCTCCTGAATCCGGCAGCGCGATGGGCTGCTTACGCGGGGACTGCAGGGTCGAAGGTGCTTTTCCTACCACAGGCGGTGAAATTGGACGCGAAGCAGGGTTCCCATGGCCACCGCTGCCCCCGAAGGAAAAGAGGCGACGGCGAACATTATGAAATGCTTCTTCCGTCGACGATCGACGGCCGCCTGTAGATGTCGGAATTGGTGCTTCGACCGAAGGCGACGGTGCATCCTTCGAAATACGCAAGATTTGCGACAGGCGTCGCGATGGCTTGCTTTCATTGGCTCCACGCCCCGATGAAGCCGCTCTACCCATCTTGAGGTGTGAAGCGGGCAGTGACCATTGTGTGCGATCCGCCGCATCCCCTCCAATAGACTCGGTCGACACCATAGCATTCTTGCTTCCGTATGGCACTTGCGGAACAGGTTCTGCTGCGGTTGCTGAGACACGGAAAGACTTGAGCAACTCCTTCAGCCCGGATAGGCCTCCTCGGCTCGCAGATTTTAAACGGCCGCGAGAGCCTTTACTGATGGAACCTTGCTGGAATGACTCGGTAGATATTGCCGCAGTCGAACTGATGTACGGGGTTGTCGATCGGCTTTGCGCCTTGGCTGTAGAGTCGAGTGTCAACTCGGCAGATTGGTTTGGCTCAACGAATGAAAGAAGGGCGGGCGATGGCAGAGGGTGACATGACGTAGACATTGAGTTTGAACTCATCTGCGTGATGTTAGAGGACCGGCGCATTCCGCTAGCTGTGGGAGCTTCACCGGATAGCATCGCTGTCAAAATGTCCAACTCTCGCTCAGCAGACACGACACGGGATCCACCACGTTGGCTGCCTCGATCCGACGCGTGCAAAGATGCGGAGTCTACTTCGGAGCTCTGGCCACTGACCGATCTGTACGAGCGACGACGCGAACCGCCATCAAAGGTGATGCGCCGCTCTCGCATCTGAGCGATCGATTCAGAGTGACTGACCGTCATCGCCGTCACTCGATCATCCTCAACGCTCTTTCCCTCTGCCAGACTGATGAGGACATCTGCACACTCCCACCAGGACGCAGTGGCTGCTTCGGTGCGGTCAATGTCCAGGGACAGTAGCCCTGACGCAAGCGGCAATGTGTCCAGCAGGGCCTTGTGCCGAATCTGTAAAATCTTCAGGTCTGCAATCCGAACATGTCAGCTTTGTTGGACCCATACATTGGCAGATTCAGCAGACTCACCCTCGATCCCTTGCGCGAAGTTCCGGACGAACCCAATGTTGGTGCGGAGCCCTTGCTGAGCCTGACTGATGCGCTTGGGAATTCTCAGGTCCCCCAGACTGTTGCGCCGGACGAACGTCTCGCTCTGCGACTTGATACCCATGCCAGGCCGTTCCATCTCTCGCGCATTTGCCTGCGCTTCATTGTGGCTGCTACCACTGCCGCCTGTGGTGCTGTCCTTGAGTGCACTCTGCGTCTTCCTGGCTCGCAAAGGCGATTTCGGCCCAGGCAGTGCAGGCGCAAAGGCTTGTTCTGTTGATGATTTACGTATCTGTATTGTCGCAAGCGAGTCGGAAGTGGCGAGTGTGCGCTCCGCTTCTTGAGTCGAACTTCGACGCCTCGCGCTTTCCTGCAGCTGGTCCTTCGGCAAGAGTCCACGATCGCCCACGGCTATTGGCGCCTGCGCGTGGTGAGAATCGAAACTCGTGGCGTACACAGATGCATCTGAGCTTTTCTCGCTCCCGCTGCCTTTCCGCATTGCCGCGAAGCGCCTCGGTCCAGCTGCAGTCGTCGCTCGTTCTTCTATTGGGATTGGAGACGCACTGCCATGCGTGTAGCTGGAGCTTAGATCGGACGGGCCTCCCTGGCTGGACTGTGTGTGATAACTGGACGAACCGTCGGAAGGCTTGGATTCATGGCCTGCGTAGATGATGCGAGATTTCGATACTGCCAGCCGTGGAGGCGGAAGAACTTCACTGCAACCGAGCATTGATACCTTAGAGGAACGCTCGTTGCCATAACTGCTCGGTTGCCCAGACCACACTTGCAGTAAGGGCTCTTCCATAGCCCTATGACTTGGTATTGCCGCATTGACAGAGACAGAGGGTCCAGCACTGCTGTTCCCGGGAACGAGCACTCCCATCGTTGCCGACGATGCGTCATCTTCGCTCACACTTGCCAGCGATAGCGAAGAAGACGATGCGAGCGTATTGCCTTGCACCGGTGAGCTCTCCGCCTGCAAACGCGAAAACGCTCGTGGGAAGCCGAACGCCAGTGATAAACTGCTCTGTGTGCGCTTGTGTTTCTTCCTTTTCCCTTTATCTTCGCGTGATGCTGCTGTGATCGCAGCTACCGCGGTGCCGCCATCCGGACCGGCGGGCGGCGTTGAAGACGCTGGTAGACCTGGTAAGTCAAACGATGCCGAAGGGCCGCGGCCCTGTATGCGCCATCCCGACGAAGCTGCCAGATGTTCCAAATTGGCAGACTTCGGCAAGGCTGAAGGATCAGGGCTAGGCTCGCGCTTGGTAATCGATGAACGAAAAGGGTTCCAATTCTGTCTGCCAGAAAGCTTCTTTGCTTGCTTCTGCTCCATCTGCACCTCCTCGGCCAAGTTGACTGCCGGAGCAACAGAGACGAGCGGTGTATCATCGAGAAACGGAAAGACAGCGTTTGAAGAGCGGTCATGTGGCGGTGTCGAAGGAAACTGGATCGCTGCGACAGAGGGTACGCTCCTACCTTCTTTCTTATTGTATTTAGGCAACGATGCGCCGCGCTGGCGTGCAGGTGTCACCACGGCCGAAGGAGGCGATATCGTGGATGCAGCAGAACCAGCAATTGCAGCGGCTTTAGGTGTGGAGGATGCTTGAGCGAAGGGTTTGCCGCCATTACCAGGGACGCCATTTCGCTCGCCGCGTAGTCCTTCGAGCAGGGAACGCTGATTAGGCCGCTCCAATTCGTTGTCGGATGTGGCTATGCGCGAGCTTGCGGCGATGGCAGCAGCGGCAGACTTCTCTTCTCCTTCCGTCTCAGTGTCTGTGTCCTCTCCATCATCATATCGTCCAGATTCTTTCGCATCGGCGGCACTGGCAATGGCCCACCGCTTGACATCCTTCTCTAGACTGCGTGTGGACGACATGGACCCCGAAGCGGAAAGCGCAGGTCCTGACAGATCTGTGAATCCACTGGCAACAGAGTCCTCGTCTGAAAACCTCTTCTCCATCACGAGTGAACCTGCAAGCGCAGCAGCACTGGTCGCTGCACTCGTCCCGCCGCCAGAGCTCGGATGCATCTGAACCTCGTTCCCTCGCAAAGTCCTCGACGAGCGCGACGGCACGATCCTCGGCGTATACCCTGGGGGCCGACCTGGGCTCTCGGTGGCCAAGCTTTCTCTCCGAAACACCGGTAAAGCCGAGGGTGATGGGCTAATGGTGTCCATGAGGAATTCTGCGTCCCAATTCTCGTCCTCTCCATCCAATCCTGCACTTCCATTTGCGATATACTCTTCTCCGTCACGGCTGGCTGCGAGCGGCGCGTGGATCACTTCAGTGGAACGGAAAGAGGTTGCACCTGAAAGTTCCTGCGCAATGCGACTGTTGTCCTGTCGCGAATGCTTTGGGCTTACACCTCCAGGACTGCCATCCATATCATCGGCGGCACGCCTTTGCCCCACATCTAGGGGCAAGTCTGGGACGCCAAACGTAAGATACCGTCGCCTCCGACGCGGAGAACCTCCGGCCAACGCCGCCTGCCGTCCGTATTCGCGGCGATCGTCTACAGCTAGGTCCTCGTATTCAGCGTCGCCGAACAGGAAATCTTCATCCCAGCTTTCACTCTCTTTCGCTTTACCCTTCCGGAGCAGCGGAGAAGCCGACATGTATACGGGTTCTGGCCTGATGCCTGTCGACGAAGTGCTTCCGGGGTCAATGGAAGCGCTCGTCATGGGCGAGGTGGGTGTTCGTAAGTGATGCGGCGAAACTGAGGACGCGTGCGCACAACCGCCGCCACTGCTGCTTGCGCTCCGCCCTCGACTCATGCTGATACGACTGCTGCTGGCGCTTCCCGTGCTTGCGCTAAACCCGCTGCGGCTGCCGCTTGGAGTCGTTCCGGTGCCAGATATGCCTGATGATGACGCGGTTGTACTCGTCGTGACCGACGATGAACCACTTGTTACACGGCCAACGTGTGACGCGTAGACTCTTTGCTGATGCTGCTGCGGCTGCTTTCGATGGCTGTGACTGTGACTGTAAATATGGCCTTGAGAGTCAGACAGGGCAGAAGAGGCATGCGGTCGATGACTGCCGCGAAGCTGACCGAATCCAGATGACCTTCCCTCCATCTCGTCTTGCGAAGGCGAAGTAGATACCGATGTCGACGGCGATGGTGATGGTGAGGGTGAGGGTGATGGCGAAGGTGATTGCGACCGCGAGCCTCTGAATACGATGCGATACTTGTCTGGTACTTGCGGTCGTTTAGTCGGAGAAGACTGTGGAGACGGCTTGATAGCGAGCTCCGGGTACTCCATCGCCATACGAAAGGCTGAGCCAGGTCCGAAAGTCAATATGCTAGGCTCTTGCTGATCCGGTGTACGTGGACGTGTCCGTGAGGAAGGTGGTGAGGTTATTGATGCTAGCGCCTGATGATGCCATTGTGCTTCGACTGCTCGGCCATCGCTCGCCATTTTGCCTGGGGCAGACCGCCTCGGACCTGCTCTATTCGGCCGTGGAAGCACAGGGCCAAGACTGCTCGCAGCAGACATCTCGGCTCCGAAGCTCGAGGTTGGCGTCCTTCCTGCACCGAACAAAAACCCTGGAGGATCAAAGCCGCGTCGACTCTTCGAAGACGACCCTTCCGCCTGTCGCATCGGGCGATCATCCATGGCTAGTTGGGTGGATTGGGCCAGCCCGGTTGATCAGCTCCGGAGTCATCGATATGAGCATGAATGCATCAATAGCAATGTGCAACTAGTATGCTGAGCGCCCAAATCAAGCTAACTGTACGATCTGATTGATACACTTGTTGGGAGATGTCAGCAGCCCAAGTCAGAGGTGCGAGCGGCGGACCCCGATCGTGCGCGCCAACATCGGCAGCAAACAGCTCACTCACCTATCGACCCGTTGCCTGCGCCAATGCAAATATGAGAAACCGATGTTCCGAAGAAGAAATGACACACGTCCAGGTTGCTTCTTCTGTTGCACGGCAGAAGATGAGGAGGCGGTCTCAGCCATGTGCTGTGCCCTGTGCTATACGGAAGAGCATGTTGTGATCAGGGCAAGCTCTGCCCCGGAAAAGGATGCTAAGTGTGCACAACATCGCACCGTTTTCTGGGCGGGTGCCACGGATCGCGTGGTGCGCTTGCTCTCGGCCGGGCCGGTTTCCTCATCTCTCCCTACTCTTTGATTGATATACTCACATACTCATGACTCAATGTTCATCAACTTTCGATCGTCGCACCGACCGCAACAATGGGCAGCATCAAAGTCTCGCTCACTCATGCTCCTCAACCGAATGTGTCGATGACGAGGGACGGGCGATCTGCGGGGGCGGATGAGATAATCGGAAGCTATCAGATGGTCCTAGCGGGTACAGACGAAACATACGTGAAGTGGATGTGATCCGAAACCGACTTGGTCCAAGGTTGCGTACATCCGCAGAATCGATCAAATACAATACCCGAATCATGTGGGTACTTCCTGCAGCCTCGCATGGTTTTATGTCTAGTCGAAATATGCAAAGCCTGCCTCGCATCATGTGCAACCCCATTAGCGGTTGCGCAAACAGATTTTCAATGTGAAAGTAACGCTACTTGATGGCGTTGCGCCATGGCTACACGCCAGGGTGAGCTTTATCCTGCACTGCCAGCTCCAAGCGCTGCACCATCTGTTCCTCGAAAAGTCATGAAACTGTCGAAACATCCATGATTCTATTCAATATTCCGTCTCTCGCAAACCCAGTTCGAGCGATGCCGTACGAACGGACGAGACTCTGTATGGGTTCGATGAAACATCGAGCGAGCCTAGAGGCGGCTAGAGCTCAAGCAGTCAGGATGGAACACGAAACACGTTTAAAGATGGCGGGATGCCTTGCAGCTGGGAAATTACCTGACTAAAGTCCCGCTAAGGGTTACATAGTGGCAAACACGGCTAATTAAAAGCCCAGGTAAATGCAAGGAGAGCGGACCACTGGGTAAGGGTATCGCAGACGGCAAGAGTGCGGTTGCCGACTGCCGCGTCGCTTGTTTGTTCCAGCAATGTATACCCGTGGCCTACGGTGGTTACAAATGGGACTGGCGCTATCTAGAACCAGTTTGGATATAGGGCTTTATTTTCAACAAGCAACATGTTCGACACGGTCTATTTGGAACTTCTGTTCCTTCAAAATTTGAACAGATTCCAGGTAATTTGCACTGCGTTGGAGCTTTCCTTCATTGTGTTTAGTCTCCGTAAATTCCATGTTGCGCTCTCGTTGATCAAGACTTTTTTGGGTCGTTCCCAGCGTCGCATGGTCAGACCGAAATGTGCACGTCTTGCAATTCTTCCTCAAGCGATACTGGGATACATCCTAGCATTGAGCCTACACGGATGTTTGTGCATGTTATGAATCTCGACAGTTTTCGGTGCGCGCCGCACATTGACTATAGGCTGATAAGCAAAGAAGCTATGAAGGGCGCGTTCTTAGTAGTCAGCGATGGTCAAGGCAAAACAAGACCAGGCTATGAGTTTGATCAATAGCGCAGTCTGGAAGAATACACGACAACGTGCTCTACTTTCTGCGAAACTGCAGGCCCAGGCGTCTTGTTCCGTGCCCGCTTCGCACCGGCACCTTTAGCTGCGCTCGCGCCTGCGCCGCCTCCTAGCCCAGCATGCTCCTCTGGCGGGACAAGCACGCGGCTCGTCCTGCAGAATTTAATCAGCAGTGCATCGCGCTTGTTCTGGTTGATTGCCAGCGAGTCGACGAATGGCAAGAGATCCGGTAGCAGCCACTGCGAACGCGTCAAGAAGAGCTCTTGGAAGCGCGCTGCGGCATCGAGAGGGAGGGCTGATCGCGGGAAGTACTGGATCCGGGCAGGGTGTGAAGATGAGGGTCGCAAAGGCGGAACAGGGTACATGAGGTGTTCGCCCTGAGAGGGGAAGGGGCAAGGGGGGCTGATGAGCGATGAGCTCTTTCCATTCTACCCAGGGTCACAAAATCTACCCTGACGTGCTCCTGACACTCACCTTGAGCAAATCCACATTGGCGTGTTCGACCAAAGCGTCGCCGACCATTTCCGCCCACCGAGCCATGAACGCTGCCAGCTTGGTGGGCTGGCCACTAGCCATGTCCTGCAACAATTCGAGCCCTATGGTCTTGGCCATCTCCTGCCCTTTCAGCGCGACTGACCTCTCCCGTCCTTTGCCTTTCGCAATCAAATCCTCGCCGTCGCCGTGCACATCATCCCCGTCCTCTGCGTCTCCGTTTGACGCACCAGCCCGAATCCGCTTCCCAAACCACTTGATGAGCACCTTCTTGGCGACGATGCGCGAAACGCCATGATCCGTCGCGAGCGCGTCGATGGTGGACGACTCGGGCACGTTATCTATGCAGTAATCATGCAGATCGAGATGGTTGAGCAATGCCGGTAGGACGCTTTTAGCAAGGTACGTGCGTGAGATGAGACGCGCGTGTCCGTCGAGCTTTACCACGCGATACAAGTCGAGGCCGGCCTCCAACTCCGTCCGACTGGCTTGTACCACCGAACGCACTTCTTTCATCGTGTAGAGTCGATCCCCAGGCTGTTATCAATCGAAAGGCAATAAAGTGTATTAGCGTCAGGTTTTGGCCAGCCGCAGGATTGCAGAGATGAGAAAAGTAAGACCCACAGCACCTTCGAACAGCTTCTTCGATCTCCTTTCCTCCTCATCGGGCCCTCTGTAAGCGCTCGCCTTTAGCAATGTGGCTATGCGCTCGAGCTTAGGCATCGCCCACTGTAGCTCCAGCGTATCCTTGACAGTGCATTTAAGCGAAAGAACTGCTTGCCCCTCATGACCTGCTTGTCTACAAGCAGTCGCGCCAGCGCCACTGCTTGCCGCAGAGCATTTGAGCAGAACAGCGCTGTCACTAGATGCAGGCGATGTCTCCCGTGTTGATGTCGAGGCGAGGGTGACGCTCGAAGCAGGGAGCAGAGTGCACAGCAGGAGGGAGTTGGACTGCGAAACGTGTCGTAGGTTGTACGTTCGTGATTCCGTGCAGACTGTTGCATCATCTAAGTAGCGTCCGTTAATCGTCAGGCTATTGGAATAAAATGCACTGCTATTAATGTCATGCCGCACGCGACCGATCGAGACTTTGTAAAGTAGAGGCTCACATCCTTCTGCCGGTGTCCCACTCGATTCCGTCATCATCATCACTACCATCGTCAATATCCGTGCGTTTCCGTTTTCCCGTGCTCTTGTGGCCGTTGCCGTCGTCTCCCCCATTCTCAAGCAAGGCCGCGATCTCTGGTGGCAGCTCGAGCAAGCGATACTCGGTGGACTCCGCTGGATCGGCGAGCAAATGGACGGTTGGTGCAGTCGGCGCAGCCGGTTTCATTTTTACAAGGCGCGTTGCGTGACTACCAGTGAACGAAGTCCAGCTCTGCAGAATGGAATTGATCCCGCACAAAGTTACGACCCTGATGACTGCACGCTGAACTTGGATGATGGCTGCTCATGCGCTCAAATCTCAATGCACTTGCTGCCGAAATGTAGTTGCAATGTTTGAGTTTGGTCGTGCATAAGATGGGTTGAAGCTGAGTGCGACGCGTCACATCCATGCGAGACGCGACGCGACGTGTCCACAGCCGCTGTGCCTCAAATTTTTAATACCCGCCGCCACAGATCACCCAGCGTCATCCCCTTGGTGCCCTCATCGTCCCGAGAAATCTCACTGCCAAACCGCCGACGACGGTCTGTACACCCACAAATCCCTTCTTGCGGGACCTTTACAGCAGGGCCACGTTCATAGCGGATGCCTGATTCATGGCGGACGCCCGAAATATATTTTTTTGGTGCGCCATGGCCGGCACGTAGTCTGCTGGCCGACCAGCCGAGCACCTCTCGGCCTTCTGTGGTCGAGGTCGAGTAGCAGCAGACTGAATGGCATATTGCTTTCGGGCACTGTCCAACCAAGGGCGGCTGTCACGTGTCAGTAAGGTCGCAAAAACTCGTAAGCAATACATGTTTTCAACCTCGGTTCGGTATGCCTGCATACCATTCCGCAGATTTCTGTAAGATCATGATGATGCACAAGGGTGTTCAATCAGAGGGCACCGAATCGAAGTCAAGCCGAATCTCACGATGTCCACTCCAAATATCATCCAGTTCAAATGTGCATGTGATATTTGAGAGTCCTACAAGTACAGCGGCATTCAAAGCAGCGGTGAAGACGAAAGACAAGTCATGTTCACTGTGCTCGAAGGTCGAAGAGCAGGCTGTACGGTTGGAGCGCAAAGCGAAGAGAGACAGTTTGTCAGACCCATGGATATGAGGCAAGCTCGCAACTGTCGCGCTTTTCTGACTTACAATTCAGCATCCTTGCCCCCGGTGCTCTCAAACTCGACTGCTTCGCCGACGTTAACCTTCTTAACGTATACGCCATCACCCTCGTTGAGCTGCAGCTCTCCGGCACCGGTCTTCATTTTAAGCGCTGCCTCATTCATCAGCGGGTGGTCCTTCATTTCTGGGCCCTTGTATCCGGTCGTCTGCAGCAGGTGGACGTAGAGCCAGCGTTCATACGGTGGTGACGTCTCGTTTGCGACATCCGAATCCTCGCCGACGATGTGCATCACGCTCTTGCTCGGCGTCAGGATGCTGGCGCGTGTCACAAGGCTGTTATTCGCTGGAATGGGCCGGCCAGAGGGAAGCACGCCCTTGACGACCTGCTCCTCCGGCGTGAATGTCTTCATCGGCTTGATCAGCGTCTTGAGCACATCACGCTTCATTTCGTCCGGCGTCTGCGACGTGTAGTACTGTGGCGTCAGATTGCGCTTGTCCGGCACGTACCAGATCTGCGCAAAATGCACTTCCTTCGACGGGTTGTTGTTGTACTCGCTGTGCCGTATCCCCGTGCCGCCAGAGGTGAACTGCAGGTCGCCCCGCTTGAGCGTCTCGGCGTTTCCCATGCTGTCCTTGTGCGTCAGTTCGCCGCTGACGATGTACGAAAAAATCTCGGCCTGGTATCAAAAGTGAATTTATCTTTGTCTAGGGCTTCAAAGTGGTATGGGGAACAAGGAGTGCATCATGGCTCACATTCGAATGCGGGTGCGTTGGGAAGCCGGTTTCTGCTTCAACACGGTCTTCGTTGATGACGCGGAGATCAGAGAAGCCCATGTGCTTGGGGTCATAGTAGCTGGCAAAGCTAAAAGTGTGAAACTAAAGTCCAAGACTTAGTAAATAACCCTTGATTGATGTCTATTGTTCTCCAGCTCACAGTCTTCAGCCAACCATGGTCGGCATGCCCTCGCTGAAACCACCTGCGTGGTGCAATGTCGGGATGTGCCGCGAGGGTATGAGATGGCGAGTTGCCATTCGTAGTGGTAGCCATGTTGCGTAAGTACGAAGAGATTCGGGAAGAGTACGTGTTGTGGAGGTAGGTGCCTGCTGAGGCGAGTGTATGCGGTGCAGATTGCTTCTGTGCGATTCGAAGAGAGCCTAGAAGGACGGCACTGGAGGCGAGCGCTGTGCGGTTAGAGAGCATGTCCCAACCTCCTGACGAAGTTAATTCGGGGTTGTATCGAAAGGTGTTCACATTATAGGAATGATTCGAGGAAGAGGGAGCTGGATTTGGATGGCTGATTTCGCCTGTATATATACACTTTCGGCCTTAGCACCAAGCTGGCAAGCTTGTATATACACAGCTTTGCTTGTTCGTATTGCATTCGCTTCGCTCGGCTTCACTTCGTCGAGATGGAATCGGTGTCGTCGACATAACGCATGGAGATAAAATTCGGAACGGGACCTCGTGACGTCAATAGCACTGAGCAGCCTGTGTATAACGAATGGCTAGCCATCACTGGCTCAGTGTCCTCCCCCTTTCCCCCCTTCTTATTGTGGAAGCTCCGCTTTTCAAACGTGCATGGGCAACACTTGTGCCTGCAAGACTGATGAGATGCCGGGTGCGATCACTCACTGACAAACCCTATGTAAATCCTGGACCAGAACGCCGCAAGCAGAGGCGGGGCGTTGCTAAGATGGGTTCTCAAAATCTCCATCCTGCTTTGTACATGGGACGAAGCGACAGCTGCTGTATCCTCCACAGAAAGCTTACTTCCTTTCGACATGCCGGAACGGAGTTCTCGTTTGCTCGAGATCGAAGCATACCAAAGCTTTGTCACGATTCGGGCCAGGAATGACTCAAACTTCATGCAGGAGAAGACATTGACGCGATTCATCAGAGAGGAATGGCGCAGCTTGATCAATCGAAAGGTTTTCCAAGGATTACGGTGCGGACGGTTGACAGGATGACCAAGGGAGCTCAAATTAGCCCCTTCATCTCGGATTTCCTGTGCTTGTTCTGCAAGCCGATATCTCACTCAAAACCTTGCACAACGAACTTCGTTTCCTCTGTGATGGACCTTGGCAACTTCCTTTGGCTAGCCACGCGGTCCTGTAGGGACTGTAACGTGTCATGAACATTGCTCCGCCCAGTATCAAGTGGGCGGTCAGTCTATGAAACTTCTCAGAAAGCTCTTCTAGGCCTATCTTGTCTTGCTTTTCGAGTCGGCGGTGTCCCTTCGCGTGGTGGCACCACTCCCATAAACCCTGCCGGGCGACCTCATGCTCAGACAGAATTCGCGGCGAGCAAAGCATAGACGATAGAGGTGCATCAATTGTGATATTTCCGAAAAGGACTATTTTCATGAGTCCAATTATTGGTCATTGACCCCCCACCAAGAGCATGACAGAGGCAGCAGCGGATGAGATGAAGGAGGACATTGGAAGCGTCGACGCTGGGCAAGCTGTGGATATCGACCTTTTCTCAGGCGACCAAGTTGTAAGTAACTCTTTTCGAACTTCTGTGGCACTCGATACTCCCGCCGCCTGCCCGCCTTTTTCTTTGAATTCATTTGGGAATGAAGATATCTGCACGGGGTTTGTCTGAACATTATCGCTACAAATGGAACAACAATCTCACCATGAGCAGTACCGAATGGACGGAGCGCTCTGGAGGAGTTCCTTACGCTGACGACGCACTCGATGTCAGCCCAAGAAATTTTCGTGGTACGCTCTAGATGATTGTGTCACGGATCTCCATAGGCAAAGGAAATGAGGCAGGAAGTTGGAGGAGCGTAGTTCCATTTATGTGTACTAACAGAAACTGAGACTCAACTACAAGTGATCACTGAGCTGAACTTAAGTCCGGTGAAGTCATTGGAAGTCGTCGGAGCAGCCGGAGATCCACCGGACAGTGACCCCAGACTCCCGTTTGTCCACTCTTGAGGTCAGCACAGCACGGGAGCGCACCACCTGTTGTATTGATGTGGACCCGCTCACAACACCAAGCGTCCCCTACTCCGCTAGCCTGTACCTATTTATTCCAGGCCACATGACGATCGCATTTTTGAGGTCGCAAAACAGACTCATTCGCAAACGCAAAGTGGCTCGCGGGCGTGCAAAACCTTTGGCACGACTTGATCGCACTCCCCGTTTCAGTGCTGCGCTGGGGCCAACCAGATCTCTCTCCAATCGTAAGCAGCAATCCCCAGCCGACCATGGGGATCACACACGCCGAGTACCTTGCATCGACCAAAGTTTTTGGCTGTGCTAAGTGTAAGACGCATTTGGCGACCATCGATGGGCTGATCAGCAAGGTGAGCCCCTTCAAATCCACATAGGGAGGACATAGAGAGGGGCCGATCCCCATGTATGCTGGCTGGGCCTCATTGTGTGTTGCGCGACCCGGGACGCAGACGATGCTGACCACAAATCCAACGCTCCCTTTATGTGCTTCGGCAGAATTTCAATGGTCAACACGGCCGTGCTTTCCTCTTTGAGACGGTCGTCAACATCTCGCTCGGGGCACCAGCAGACCGCGAGATGATGACGGGCATGCACACCGTACGCGATATCTATTGCGGCAAGTGCTCAACCACACTTGGATGGCGATATGTACGTTTTGCGAGGTAGTAGCAGCGGTCACTGTTAGCTAGACGATTTTGCTGATCACTTCGCTCTCGTTTGACCGCTCGAAGGACCGAGCATTTGTTTCGTCAGAAAAGTACAAAGAGGGAAAGTTTATCCTGGAGAAGGCGCTCATGGTCGACGTCAAATAGACCATTAACTGTACAGTATGGGCCCTCGGCCGCCATCCACTGTTAGACACCCGATTCCAGACGGACATCCCCTCTCGCCTAAGCCATGACCGTCATACCTACGACCTATCGCACACACCCCGTTCTCACCAAGGCTTCACAGCGTCTGGCACCTCCCCCTACATTCGCTTCACGGTCTCAGCAATACTAAAGCTCAGCAATAGACCAGCAATACACTGCTTTCTTGGCTCGTCGCACCACACAGCACATCCTTGCTAAAGATTGTTTCCCTCCTCCTAGTCGGAGCTGCGCGAGGCTGTGCGCAGCGAATCGCACATGTCCAGAGGCATGCGTCCAGGTAGCGAACGGCACCTAACTCGTTGCGCGCAAAAGTTTGCACGCCATTATTCGGAGGATGGGTACACAGCTGCGGCGGGTTAGATTCACTATCCCACGCTGTCACATGGGCCTTGCGTGCCTTCTTCAAGAACACTCTCGCAAAGGGAGGTGATTATTGACTTGGCCACTTCGCAACACCCAGAGGGCCACAGTAGCAAATATCGGCATGCAGGCTGCGTCGCAATTCGAGCAGGATTTCGGGCTGCATCGTCGCCCGTCCGCTTTCTAGCCCGAGCCCGAGCCCGAGCAACCTCTACAACCAGCGCAAGTGGAGCATGGCCCGACGACGTCGCAGCTGCGCAAAATTTTCGTCTCATCTGCCCGTGGCCAAGGCCAAAGCTCACTTGATGAATCAACCTGGTAAATCGCAACCTCTGGAATGGTCTCAAGTGCATAGCAGTCATTTGCCATGTGCACCCATCCGGAGCTGGCCAGCCTTGCATGATCATTGTACTGGTACGACAGCTGAGAGTACGATACCGTGTCCCTTCATACACTTCCATTTGCCGTCTCCTTGCCCTTTTCCTTGACGTTGGTTGCTCTTTTCCGAGATTCCTTAATGCGCGCTAGTCGGGCTCGTAAAGCAGCAACTCTGGATTGTTTGCGGCAGGCGCAAAAGGGCAGACCGCCTCTGTGTGTCAGCTTGCCGATCCAAAGTGGTCCCAAAACAAATCACCCTCTTCCACAGATTCACCTCTCGTCCCCTTCTTGCTGTAACCGCACCTCTTCCTCGTATCGCTGCATAATCTCTTCTTTTTCTTGTTGCTGGCGCTCTAATCGTTGCTCATCTTCGATCTCCTCTCGCGTCTTACGCAGCGCTGGGGAGGCGACGGCTACTCCCTCCTTGTCCTCATCGCCGTCATATTCGCCAGTTGGCTTGCGCAAGACGGCTGCAGCCTCGATCGTAGCTGCCGCGAAGCGTTTGTACTCATTGTCTGACCCTGTGCTATCCACCGCTGATGCACCGCCGAGGACTTCGCGCTGGAACTTCTCCCACTCTGATTCTATCACAGGGTCCGCCATGCGCTGCTTCTTGCTACCGTCACCATGGCTCGAGCTCTCCGCGTCTGCAGCTGGCGCATCTTGGCTTTCTGCTTTCCTTTTCCCGGTGGGGGTCTTGGATGAGTCTGCAACAGCTGCCGCCCCCTCTTCTTCTCGCCGTCGGCGCTCCTGAGCCTGCTGCTCCTCCGCCTGCCGTTCTTTCGCAAGGATGCCAGCGGCGTTCGACCGATGGCTTTTGCTTGCTGCATGGCTCATCCACAGGTTCTCGTGTTTGATGGTCATATACGAGCACGCGGAGCAGCGCAGAGCACTTGTCTTGCGGTTGTAGCTTGCGAACCGGTCTGTGATCGCCGGCGGCGCAGCGCCATGGCTACTGCTACCGCTAGCGCCAGAGCCGATGCCGCTCTTTGTAGCGCGAAGAAGCGCTCTTGCGTCCATTGTAGAGAACTTCTCTTACTGGCTTTATGCGTTACAGCCCTCTTTACTCCGGTCAGGCGGACTTCATCAAGAGATATTCGGAAGCTGGGAGCCTTTGCAAGTGTAGGCCAAGGCTCATGACAAAGTAATTAGCATGGGTATCATTTTCGGCTATGCTAAAGGCAAAAGTGGTCGCGTCGCGTCACACCCTCCCACTGGTGTTGATCGTGTTGATATCTGCAACCTCTTCTTCACGACTTCAACACCACGCTTTCCAAATACCAATCGGCAAGGGTTACAAGTAGACATCCCTCGCAGCACATGCGTACGGCGGACTGCACGATGCCCCCTGCAACACGGAGGTCACTCGGCCCTGCCTCTGCCGACACCAGCAGAGAGCAGCCACCACTAGCTGGCCGTGTCGATCCTGCCAAGATACGCGCTCCTGCGACCAGCAGTGCGCCAGGTCGAACGGCAAGGCAGGTCAAGGACACGAGTGCCGGCGTAGAAGCTAGCGAGGAGGAAGAGGATGAACCATGGACAAGCATCAGGCGTGAGTGTTCTGTGTAACTACGTCAAGTCGTGCATAGCTGATCAAGCTGTATCACCCCACGATTCGAAAGGCATCTTTGTGTCACGCACATTGCAACTTCACACGCTGTCTCCTTTGCATGTCCCGAGGCTCGGCAGGATGGGTGCTTCAAGCAAGGGCGCCGCATCAGGCAGTCTTTCTCTGCAACTCTTCGAAGAGCTAGGCGCTGAATTGCGCTCGTACATCAACATCCGATTGTCTGACGGCATGTCGGTGCTACACGTCGCGACGGGGCGCTCAACCGAGGCGGGGGGTGGAGGCCAGACTGGACAGCGAGAAGACACGATGCTCGAAGATGCGTCAGGCCGCAACCTTCCCATAGCAAAGCGACGTCGAATTGGAGACACAGTTGGATCAGCGCAGATCTCGGCCGTCAGGATGGGATGGCTGCCCGACCTGGACCTGGTAAATCCGCATGGCCCCAGAGGATGGAAGCGCGGCCAGATGCAACAGCAGATGGATGAGTCTTCGCAAGCATGGGCAATTGAGATCGAGCTCCATCGGCCGCCAGAGCCCGCCACAAAAGGCAAAAAGCGCAAATCCAAAGCAGCGGTCGCACGAGCAAAGGCGTGGAAGGCAATAAGACTCGGAGATCTTTGCCATCTCGTCTTCCTTCCCTCCTCTTCTGGTGCAGAAAGAGCCACGATGACAAGCACGGCTCTTGCATACCCAGTCCTTGTGACCAGGTCGTGCACGAACGCAGCGCCGGACGTCAATCGCGCCGTGCTAACGCACGCGCTCAATTGGGTTCAAGCACGCTTTGACTGCCGCGTGTCCACTGCCGCAGGCTCGGCAGCGCGCCGGCTGAAGGGGCTGGCGGTAAGCACCGACGTAGGCGCGGAAGTGAGCGCGGGGATTGAGGCTTTGGCGGAGAAGATCGTCGTCCAGGCTAGAGGCGAGAAGGAGGAGATCGACCGCTTGATGTCTCGCGGGCGACACGGCCTCCGCGGTTTGCAGCGGGACGACAGAATCGATGACAGTGCGTATGCTGCTGGACCAGTCGAGCTGGCATTCACTTTCCCTTCGGAACTGTGGGACGATCTCAGGATGGACGGATCCAAGGTTCCTGGACCTGCGCCAGATCTCAAAGCGCTCACATTGACGGTACCATGGCCTGTCTGTATGCGGTTGCTGGACGAGACCCCCCCAGGTGAGAGACTTCGGAATCCGGAAGTCTTTGAAATGTTAAATCATGACCTGACAAGACCTTCTATTCGAACCCTCCACAGAGACACCCCTCCTTCCAGCGATAAAAGCATACTTGTCACAGCACACATCGTTGGACCTGACACCGCTGACGCTATCGCGCATCGGCGCGGCAGGCATCAACTTTGGGCTGACAAGCAGCGCATGCCGCGTCAAATTCTACGATCTTGAAGTGGGCCTCGTCGCGTCAGGCACATTGGCAAAGATGCAGCGCGAACGCGTCACGCTTGTGCTGCAGCATCTCAGAGGCATGATCGAACACTCGGAGGATCGCTAGCGGCGACGGGCGCGGTGGCACTGCTGTCCAGTAAGCGAGTGCAGCGCGTACAGGATGCACAGGGATGCTTTTCCCAAGTATGATGCCGTGCTGTTGAAGTTTCATGTATGATACAGTGTTGTAGTGGGAAAATGATTGAACAACTCAATAGGGCTCTCCGGCGGAGGCGAGTGGGGTACAAAGGATTCTCCTCATCGCAAGCGGAAGCTACGCGGAGGGAGGCCGGCCTCGCGCTTTCCAGGCTGTGAGACAAAGTCGAACTTGTCGACGAGCTGTGAACAGGAAGAGATGACGATGCGCCTGTGAGCAATTTGCCTGGATCGGGATGTGGGGGCGGACCCGCGAGCAGAGAAACACACACACCTCGTTTAAGCTGTTCAGTCCTGAGGTCAAGCATGTCAACTGGTTGGTGAGGAACACATCATGGTACTCGGTTAGCAATTCAGCGTTCAAGCTTTGCCCCTCGCTTGAGGGCGCGATGGAAGCGCATAATGCCGCAATCTGCCGCAGTGTCTCATGGTCAATGGTAGTAGCATTCGCAGTGTCAATCTCTGCAAGAGTGCTCCCGTCGCTTGGTGCGGCGTTGTGCACGGACTGGACGTAGCCATTGAGTGCCTTGATCCGATCGGCGAGCATGCGTATTGCATTGTAGGACGACTTTAGGTTCCCCAGAACTGCCGAAAAAACCAATATTAAATGCCGGCCAAATATGCGCAGCGATCGCCCGAAAGAGCTTAGCATGGGGGTGCTCACGTGAACTGGATGCAGCAGCATCATTCCCAGACTCGGCCGGCCTGCTGGCAAAGTCGACAGCCACGCGTTCCGCTTCGCCTGTATCGATCCGGTAGCCAGTAGGCACAAAGAACATCTTTGTCTCTCCATGGACAATCTCAACAGTTGATTCGTACGTGCTCAGCGGCAGCTCGCCCGAGGCTGCGGCCTCTGCTACTCGTGTGTTCGTCGGCGAAAGTTGGAGGAAGATCGGCGCTTCGTTGTATCCGAGGAGCTAGAGCGGAGATATGATCCATAGGAATGTCAGACATCCCCTCTATGCGTCACTCGCAGATAAGGCCATCTGATCCGTGCACCCACTTGCTGATGGATCTGCACATCCTGTAGCGTCGGCACCGGGCCGACGCTGTACCAGCCCAGAAAATCGAGCGTAGGAAAGACTTGTTTGACTGGAGGGGGCCGAAATGACGATTGTATTCGTCAGGACCGCATTACCCGTTCAAGCATCGAGCACAGCAGTGCGAGGCAACAATACCGACATTGGGATTGCCTGGATTTGAGAAAGTTGTGATTCACCTGCAAACCACCTGCGGGCGCACCAGGTGCCGCGGGATCTACGCGCATCTCGAACGCATTGTGTATCTCCACGTTTCTCCCACTTTGCGTTCCGAGAAGCACGCCATATACTGTGCGGGTGGGAGGGAAATAAGAGAGGAGGTCATTAGCCGCCTTTCCTATCGTGATCCTGATAGGGACACATGGCCACATTTACCGCTGACATTGTCGGTGCCCATTTGTGCACGTGCCCGCGTCACATGCTCCGATACATTCAAAATCGGCAAGGGATGTCTGCAATTCAAATACAATAGCGCTCAGCAGCCCATCTTACGCTTTCCAGGAGTCCGGTTGTCGATACTCACAATGTGAGGTTGACGCCGACGCCTGCTTCTCGTGTGACATCGAGCACGACGTCGGAGATCTTTGTCAAGGCGGTCGCATGGCTCGATTCTCCAATCAGTGTCTGCATGGTGCCTTGGACTCGCGTGGCTGAGCGTCCAATCAACCAATCCTCTGTCCGTTGGATCTAGGGAGCGGCACGCCGAACACAAGGCCACCGTGTATGACTAGATGACATTTCAGACATGGCTTGGTGCTGTGATTGATGCGATGCGACACGCAAGTGTGATATGTATATGCTGGCATCTTGAAGCTGCCTAGTGCATGTGCGTTCGCAAAATCGGGTTATATTAAATATTTTCCGGGGTAAACGGTCGTTTTACGGGTTCCTGTTCTGGCGCTCCCCGCGATTTGGATACCACTGATCGTCTCCCTGTAATCCCCGCCACTTCAGTGCATCTTCCTTCGCGCCAAAGAGCACTGTCGTTGGCGAGCCTTTGATCAGCACACTGGAGAGCATACCCGGCTGCTTGTACCTCCTTCCCTTCTCTACGGCATGGGTCGAGAGCCACCTTCGAGCTCCTGACGCAACGCAGCGGAGCTCATCAAAGAGGAGAGGCGAGCATTCCTTGGTCAAACTTGAGCGTTTCCAGATTCCGTGGCTTCGGACGCTTCGACGTGCGCTTCCCGCCCCACGACACAATCAGCTAAGAACGAGTCACACGAGCTGCTGCGAATTGCTCGCCACCTTTGCCGAGGGCTTGTCATCAAAGCGCATCCGTACTGCGATACGCCATTGCTCACAGCATCATCAAGGCGACCGACTCGAACAAGGCCGCATATACTTCTGTGCAGCTCTTATCGACTCAAGGCCATTCCCTCACTCCTAGGGATATGAGCGCAGCGTCCGCTGAGATCGTTGAGCATGGTCACGATGGCGAGAAGAAGGATGGGGATGCTCTAACCTCATCGGAAGTTCAGGCGCAACGCCAAGAAAGCTCCAACACGCAACGAGCGTCGGACCGGCATCAACAATCCTTCGCTGATTCGCACAACGGAAAAGTCGAAGCACGTGCAGCAGTGCAAAATGAAAACAATGTGGACGCAACCGCAGCTGGCGATAATGCTGGAGGCTACGCAAAGCATTTACAGGATAACGATGAGTCGGAAGTATTCAGCATCATGCGGGAACGCCCGGCTATAGTTCAAAGAGCTACAACAGATCAGGCTTCGGGCCCGGTACAAGGCGCACAAGCCTCGAAGGATGGCACAAAGGGCGTAGAGCCTGATGTGGCACACATTGGTGCACAAGAGGAAGCAGGCACCACGCTGAGAACAAGCGCGGCTTCGACATCCGCAGAGCCAGCGGCTCTTTCTAAGCCAGAGAATTTCGCTGGTGCCAGTTCCACACTGGTTGCACAAGCTGCCGAAGACGCTTTCCCTGCCGACGCTGCTGCAAATGACCGACAGTCAACACCGGCTGCATCAGCGAGCATTTGCCAGCAGCAAGCACCTTCTACTGCTACACCGGCATCCGGCGCATCAAACGCGTCCTCAGGCCCACCGACACCCACCCTGGCACATGCGACGGCATCAGGAATGGCGTCTGCGCCGCGGAAGTTCGCATCGGCTAGCGTGACGAAAAAGTTCCTCGAAAAGGCCTCTCCTTCGCCCCTGACAACAACTGCTTCGCCGTCGGGGACGCTGACCCTGAGCCTCGGATCCGGTAGTAGTAAGTGCCTATTCCCTTCATCGCTGAAAGATCGGAGGAGGATAAGTGTGTTGACCTTGTTTTCTCTCTCCTGCATGCTCCAATCCAGAACTGGGATCAGCAGGCTCAAGAAGCAAGCTCTCCTCGAGCAGCAAGGCGCCTTCTACAGCAGGATGGGCCCCGATATCCTATCCAGCAGGGACACCAAGTATCAGCACGAGCGTCGCAGCGAGTTCCAAGCTCGTGTCTTCGCTCGCCTCTGGGCGTTCGGCTTCTCCTGGTGGCTTACGGCCCAGTTCCAGCTCCGGGATTGCGCCCACTCTCGGGACCAATGTGCGGTCCAGCAGCCCAGCCGGCACGTCTGTGGCTTCTTCTAAAGCGGCCCCATGGACAAAAGGAACCTCGTCCCCCACTGGTGCGAACGGCATACATGGCCTCTCGTCACGCGAGGCGGATCGTCTCAAGACGGTCTTCCCCACTGCTGCCGAAGCGGCGAGTGCGCAAAAGGAGGCAGAGAAGAAGGCTGCAGCCGCAGCGGCCGAAGCACTAGCGAAGCAGGAAGCGGCGCTGAAGGTGCTGGAAAGCTTCCGCGGCGGCAACCTGAAGAGCGGCGATCACTGGGACGACCTAGATGATGACGAGTTCTTCGGCGAGGTGGTGGAGTTTGGCGATGGCAAGCAGTACAAAATCACTGCGCAGCCAACCGCATCCGTTCAGCCTGGCGAGGCCGCCAAGGCAGCCAAGGCGACAGAAAAGGCGGAAGAGCAGGTGATGCAACAGGAAGTGGAGGCGAACTTCTACAATGGGCCTGTTTCCAAGGAGGAACGCTTCAGAGATGTCGGGCACGATCGCACCATGCCTTCGGCCCGTCCGCCTCCATGGGGTGGTATCAAGCGCGGGTCTGTCTCCCGCGCGAGTGGAGATGGTGAAGCTGCAGCGACAGCCTCCTTTGCACCGGTAGCACCAGTGCCACAGCAACAGCAGAAACAACTGTTTGACGCCAAGGCCGCAACGAAAAAGGAGAGGCGGATCTCAGTGGGAGCTCCGAGCATCTCCTTGCTGCAGCGAGACCGCGCCCCAAGCGAATCATTTGTCAGTAGCCCACCGAGTCGCAGCGACGAGCCTGCCGGTATGTATAACGCAGCGTCTGCGCAAGCGCATGCACCTGTTGCTACAGTTGCTGCAGCGACTCGCGCATGGGGGCCGCTAGCGCAAAGACAAGCATCGCTCAACAAGGCTTCAGGAGTACCGGTGAAGGCAGTCGTCCCTCCGCCGACTGCTCAACCGCCAGCGGAGGCAAAAGTAGTAGAAGCGCCGTGCAAGCCCGCTGTCGCGCCACCTGCGTCGGAGCTGAAGACCGCCAAACACGGAAATTTGAATGGGCCGACAGCTGGCGCAGCTGTGCGCATGTCGCCGAGGGCCACGTTGTCCTCCCTTCCGCCTGCAGCCGCCAGTGCTGCCGCGGTGAACCATGCTCAGACTTCCTCTGCGCCAAGACCTCCGCCGTGGGGCGGTATCAAGCGCAGCTTGGAAGGACAGAGCACTGCGCCCGAGCCTTCATCGCAGGCACTGGCAGCAGCAGCACCTGCTGCTGCGCCCCCCGAGTCGGCGCTAGCGGCAGCAACTATTATCAATCCAGAAGACCAGGCGAAAACAATGCTATCGGCAGTCGAGCGCGCTCGTAAGCGTCGCGAGGATGAGGAGGCGCGGCGTCTGGAGGAGAAAGAACGTGCGAGGGCCAAAGCGGCGGCACTAGAGGCCAAGCTGAAGGAGGAAGCTGAAACGAAGGAGAGGGCGAAAGAGGAGGCTGAACAGAAACGCAAGGAGGCTTTGGAGGCACGTCGACAGGCTGCGGCGGAGGAGAAGGCAAAGAGGGCCGAAGCTGCTGCCGCTGAGAAGGCCGAGAAGGCGAGAGAGGAAGCAGCTGCAGCTGCAGCTGCTGCCACCAAGGCTTCGTTTGAACAAGCACCAGCCCGAATCTTGTCTCCGAGCGACGCCATTTCTTGGCGACGCAGTGGGCCATCGCCAACAGCAGCTCCAGGCGATGTGACGATCGCCAAGCGTTGGTCTTCCACAACGGGTGGGCCAATGCGCGAGTCTCAGCTCGCCGAGCAGCCGAGGAGAACCCTGCTGCAACGCACACTACAGCAGCCCATTCATGAGCAGCCATTTGGTGCTTCGACACGTCCCGAGGTTCCGGACAGTGGTCGATCGGACGCAAAGCGGCGACAGCAAGCGAAGGCGACCATCCCGCGAGTGGATGTACGTGCACCGAGCGATGATGTTGATCGCTCAGACCTGCCAATGCACCGAGTAGGCAGACGATCGGTTACTCCTATCCAGGCTGCACCACTAAAACCAGCGACGATGCGTCCCTATCTCCCGCCCGAGCCTCTGCTGACTCGAGCCGAGGTGCCGATGGACGGCCCGCCGGCTTGGAAGCACTTTGCTGTCAAGGTAACTCAAGGCCTTATGCGGGGACTGTTACAAGAAGCTGAAAGCCACACGCAGCGGTCTGCCGTGCTGCGGGCCAACACCTTGCGATCGCATCCGATCTACGCACTTACTTGGGATCCGCCTCTGATGACCATTTCTATCCGGACGCTATCCCGAGATGACTATTTCTTCCCGAAACGCTTCTACCGGGGTGTCGCGCAGTCGAGCGTCAACATACCACGCCGCACGCTGTCAAGGGCCTTGAGGCAGATCAATGACCTGAGCGCTTTTCAAAGCGGGTACAGCCCCCTAACCCGTTCGCCAGTCGGTGTCAACGAGGATCTCGACACGGCGATCGCGACGCCGCCATCGGAGCAACCTGAGGACTGGGGCCCACAGCGCATCAAAGTCAGTCTTCCCAGGTCTCACCTGAAAGGCACGCGTGGTATACCTCAGATTCGTCTTCCTCGTGCGGGCGGATCCGCAGCTTCGCAGGCGACCCAGCCTGCGCCAGCCACCCTCCCGTCTACCAGCTCATCTCCCTTTCAGACGGCACTCAATGCAGCCACAGGGCAAGCAGTCCTCGGAGCGAGCGACGTGCGACGCGCGCCTGGCTCCCGCATCGACACAATCTCTGCACCACGCAACGGAGTCGTGTCTCACTCTGCCGATTTCAGTCAAACTGCCGGTGTTCTCGGCACCTCATCCCTTAGTGTTGCAACAAGGACACGCGAAGAAGACAGCCCAACCAGCTACATGGCACATATGGAACTCACTGACATGGTGTATTCGACGTCGGATTCTTCTGCGCTCGGCGGTGCGATCTCGTCCCTTCCAGAGCCTGCTGTGGCTTCGGGCCAGACCTCTGTTGGCTCAGTGAGTCTTTCTCTGGATAAAAACAATGCCTCAGGAATTTACTTCTTTTCCCTTCACAGACGCTGCCTTTGCCCAAGTCAACGGCTTCACCTTGGGGTTTCCCGATGCTGGAAGGTTCACATAGTGCGCCCGACAGTGATGCAGTCAAGAAAGTATGGGCGCAGCCAAGCAGCGATGGGAAGAATGGCACTCAAAACAGCTTGAAGGGTATCACAGACGCGTTTTTGCCTAGCAGTCTTGTTCAGGATCTACGCAATGAGGAAGCCCCTCCTCTGTCTGCCAGTTCCGTCGATTCGCACCGAGCGTCCGATACGCCGCTGGACGATTTTGGCACAGCCGACTCGGTGTTTAACCCACACGCCATGAATCCGGCATCCGATGTGTCAGGTGCAAGAGAGCCAGCGCGCGGCTCTCCAGTCGTGCGGCAAAATGGCTTCGCAGCCTCCTCTTCATCCATATCCACGGCCTCGGGCCTGAATGCGGATGTGGGCGGCAATGCGGATGCTCGGAGCGTTGCGAAAGCCGGAGCGCCGGTAGCAGGTGCAAATCGCTTCGCTGCTCCTGGCGTTGCTGGGTACGAGACTGCGTCGTTCGGCCCTGCCGACTATCCAGAGGCTTACGCCAGCTATGGATATTTCCCGTACAGTATGACACCACAACAGATGAATGCGTTCGCGCTTCAGCAGCGACAATACAACGCTGCTGCTCTACAATTCGGCACAACTCTGACTGGCGCCTCGCCCTACGGCGGAATGAGCCCCATGGCTGTCAGCACATACAATGCTTTCCGGCCGCCTTCCGGTGCTGTCGGTAAGGGATACTACAGTGCAGGAATGTCCTCTGGCGCATTTGGCACCATGGGAGCAGGAATGACAGCGACGGTCGGTTGGCCTGTGGATTCGCACTCGCAGTCTCCGCACATGGCGCATGCTGCTGCTGCTGGCTCAAATTACTCTTCAGCGGGCAGGATCAGCTACCGACCGCCCCGGGGCGGACGCCACGCCTACACTCACCGTGCCTCTCAGCACTCAGCCTCTGGCATTAGCATGTCCGCCACTCAGAACCCTTCTGCGGCAGCAGATGAGAGAGCGCGCACTGCAGGCCACCAGCAGGTGCAGTCTTTCGGCGTCGGCGGCTATTATGGCGAGTCAGTTTGGTAGATGGCACGATGATGGCGATGCAGCTGCTGGTGTACATTAGGCTCTATGCACTGGGAACTAAATCGCTATAACTTAGCTTTCTCTTCCCCGCAAGTCTCGCGCAAGCTGTCATAATGCAGGACATGCGCCTATCCATCAGCGTTTGCGCGCTTGCAACGCAGTCTTCGGCTCAAGTATACTGGGCTAGATGATGCGAGACGCTGTCCTTTTTGGTTGACTGCGAAGATCATCGGATTAGGCACACTCGCGCTCGTGACGCACGTGTAGTGGCCAGCACGAGAGCTCAAGTCGAGCGTCAAGTCGAGCGTCAAGTCCTCGCCAGCCAACGCAAAGGCCACGCTGTTACGCGCCGCCTCGATGCAATCCGGATAGTTGGCAAGTGGTACGATGCTATCTATGTGAGAATGTATCTCGCACGGCCACGCTACGCCCTGCTCGGGGGAGAGGCCATAGCTGGCGGCGGCGATACATGTGATTTCCGAGATGATCTTCGCTTTCATGTATTGTAACGCTTTGTGGGATTCCGCATGCCGCATATGAAGGGAAATGGGTACGATGAACGGGATGACGTTCGTCGAACCTGGCTCAAGGGAGAGCATGCCGGTACTGCAGTTCTGCCGTGGGCCTGAACGATTCATTTGGGTGCGATGAGCTCATGAGCAGCGCACTGCAATGCATCCAGGCAGTTGCTCCACGGCGTCAAAGCGGTATGTGCGACTTTCATAATGATCTCGAGCGTAGCCCATAGGTGCGTCTGGCTGCTCAGTACGACGCCGATCTTCATATTGTGCTGCCTGAGCGCAGGACCTTTTTCGATGTGTAGCTCGAAATGAGCGACGAGCAGACGGGTTTTGTAGGAGGGATTTGCAACGCCTAGATATCCGATGTGCTGCAGTTCCTCTTTGAGAGCCTGCAAGTTGCAGTTTTCGTTCGCGAGCGAAGGGATTTCAATTTCCACGCTTCTTCCAAAGGAATGAGACCCGCCCATGTGCCAGAAAAATACGACGGAACGTGGAAAGGCACATGCTTTCCTCGTTCGTCCAATTTACAAATATGGTCGGGAACTCTGTCTGAACGTTGTGTTCATTCATCGGTTTGAATACCTCGACAGCAGCATGGACTCCAAGAATACCGTCATACCCTCCGCTGCAGGTTGCGTATCCAGATGACTGCCATGGCCATGAGCGAAGGCACTTCATCTGCCGAGCTTTCAGGGCCGTACTCTGAGCTGAAGCGACGCTTTCAGCCCGGCCACATAGCGGTGATGTTGCCCATAATATCCCAGCTAGCATGACACCCTAGTCTCCTTGCCTGTTTGACAAACCCATCGGGTGCCTTTTTTGCATTATCATCGGGTGTCAGTCGTCTCACCCCGGCCCACGTCGATGCTTCCGTCTCTGGATTTACCGCACCGGTGGGTGTGTAGGGATAAGCAGCACTCCACTGATAAGTGTGGCACAGTTCCCTCAGTAGCCGCTCGCCATTGATGTGAGGCAGTGGCCTTGAGCCTGCTGGCAACAAGCCTGCAGCAGTGGCCGGCAACCTCAACACTCTCCCTTATAGTTGCCGATTTTGAAGCTGACCTGCCCCTGTAGATCCGGAGCGACAAAGTGTCCGAATTGGCAATGGAGGTTGGACCGTGGGCATCTTGTGAAATCGTGTTTGCTGGATAGATCCCTCCAACGGACGGGGGCAACTGCGACGATCGCGTCGAGTTGGCGGCCTGCGGTGCCGATATTCTCTCAGCTGTAAGCGCCTACAACCGAGCGGACAGAAACTTCACCAAAGCCTCAAGCATGTCTCTGCTGAAGAACGACGAAACATCTCACTGTCTCGTCATCTTTCCAATGCGAGGTCCCATCGAAGTCTTCTATCATTGGGGCTTGGGACCTGGAATGCACGAGTACGTTGTCTGCATCTGGATTCCGGAGAGCGGTGCCTCGATGACTGACGAAATGGAGTTCCTAGTTGCACCGATTCACGAACCTTGTTTTCTCTTTGCACCATTGTCTGTGGTTTGGCTTCGCGTCGTTGATGACGACGAAAGTCGTATAAGTGCTCCTGCTTAGAACCTCACCTTGTACTGTTTCTCTGGTGGTGCTGACGGCCGACACATTTCCCAGAGCTCCAGGTATCTCTCCTAGGAGTACATGCATCTAATGGGCGAGTCAGCTGCCTGAAAGGTGCCTATTGCGCTGAAGCTCGGCAAGGACCCTAGGTCGAAAGGGCTGAGCGTCAAGATGCTGCCCTTCGTGCGGCAAAGCCTCGCGGTACTCGCTTCGCCGCAACAAGGCTTCGATCCACTGCGCACGCTTTCGCAAATCAGCAGCGTGCAGGCACTGCACTACCTCACGCTCGTAGTTCTCGTGCCCATCTTGTTGAGGCTCTTCCCCGGCGTATCGCAAGAAGCGCTGCGCGGCGAAGGTGGCGCGCTGCAGATTGGGATGCTCATCGACTGGCGCGAGCTGGCGGGGCGACCGACGTGGGACTGGGACCCAGTCGACCGGCCCAGCATCAGCTGGAGCGTGGAGCACAAGAAGGTGCAGGATATGTATGATAGCGCGAGCAAGGTGGACCTGGCGGCTATGCAGGCCTGGCAAGTGGGAAGTGTATGGCTCGATGATGATACGCACTTGCATTCACAACCGTCCGCCAGCTCCCCATCGACCGTCAAGCTACCCTTGGTACTCAAGCCGGATCAATTGCGGTCAGAGGGGAATCTACAAAACGGAAGGCGGGATGAAAATGAACAAAGCGCGGAGCAGCCAGCATCGCATGAAAGGGAGATCAACTTGGAGCGGTGGGAGTGGGAGCATACTCGAGATTCCAGACGGGGCTGGGCCATTGCACTTGCATGGTGCCTGAGCGCAATAGTAGAGTGAGCATGCAAGTCTTCTTTCAAAAACAGCTTTTACTCATCGGACTGAGCTCCCTTCCGATCCAATCGCTGCGTTTTCTTCCCTTGCAGCATCCATTTCCTCGCTCACCTCATCCGCCGACCAGCGCACATCCTCGACCACGTCCTGACGCTACATCTGCTCAACCTCCTCATTGCATCTTTGTACGCCAGTAGCCTCCCCACGTCGCTCTTCTGGTGGCTCATCATGACGCTGCACGCGACAATCTGCGCAATCGTAGCAGAGCGGCTGTGCATCAAGCGAGAGCTCACGGATGGGTTCAGTAGCGCTCCGCCTGGGTTCGCTCGTGGAGTTGGCGGTGGCGCCGAGTCAGACGCCAGAGCAGAAGAGGGCCGCGTGCCTACGGCCAGGACGGCGGATTTGCACAGCGACGGCGGACTGCAGCGAGGGCGTGTACCCCGCAACGATGAACATAGGACGACTAACACGACACATGTCCTCTTTGACAATGAGGATGATGAGGATGTTGGCCGCACATCGATGGAAGGGGGACGTACGGGCAAGTCTTCGAACGCAAACGGTAACGGGCATGGGAATGGGCTTTATGCCGAATCGTACGAGATGAAGGCTCGCACAGAGAAGGGCGGTCATGCTGACTGACCGACGGAGCACATCCTTCAACCAACATCCTGCTGCTGCAAGGTGCCATCGTGATAATTCACGTCTCTCCACGAACCCTACAATGCACTGTATTTCTATCACTCTGTATATGCCAATAGATCCTCAATTTGCGTACCATGGCGAGGTTCCTTTATGTATACCGCTGCCGCCGGTGCTGTCTACCTCGCAAGTGTATCACGCGCGTCGCCTGGCGCCAATCGCGACTGTTCCAGAGAGGGTGCTCTGCATTAATCGACGCAGATGCATATCAGCGACCCTGCTCTTCTCCTTCCTTAGCTCGTCCGCAGTTTTGGGGGTGCTTTCCACCTCTATTGGTCGGCGTCCCGTCGCCGTGACGTTCGAGCCTTTCGAAGCAGGGTTGCTGATGTCGCTGGCGCCCGTTGTCACCGGCAACGTCTTCTTTTTCTCCTTTGCGATGGCACTAAGAATTGTCGGCATTCCAAGCTCCTCCTCTTCGTCATCAATGTCGGCAAATGCAAGTTCTGACCGCGCATGCTGCAACGCAGGAATACCGGCGTGCCTTTTTCGCGATGACACAGCGAGCACGTATGGCGATTGCCACTGTCGGTCTTCTGGGCTCTTCACTGGTGACTTGTGCGGGCTGGAAGCAGAAGCGTGCTTGCGTTTGCGCGGTGTTGAAGGTGCCACGGCTAGTTCGATCGATTCCGGGTCTGCGCGCTTGAATGCTCCAGGTGCCGAGACTTGCTTCGCCTTCAGCGGCTTAGCACTTCCATGAGTGGCGGTGACCGCAGTATGGCCCGCTGCGATCCTGCTTGCCGGCTGACCAATCCCGATCCCGCCAGGCATCATGTACTCCCCATCATCGTCGGTGTCAAAGTCGATGCGCGGCTCATTGACGATCTCCAGGCTGTCATCACCTGGTTGTCTAGATGCAGAGGACGACGCGACGCTGGTGTTCGCCACGTCGTACATGCCCTGATGGAGTTTAAAGGCTCGATGTCTGGGCGAGGAAAGGTGGAGAGGCGAGGAGCTGCGCACATCGATCGCTTTGGCCTTACCCAGATAATTGCCGCCGCTACCTCCGCTGCTGCTGCTACTGGTCCTGTCGACTAGTACGGACGCACCCACTGATGAATCCTCACCACCAACAGCATCGGAGATTGCCGCATGGCGAGCATTCCAAGGTTGCTTTCCTGTTGCGCATAGTGCCCGGCTGGAAGCCTTAGCGCTGCCAGAAGCGCTGACCTGGTGCTGTGCCTCCCGCTGATGCTGTGCCAGGTCCACCTTGAGCTTCTGGACCTCGCGCCTCGCATCTTCCAGCTGGTCCTGCATCTTGGTGCGTTCCCCCTTGAGCTTGTCGAGCTTGTCGAAGTTGCGTCGCATGTCCATGGCCATGTCGTAGTTCTTGCGCTTGATCGCTGCGCGCTCATCCTCAGCCTGTTTGGTGCGCTGCTTGTACTCTTTGACTTCCTCCAGCATTTGGCTTACAGCCGTTTCTTTCTCGTCGCGCATCTGCGCCACCTCTCGATTCGCTTCGAGCTTGGCGTGCGAAGCGCGGAGGTTGGCCTCGCGCACGTCCTTCCACGATGCCTCCTTTTCAATCTGCAGCTTCTGTTTGGCTTGGTCGAGCAGCTTCTGCTCTTTCATCAGCTTCGCCTCCAGCTCGTCCAGCTGCTTGCGCGTATCGAGGTCGCGCGCGCGCTCGTGCTTGAGTTGCTGCTTATCCGACTCTAGCGCAGTCATCTTCTTTTGTAGATTAACTTTCTTCTTTTGATACGACCGCTCTTCCTCGTCGCGCTTAAATGTACGCTCGAGCATCTTGTTCTTGGCCCCTTCGAACTGTTCCATGGCAACTTGCAGACTCTCGATGCATGTCTGTGAATGTCCCCCCTCCCAACATACGATCAGCTTGTGCCGAAGACACAGAGTGTGCATCGCGGGCGAGCGAGCAGCTCACCTGAATTTCAGCCTTCTGATCTTCGTCCGAAACAAGCTGATCTACAAACTGAAATACCTTCTTTCCCGCCTTTCGGACCGTCTGGAGCCGCAATCCATGTACAGCAATGACATACGCCTGCAGGGAGCGTGTGAAATCGAGAAGGCTGCCTAGGAGGACTTCATCGCTCTCTAGTGACAGCTTTCCCTTGTCTGTAGCATCATCTGCGTCTTCTTTGACAGTGATGGCCGTATCTGCCTGTGCCCCCGTAAGGGTTCGTCGCGTGCGTTGAACGAAATGATCGCCAGACACGCCTTGAGAGGAAGAAGGCAGATTTCCGCTGGTAGTCACTGCTGCACGTCGCTGCAGATGGGCGTCGAGATCGTACACTTCGGTAGGATAGAGGCGAAAAGACTCTGTCGTGTCTTTGCACGACGTCTTGCATTGCGGACAGGCTAGGCTGCTCCCCGCGGCGCTGAGGCAGGCCTTGAACCATGTCTGTATGCATTCGCCGTGAAAAATATGTCCTACAGATCGCACAGAGCAGAAGAAGGAAGTCAGCGATCTGCGGTCGAAACAACGTGAGGGTTACTAAGCTGCACTTACCACACTTGAGGGCATGAGGTGCCTTATGGACGGATTCAAAGCTCTCCTTGAAGTCCTCCAGACATACGGTGCAGGGCATTTTTGACGACCCACATCGACGGGCTCGCCTGCTCTACGTCTCTCAACTTCACTCCAGGAGACCCTTCCGTACGCCCAGGAGGCTCTTTGCAATGGATTATGAGAAGCCCTTTATCATCACGTCGCTGGCAGCCAGCAAGCGATGGTCCGGCATCTGGCGCATATTTGACATCTGACGACCAATACCTCGAAAGCTCGGAGGCTACAAAAGGTCAACAGGTGCTTTCCAAGTGACAAAAGGTCGTCCGCCAGTAGACGCGACGCGTCTCACGTTGTCCTTAGGATTTCTATTGCACCGAATTGTCGGTTCTACCGTGTAAAATACCACAGACTCGTTTTGACAAGCCGCAACCCACTAATGAAGTCTAGCTTCCGGAGCTTTTAAATGTACGCCTCTCGCACTATGCCACACTACCGACAGCACCTGGATTAACGGGAGGATGCGTCCTCACATGAAGCTTACTTTTAGTGACGTCATGATCACACGGTGCTGCGCAACTGGAGACTGCCAGATCGGAGCCTAGTTTGATGTCTTGACTGGACTCTGTAGTGGTTGGTATTTTCGGGTACACAGCTGAGCACTTGCAGACAGCTTCAAGGGTAGTGCTTTGAGGAAGAAGGCGAAAGCATACAGGTCGAGAAATGTCTTCAGAGTCAACGCGACACGCAGTTGGGCACGTCACCCGGATCAGCAACACGGATGAAGAGCTGACATCCATGGCTGACCTGGGCTGACGGCGATGCGGGAGCTTACGCGATCAACTCACACTGATAGAGCCTATCAAGAGACGCCCCTTTTCGAGGTTCAAATTCGAACTTTAAGTACAGAGGCTTTCAGACAACTGATTGTCGCCCTGATCCTGTCCAATACATCTATCTTGCCACATTGTTTGAAGTCCTCTGCACGAGGCAACGGGACCATTAGCAAGACCACCGCATCGTGTCTTGAGCAGCACAGAGATGACCGCCACACCCATCTCCCCAAAAGCGACCACACTCACGCTCAAGGACAGTAACACAAAGGAGTGGGCAAAAGGAACAAAGGCAAGGCTCATTGCAAGTCCAAAATGCACATCTTGATCGTCGGCTGGGCGTCAGCGGCATGAGCGCTGTGAACTTCGTTTCCCTCCGTCCCGTTGGGTTCGACGCCCTCATGTATGACAAGTCTCCATCCGTCGGCGGTAGCGCAGCGAGCTATCAGCACTTGACGAGTTTGGGAAAACCTGCGGATGGAACAGACGGCCAGGCTCATCCGTACGGCGCAGAGCACATCAATTATGATGTACAGGATGCAACGTCAATGTTCCACAATACCTCAAGATGTTTGAGGAAACGCTCGGCTTCAAGGGTACCCAAGTCGGGATGCAGATTTTGTTCGGCAAAAGCAAGTCCTCTTCTCGCGCATGGTCTCGCTTCTCCGCTTCTCGCCGATCTTTGGTTAAAGAATGGTTTACCCGCTCGCTGGCATGCCGACCTTGATGGCTTTCCCCAAGCTCGCAGGCGTATACGGCGCCTGGCGACGCGCAGTTGAGGAGAATATGAATGTGCGCATCCAGAAGAAGCGGGATGTACTTTCCTGCATTGCTGGACGAAGGAGGCACGCAAGTGGGGAGGTAACACCATAGCCCGTCCAGGAAGGGCAGATACAGAGGGCAGGCCAGTTACAACTGATGTTGGAGGAGATGGTGAGGAGGAAGAAGTTTTCAACGAGCTGACCATGCTTGCAATGCGGACTCGGCACTCAAAAGCGTCCAAGCGGGTAGCGCTGCCACATGGCGCGGGCGTAAGTTCCTTGGGTATTGTTATCTACAAGTGGAACACGATCACCCGCCGGCATTACAACTACCTGTTAGTACTGCCAGGTGAAGTTCGACCCCGTCTACAACTCGAGCAAGAGACAGGAGCCAGGAGTCAAGAAAGTGCAAAAGTCCTTCCAGCGAACCAAAAGGAAATGGAGATAACTCTACCTTTTCATTTGTACGAACACGATCCGAGTGCCATCGAGATGAGGTTCGACCTCACTCACTACCGAATGCAGTTTTAAGGGATCCCTGCCATCGATGATGACGCGCGCATCACGCTTGAGCAGGCGCTGCCCTTGGAGCGCCAAGATGTGCCGGCTCCCGTGTTGCCCTCTCCCATTCTGCCACCCGCGCAAAACAGCGAGATGGAGCCACCAACGACGAACCACACGGGCAGCAGACGATCGATCAATCTGGATAAGGAGATGTGGAAGTACTGGACGGATCAGGAAGTGGACAAGGATAAGATAATCCTGCAAAAGTGGTGGAAGCAGCAGAGTCATTGTTGACAGATCTATGCTTTCACGGCGTCGTGGCCGTGGATGTGTATGATCCACAACAAGAGCCCCGCACACTGAGCTTTTCTCTTTCTGTCTCTGATGCCGATTTGGCAGCTCAGCGACCGGCGTCTGACGCTCCGTGATCGTGTGAGAATGGAAGATTCGCCGGCGGCTGGACCCTTATCAACACGCACAAGGTGGGCATCTGCTCAGGTTTTCCTGGGGTCTGTACGCCCAGCGGCAAGTGTCCGTTCACGAAATTCATCGCTGCGAAGCATCCCTTGAGCCTCGTCTACTTGTTTGAGCCCATGAGAAGACTTTGGAAGGAGGACAGAGATGGGGTCATTGTTTGAGTGGGTTATTCTCAGCAAAAACGAATTGTAGGTTTGGCAGATTGTACTCCGTTTGACATAAATTTAAAGATACGTCGTTCGAAGCAACTACGCACTTCTCGTATTTGTCTGCAAGCTTGGATACGAGTTTTCAACCTAGTAAGCGATTCAACTCGCTACACACAACGATCCAGGTAAATTACGGTTGCGTTTACGAATGGACCGTATGCGAGCGAGCGGTGCCTGCCTGTTCTGGATCAAGATGTTGGTCCTCGGTCTTGGGAACAGGCTCGTTAAGCTGTACGTGTCTTTTATGATCGATCTCATGCGGCTTTTCGTCGAATCCACCCGGATTCCCCACAAGCTTTTCGTTATTCCTCTCTTCCTGACCACCGAAGCGGCCCTCTCCCTCAAAAGAATCGCTCCCAGTCCCAGGTCGCTGCGAGCGAACGTCGCCGCCCTCCTCTGATGGAATCATTTTCGCATTCGTACCACCGCCCGTCTGGCCTGTATGCCCGATGGAGACGGAGGCACCGAGGAACTCATCCAGCTCGGGCTCATGGACGTTGCTCTCGTCGGAGGTCACTTTCGTGCGCGACTGGAAGGAGTCTTTGATGTACTGCGAACCTTTGGAGGCGAGTGAAGCGGGCTGTGTAACATAATCAAATGCATGATTGTATCCTTTAGAGTGTGTCAAAGCATAGCAAAGCATATATGGGGTTTGCCCCTCCTCGATGATTTGAGCGTTGCACTTACCCGCATCGAAGCCTCACATGGCGCTACAGTGCGACTGCTAAGCAAAACGTTCGATTAAAATCGGCTGAGCTGCCAAGAATTGAATCAGTTGATTGGAGCGCTTGGGAAATGAGAAAAGAGGAGCGAGAAAGCCATGCTCAAAATTCTTGTTTGCATTACTGGCTGTTGACGGTTGCCGCCATGGTCAGCGTCAGCACACGATTCATCATCGCCTGATCGGCCTCTCATTTGTCAAAAATATTTGGCTCCAACAAGCAGCGCCATATGATGTAGCGAGACAGTGTCACACTTTCTTCCAGGCATCGGGTCAGAACACTGAGGCTCAACTTCCAAATAAGCAAGGTGATGTCAAAAGGGTCAGAATAGTTTGAGGCGTAGTCTGGGCCTCCATGAAAGCGAAACGCATGTATGACATTTCAACGACGATACGGTTGCCGCAGCGAGAACGGAGCTGATAAGCGAGAATCGGTGCAACCACCCTGTATGAGTTTACACCCTCAATTGATATGCCATTGTGTAAATTCCGACAATGGCTCACTTTGATCCGAATCTGGCCGCAGAGTCGTCTCGCACACAAGCACCAGCCAGCGCACACAGACCCCCAGCAGCGCGACCTTCTTGTGCTGATCCTCATCGAAGTCAAAATCTATATAGAGAACTCGACATGGTCCACGGCTCCTGAAGCATACCTAGTAGGGCAGAGCAGACTGCAGGTAACACCATCATTCACCATGGCATTCCGTCTTGCAGCACAGAGGTCATGTAAGTCTTTGCTGCTGGTTAACCGGCGGCGCACGGGGGGGGAGGGGGGGGTGGACGCATCCTGTCGCTGTCTTCTTTTTTGAGGATGTCCCGGTCACGGCATCCTCATTAGAACTTCACCGCCTGCGAGCTACCCTGTACTAACAAGTGCTCTCATTGGCATTTGCAGCTTCACTCTCTAGGGTCGCTTCGCCCGCCGCGCGAGTCCTATCCGCACGTCTGGCCCCTGCCCCGGCCGCCGCCAGCGTGCGCTTCTACTCGGACAAGCCTTCGCCAGAAGCCAAGGCTTCCTCCTTGCTCGATGCCCTACCGGGCAACTCGCTGATCTCCAAGACAGGATGGGTCACGCTCGGCACTGGCGCTACCGCGCTTGCTGTCAGCAACGAGCTCTACGTCGCCAATGAAGGTATGTCCTGCCGATCTTCGCCGCGCGGAGTGAAGGGATTGTCGCTGCTTAGGCGAGAGACGGGCAGAAAGGGACTGACATGCTCCACTTGCGGATGCGTACATTACAGAAACCGTCATTGCTGTCGGCTTCCTCGTTTTCGCCACCCTCGTCGGCCGGGCTGTCACGGGGCCGTACAAGGAGTGGGCGGATTCGCAGATCGAGGTGAGTTTCTGCGGTTGGCCCTTTGCTACGGATTGTGGTGCGACAAGGCAGTTACACAGATGAGACCGGTGCACTGTGTGGGCTCCTACGCACGCGGTAGGAGGATTCGAAGATTGGGACGCAAAGATGGACAGGAACAAGGGAGATATTGCTTCTAAAATTCCACGACTGGACTGCCCCATCTGGATGGAGCCGGCCCAAAGGCACAAATCCACACGCGAAGGATCATAGCGAGACTTAATGGGAGGAGGCAACGCGGCGCCATGTTCTGATGATACGCGCAGAGAGCACGTACGATGGGAGCGCTCGGAGCGCGTACCTGTGACACAGCGAACACTTTATCGGATTGCGTACTGAATCTTTTGCTGCCCCACGCATTCAGAAAATTGGCGGCATCTTGAACGGCGCTCGTAAGGAGCACACCGACGCAGTGCAAGCGCGCATCGACTCGGTCTCTCAGCAAAAGGATGTGGTCGACATCACCAAGTCGCTCTACTCGATCGCAAAGGAGACCGCTCAGACGGAGAAGGAGGTGTTCGAGCTGTCGCAGCGCACCAAGATCGCTAGCGAGGTCAAGGCTGTTCTTGACAGCTGGGTCAGGTTCGAGGCGCAGGAGCGCGAGGCCGAGCAGAGGCTGCTTACCGAGGCTGTCGTGCGTAAAGTTCAGGACGCGCTCAATGATGACAAGATGCAAAAGCAGATCCTCGACAATGCCATTGCTGAGGTTGAGCGTGAGTCTCTCCTGCGCCCTAGAGCTAATCGTACACGAATTGATACTGAAATTTCCCTCTCGCCTCGCATCGACTTGTAGAGCTCGTCAAGGCCAAGAAGCTCTGAGTCTTTCGCAACCAAAGCTCCAGACTTTGTCTTGCGCATGTATTCAGTCGGTGGCACTAGAAAATCAAGAGTGACATGATTCATATGCGAGGACCCCGTCGGGTTTCACAGTTGTGAGCCTAGCTTCCACGGCTCCTATCATAGTGATACAGCTCTCCACAGACCCCAGAGATTCTGCCATGCAAAGAAACTAAGGTCTTTTACTGGTCAGACCTTGTCACTGGAAGCGTGCAGTGGGTGGAAGATGTGTGATATGAAAAGCTCGAGAAAAGTGGGAGGCCCTTGTTTTCGCACACGCGCGCTTTCGGCACCGCTGATCTCCGGGATTTGCTTCGGTTATTCACCGGATTGCACAACCCTCCCTCCAAAAATTGACCGAAATTGCGGGCGTGGTTGCGGTCTGCAGAAAGCGGAACGCACCAGAAATTTTTGCTGATTGATCCACACTCAACGATTCCAATTCGAAGCTCTTGATGCAGATTTGGTGATCGAGGTGTGATGCTGTTGGATTCAATGCGTGCATCACTCAGAGGGTTACGTCTTCATTCGCATCTTCCACCCAGTACTGGTCCGGTCTGACAGCGATCAGGTGATCGTACTTCGTGGATTGACGGTCGTAGCTGGCAAAAATGGGCAAGAAACGAGCGGCGCAAACCGCAGCAGCGCAGCCTTCAGGACTCGCAAACGGCCGTGCAGACGTGGACGCAGGTCACAAGGCCAAGAAAGCGAAGAAAGATGATCAAACACAGGCGACTGGCCAAAATGAGGGAGTTTTAGCCACATCGCAAGCAGCTTCCAAGAAAGAAAAAAATACCAAGAAGGGCAAGCGGCATGAATCCAGCGAAAAGGGCAAGAGAAAGGACAAAGCGAAGGATGGGAGTAGTGGTGATTCTGGCATTGGCGCGCCTTTTCTCGCCGCCGCCAAGGAGAACTCCACTTTCGACTCTGAGCTAGACAGCATCTTTTCGACTGCTGCTAAGGCGCCACGGCCGATCGCTCCTGTACCTTCGCCAGCGCCCACGCACCCATCCGTCGCAGAGTCTGACGGACAGAAGGCCGCAGCGCGCGAAGGGGCGGCGGGAGATGGAAAACGGGGATCAGAGGAAGAGGAGGATGGCGATGATGCAGATGAAGATGAAGAAGATGAGAAGGATCTAGATGGCGAGCAGAGTGAATCGAGCATGATCAATGGCCTAGCCGAAGAAGATGAGGACGCAGAGCTGGAAGCCTTGAATGAGGCTCTGGAGAACTTGGACGATGGGGATGATGATTCGGTGGAGGACAATTCCGACGAGTCAGACTCAGAAGAAGGAGAAGAGGGTGTTCAGAAAGAAGCGACCAGCATTGATAACCTGGTCCAGGCCGGGCTGTCGGAAGAAAAGCAAAAAGCCAAGGCCACTGGAAATACCAAGGAGAAAAAACAATTGACCAAGCAGGAGCAGGAAGAGCAAAATAGACGGACGATATTCATTGGCAACCTTCCCATCGAGGTTGTCAAATCCAGGGTGAGTGTGTGCGTGTGAACGTTTTTTACGCAAATTCAGCTGCTGAAGCGGGTATGCCATTTTTCTGCAGCCCCATCAAAAGAGCCTTAAGCGCCACATGGCCTCATGCCTTGTGGGCCTCGATGTCGCCGCGATCAGCTCGCTCCGCTTCCGCTCCATACCTTTCTCTGTCCCAACCGGCGATTATACTTCTTCCGCCGCTTCTGCAGCGGAAGCTGCAGCACTTGAGCGAAAGAATGAGCGTTCGCTGGCACATCGACAGGCGGTCGCAGCGCTCGCGGCAGAAGATCGCGGACTCAACCCAGACAGCGTCCAGTTTCTCAGACCGAGCCAGAAACGCAAGGTTGCGTTCATCAAGCAGGATCTCAATACGAATGCCACCAGCGTCAATGCGTACATGACACTCGCTGTGGACGTGGGAAAGTCGCCAAAAGAAGACGCTGCCACGTCAGAGAAAGCGATTTCACCCGCACGCATCCTTGCTGCAGCGCTCGCCGCGAGTGCAGATGGCACCCTCTTCTTGGATCGTCATCTCCGGACCGATCTTGCAGTTAGACTCGCTGGTGAAGAGACAGCTAATGCTGTCGGCATCGTAAGGCAAGCTCAAAAGGAAGAAGACAACAACGCGAACATTTTGGCAGCAAATGCACCAAAGATTATGGACCTGCTCACCGGGTCTGGACTAGGAGACGCTGACCCAAAGCGCACGGTATTCGTCGGCAACCTCGATTTTACGGCCAAAGAAGAGGATCTTCGTGCTTTCTTCGAAGGCCTGGTGACTGGGGAGCGAGGACCATGCCCGCCTTCCTCTGACATGTCGACGCCAACGTGGGTCCGTTCCGTGCGAATAGTGCGCGATCGCGCAACGCAGTTAGGGAAGGGCTTTGCGTATGTGCGATTTATCGACGACGCATGCGTAGATGAGGTTATGGCCATCCATGAGGCTGAGCAAGCTTTCCTGGCGCAATCATCGCCAACTCGGTCCGGGGCGAGAGGAGCTGGAAATCAACAGCACCAGAAGTCAGCGCCCCGGAAGGCGGTGGAAGATGCATCAGGCAATAAGGTCGACTTCAAGCGAAAGCTCAAATTTATGAAGCGCCCCATCCGTGTCTCGCGCTGCAAGGCTACCACGAAATCTGCCACTGCTTCAGCAAGGAAGGCTGTCTCGTTCGGTGCAAGGACCAACAGCGGCGCCGGTTCTTCGCCACGCTACAATGGGCAATCAAGTCCCGCTATACGCGATACACCGGGCGTTCGAAGGCGCTCGACAGGCGCGCCGACTCCTGGCGGCACGTCGCCTTACATGGTTGGCTCAAGAGACAATAAGCACGGGGCCACGGCGGCGAACCGCCTGACGGGTAGTCCGGTCAGCAAGCGTTCACAGCGCTTCTCCACCGACGGCGCCGCTTCTAGGAACAGCGGCGTCCAAGCAGCGCCGACCGGTGGTGCTGCCGACAAGACATCCGCCGAGTATCGGTTGCTGGACAAGGAGACGCGTTCTGCGCTGAAGAAGGCTGATGCCGAAAGGCAGGCGCGCAGGCTGGAGAAGAAGCAGAGAAAGGCGATCGCGAACAAGATGCTGGACGCTGATGCGAATGCATCGGGAAAGGTGAAGCTCAAGCAGGGCAAGGCCGCGAAGAAGGGTAGGCCGGGTGCAGGAACAGGCGGCAAGCGCAAGAAGGAGGAGAAAGGGAAGAAAAAGAGTAGCGCCAGCGGGCGCTGATGTCTTTCTTGCCATGAATTTAAAATACAATTTTGCATGCGATATCACATGGAGTGCATCAAGACGAAGTTGCATTCTCGGTAGAGCCATTCACAGTCGCTGTCGCTTCCGCCGGCTCCTCACCTACGTCCTCATCTGGGGCCACTTCTTTTGTTGACTCGCCATCTGCCCTGCTCCCGCCATTCTGGTTGCTCCCAACGACCATACGCTCCAGCAAGAATTGCACCACCTTCTCCTGCGAGTTGAGCTGCGCCTCGGACATTGGGCCTCGGCCTGCTTTGTTGCGAATGTCCCATGCGGGAGGTGGAGGGGGTGGATCTTCTGGGTCGTGAGACGCTGCGTGCGAAGCTTGTTCTTGCTGTGCTGCTGCTGTCGGCACTGCTTCTGCTGGCGCTTGAAATGCTGCGCCTGGCTGCTCTTCAGATACTGATAATTTGGCTGCGTCTTGCGATAATTCGGCTTTCTCGATCGCATCGACAAGCGACTGCACGACTTCCACGTGTCCATTGAGTGCTGCCCAATGCAACGGTGTATTCCCCGCTTCATTTTGCGCCAACAAGGTGCTAAGCGAGCTGGATGGTATTAGATAGTCTGCGACGCCTGTGGATAGCAGCATTTATGTGTAAACGACCAAGCGGCGTGAGTTCACACGTAGGCACTCACCCTTATGTCCATTGGCACAGCAGTAATGCAGTGCCGTGTTGCCCGTTTCATTTCTAGTCGCCTTGATGATGTTTTCCTTGAGCTCATCTACGCTTCTCTCTGCCGATGAGTGTTTCTTGCAGAGCTCATCGAACGTTTCCTGCAGCTCCTCGAGCTGGCCTGCTCGGGCGAAGAAGAGGATATCATCGATCTCCTCCTCGGCCAGCTTCACCCCGGCAACGACGTTTTCGGTTGCCATGGCTCTCTATTTTTCCAATTTGGGTAGGGTCGAGATGATCGTAGCCGATCCTAGTCCCGATACTGAAAGCAAAAGACGTAAAAGGAGGTACCTCAACTGGCAGACGAACCAATCATTTGCTTTCGACTGTCTTAGTACATATTGCTGGCCGTTTTGGGAGCTCGACTTTAATTCACGACAAAATTATCAGGTCTGGAGACGGTACCAACACAATTTTTTTTGTGCGAACAAGATCACGTGATGAGACTGAGACCTCAGCGCTCATTTGACTAGTGCATCATCATTCGCGTCGAGACGCGCCGACTGAGCAACAACAACCTCCATCCCCATCCTCGAGCCTCTTGTTCTACGCCTCGAGTGTGCATGGTACATATGCATTGAGGTCTCCTACTACATTTTGATAGCATATCTGCACCATCAAGCGGCCCAGCCCGTGAAAAATTCACGAATGCACGTGTCGGTTACCTACTCAAGGACACTTCAAGGCTCCATCCAATGAGGACGCTGACAGCAGGATCGTCGACTATGGAGGTTGACGCAGCTGAGCAGCACCCCCGCGCCGGCCTCGAGCATCTCAATGCGATCCTCATCGCTCGCGGATACATCAAGACGCCACTGGACTTCTCGATTTCGAAAAGTGAAGATGCAGCACCAAGAACCGATTCGTCAGACTCATCGCGCGGCGATAAGCTCGAGACCATTGCGGACCTCCTGACCACCATTCTCGCCGAGCGTGATATGGATTTGGAAATGAAGGCGAACCTAGCGGCGAAAGTCCGTGTGCTGGAGAGCAGCCTGGAGCGGAAGGGCAAAGCATTAGCCGAGGAGATTGAAACCAGGCTCGAGGCCCAAAGAAAGGAGACGGCAGCGCTGGTGAAAGTTGGGTGAGTGCAGTGCCGTGATAGGAAGAGGATGTAAGCGCTGATCCTAGGTCCGCCACCTCACCCTGGTCGCGGGTACACAGCTCCGTTACGCACGAGCTTTCGCGAGAGACAGCATCTCATCGATCGACTCGTGACGATCTCTTGCGGCTGAGACGGGATGTGGCCTCCATCAAGCAAGCTTCAGTGCAGGCAAAGGTCAGGGCCGAGCGCAAATCTGAGAATCTGCGTTCCAAGCTCAGCGAGCTGTCAACGCAGGCGTTAATGGCTAAGGGCTGTGCAGCAGACGTACGAGTAATCGGCGGTGTCTTCAGTCATGCAGAAGGCTCAAGGGTCGAGCTCCCTGAGCAATCAACAGCTGGTCAGTTGGCGATGGACCAGGTCAAGGAACTGGAAGAAGAGCGGAGCAAGCACCTGGATGAGATCATCGCGCTCAAGATGTTATCCGTCGAGAGCATCAACGCATTGCGCGAAGCAGGCAGGAAGCTCTCCTTCCACGTAGGTTACGAAAGGGTCGAGCTTGAAAGCGGGGATGGCGGCAAAAAGCCTTCCGGAAAGAATAGAGCTATCGAGAACGTGTTGTTGTCCTCGACCACCAACACAACTGCTTTCATCGGCGATCTCTTTCCACCACAGTTCCAGCTTTCAAGAGCAAACGCAGGTACCGAGCACCCAGCGTTCACAGCCCTCTTGGACGCCTTGCAGGAAGTCCGCCACCAAGGCGACCAGCTTGAGGCGCTCAAAAGCGACCGCAGCGCTAGTCTGCAGCGCTTACTCAGCAAGGCCAAGCTCAAGATCAGCGAGGAAGCGTGGAACGAGGCAAACGGAAGCGCCCATGCCCGTTCATCGTCCGCGAGCGCTTCAACGAGCGCGTCAAGCAGTAGCAGCAGCATCAGCATGGACGAACTGAGGAGGCAGCTGTTCGCGGCGCAAGAGAAGTTGAAGAGTGTGCAAGCTTCATGCGAAAGACAAGCACAATTGCTCGAGCAGAGCGAAGAGGCACATGTTGCCACGCGTGGTCTCTTGGAGATGTACAGACAGCGCGAAGACCGACGACTGGACGTTCCAATGCTTCCTGGCTTGAGCAACAAACGGAAAGACAGAAAAGGCTCAGATGTCACAGAGAGGCGTGAGCTTACCGAGAAGCTCAAGGAGTTGGAAGAAGAGAAGCAGAGGTACATCATGCAACGGCAGGAGCTTGAGCAAGCCAAGGCCATGCTTTTGGCCGAGAGGCCAGCAGAAGCAAATTCTCCCGGCAGCGTCGCCAACACCCCCATGGCCTCCAAGAGCAGCTCTGGCAGAATGCGCCAATCACACAGCAGCCGCTCCGGCCGTCGCATGGACACTGCACTCGACTCTGCACCCGAGCAAGGCGATGCGTCGAATGACCTAAGCTTCTCGAAGCACGTCTCGAGGAAACGGCGCCGTGACTCGCTTCTCCTCCAAAACATGCAACCTGAGTCTTCAGATCGAATGGCAACTGCGCTGCCTCGTCCCGAAGCCGATGCAGGTGATGGGACGGTCATTGACCATGGGGAAGAAGCGACGGTGGACATTTGGAAGTCAGCGTCAGCGAAACTTTCACGCTTTGCAGGCATACATGCCTCTGGTACTTCTTTCAAGAGCAGCGGCGCGATCAAGCGCAAAGCTGAAGGCGAACCCGACAACCTGCAGTCATCTTCTCAACAGCAAGCCCCGAGCTCGGATGCTGCCGCGACAAGCAAGCGCCTCCGAACCGAGCGCTCGGCTCGAAAGAGCGGGTCAAGCAACGCCGGGCCCGCGAGCGAGGATCCGCACCTTTCGCGTCCGCCACTAGCCAATCACGAAGACGTGAATAATGACCGACGGCGGCGCAGGAGCTCGGCGCGCATCGCTTCGTTGAGTGAACAGGCCAAAGACGGCGACGCAGACCCGCCTGCTGCGATAAAGTCTGCAGCAGCGGCACCTACGCGCAGGAAGCTTCTAGGCGCACCATCTATGTCTGGTACGAAGAGCTCGATCGCACGACGGGCCAAGGTGGCATAGTGTAGAAGAACCTCATGTTGGCTGCCTAGTTGCATTGAAAAGTACATATTCAGAAAAAAGTCATGTCGCACCCATCTTGTGAAGTGGAATGACACTTTCACGAAGGTGGTGCAGCATTGGCGCCATCCCCAATCGCTGCAGGAGCCGGCGCATTAAACATTTCATCGTCCTCTGCGCTTGGCGACTTGGCTTTTGGTGGAGTTGCAAGCGCATTCTCTGCCTTTTTCTGCCCTTTTTGCTGCGCAGTAAAGTAGCGATCGGTACTTCCGTCAACGACATCCCTGCCAAAGATGCGGAAGGAGATGGCACTGATAGGCGACCAAAGATCCACGCAAATAGTCAATATCGTTGGTCCGCTACCAAGGGATAATTTGAAGCACATTCGTCGCTCACCTCTTCTCCTGCTTCTCGAGCATAATGTTCACACTGTGTGGTGCACGCCACAAGGCGAGACTGAGCGTGTCGTCAAGTCTTGCGCCGATCCCTTCATCGACGCCCGCGTCCACTTCGAGGATATAGCTACCCGTGTCGGCAGACGATAGCCTCTCTTTGAGCTGCTCCATCTCGATGTCACCGAGTTTCGGGTAGTTGAGCTGCAACATGTGCATCAGCTCCTTTAGCGTCGCCTTGACGATTCTTTGCGGCGGCATGTAACCCTTCATGATGTCCGTCGCCTCGCGCACGATCCGCCACTTCTCCAGCGTGGCCCGCTCTTCGCCGGCCGTGGGGCCCTGCCGGGCAAAAATTTTGTTGCCAGAGAAAATCAGACGCAGCTTGACGGGAACGCGATACTTGTGTCGTGCATTCTTGAACTCAGGTCCTTGGGTAAGGATGGCGCGGATGACCGGGTTGGTGTAGTAGACCATTCGCTGCACTTCGCCTGTCAGGTTGCGCACGAGAAGATTGCGGATGAAAGACGTCGGCAGGCTGTATGCAGCCTGAATGGCGAGTGTTTCTCTGTGCGAAAGGTCGACATAGCTGTACGCGTCTTCTTTGAATGCAGCTGGGTTCAGTTCATTCGCAAACTCGTACGTGGCGTCTTCTTGACCCGGTTTCGAGTCAACTTCGCTCTCATCCGCCGCTGCCGCCTTGGCCTTCTTCATCGGCACAGAGCTGGACTCGGATTCCGCATCGTCAGTTGGACTCCGCGCACGCTTCTCAGCGGTGCTCTCGCTGGCAGAGACAGCGGCAGCCTTGCTGGCCTTTTCATCTTGTAGCTCATCCAGACGATCCAGTGCCCGTTTGATGCCCTCTGCCATTCCTGCTGTCTCGCTCTTCGCTTGGCCCTTGCCATCAACCTTGGTCCGGTTGCCTTGACTACGCTTATGCAACACAGCCACAAAAAAGCCACCGGTGTTCTGCAAGTGTGGATAGACCCGCATGCACCGCTCGAGCTTGAGACGTTCCTCATCTCCGTGAGGCCATAGTGTCTTCGCGACCTTCTTTGCCTCGACAGGGAATTCGGCATTCAAGTCGGCCCACGATTCGACCCAGTCGATCTGGGTGTTGGAGCTTGATGCGTCATTTTGAGAACCTTCCACTTGCAAGTTGGCATCTTCGGTTGCTGCAGGTGCTTCATCTCCCACCTTGTTAACCGGTGCATTGCCTTCCTGGACATCGGAGCCTGCAGCCGATGCCTTGGCTTTGGCCTCATCCTCGGCACTCTGGCCAGCTCTCGCTTTCACAGCTGCGCGCTTGTCACGGGACTGTCTGAGAGCCCCGAGGTTCTTCAATGGGCAGACCTTCCACTGATGCAGACCCGGACGCCGCTTGAGCTGCCGGAAAGGCTCAAATTCCGGACTCTCCATCGTGTCAATCAATTCCATGTCCCAGCCCGCAGCTTCAGCCTCCCGCAGGGCACCTGCGACAACGGCTTCATTCTCGATCGGATTCAGCGAGCAGGTCGAGTAGACCAAGCGCCCGCCAGGAGCGAGGAGCGTCATCGCACGGATGAGGATTTGGAGCTGCATTCTTCACGGGCAGATACGAAAGAGCGAAGTGGCGTCAGCGACACAGTGGCCAGAACCCGCTGAAGCTTTGCTAGAATCACTCACTTGTGCAATCCCAGACCATTCGCCATCGTCCAGTCTTTCCAGATTAACTGGTTCTTCCGCATCGTCCCATCTCCACTGCAGGGCACATCCGCAAGAATCCGATCGTACCTGACGTCCTTGTACTGGATCTCGCCATCTGCACCCATGTAGGGGACAGTGATATTTGGGTAGAATCTAGCGTCGCAGTTTGTGACCATCAGATTCGGACTGGGCAGACGCGTCACTTGATGTTTCAGCATCGACACACGTTGCGCATCCGAGTCATTTGCGATGACCAGACCAAGAGGCACAGCTTGGTACTGTGTTGCTGGGTCGGGTGTGGTGCCGTCAGGCGCGAGTAGTGGTGCATGCACTGCTTCGAGCAGTTGCCCCGTTTTGCTTCCCGGTGCAGCACACATGTCCAGGACGAGGTGGTCATGTTGGACATTGAGGAAAAGCGGCGGAATCATGCTGACGGCCTCTTGCCGATTGATGGTGCCTGACTCCGTCTCATGCACGAGCCAACCCTGTAGGCTCTTGAATTCGGGCTGCTTCCGAAGTATACTCTTCTTCACATCGAATTGCCACCCGAGGCGTCTAGGATACCACGGAAGCTCTCTTGGCGGTGACGGACGCTCTCCTTCGAACTCAATGTTGCTCAAGTGAGGGATGTGCTCTTCCGTGCTGCGCAGGATTTGCGAGGTGAAAGCCCGACCGGCGGTGATGCGGAAGCTGGTTGGTAGTGGCTTCTTGCATGCTTCGAGGAACTGTTGAAATTCTTCTCCGTCTGGAATAATCCTTTGCTCTTGATAGTATTTCTCCAATCGGGCATTGTGCAAATTCTCCTCCTCGAGCCACCATTGCTGCTTGCGGTCGACCCGTGTGTCCCCTTGGGGCCGGGTGCTGCCGCCGTCTCTCCTGCCGCCGATGCGCTTTCCTCTTTTTGCCCTGCCCATTTTCGATGTTAAAAGTGCAAGCTGATGTGCATACAGGGTCATGTATAGGGTGCCAGGCAAGCAACTAAAAGGATGAATAACAAGATGGCCCACGAAGATGCGAAGAATTTCTCACATGATGATGATGATGGCTGCGCTATTTCCGCATTCCGCCACGGCGAGTGAATGAGAACGTTGCTGAACAGACAGTCCCTAATCCACCCCAGGTCTTGGATGCAAAAGGCCCCACCTGAATACCAAAGCTACCGCTTTGGCTACCCGAATATTTTGCAGTCAGGACATTTACCAACCGCGCTACTTTTACTTTTGGCAGAGGGACGGCAACGTTCGCAAATCGCTGGCGATCGAGCTCATCCATCAAAGGGCCTCGTGCGTGGCTCCAATAGACGGACCCACTGCTGACTAGCGCACCAATCTTCCAGTTCAACCAACACCATCTATCTCCCTTCTTCGGCAAGTGCGATAGACTCGCGCCAACGCTAATCTCGGAACCTGAGCTGCAGGTTCCGCCGCGAAAAAGACTGCAAAGTGCATCCTAGTGTGGGTAGCGCAGCGCGGCGCAGCCTGGAATCGGCTGGCCAGGATGGATGCGCTGGAAGCCTTGCGTGCCGCGGTCGCGCCGACAGGCGACCTGACCAACGTGAAGTTGCTCTCCTCGTCCAACGAGCCTGTGTGCAGCGTCTCTGAAGCAGCGTCTGTACAGATCGCGGCGCCGGCCGCTCCTTCTCCGCTCTTCTTCCCGAAAGACACTGTCACACGGATAGCGACGAACAAGGCCACCCTCGCTGCGCCGTCAGACGTGACAGGCCAGACACCAACCCCGAGCGCAGATCCATCGTCCTTCCTCCCGCTCGATGCACTTATCTTTGCCATCCAAACCAAAGATGAGCCATCTGCGAGCTATGTCAGGCTCTGCACTGCTAGCGGTGCCGCAAGATTGGCCCTAGTGGAGCGACCGCCGATTCTCGAATTTCTGCTTGGGAAGCGGGACGCCTGGGAAGGGGCTGTAAGCCTGGCAGTGGTGCAGGCTCAGGCGGCAGTCAAGGTGCCCACCGCGACAGCCGTACCGACAGCAGCCACAGCGGTAGCAGGGTCCACAACGCCGCCAGGCTCTCCTCCACCGGAGCACAAGCGCAAATATACTGGCATAGCAGGAGCGGGAACTGCGCATCCGAGTACCAAGCGTGTGTACGTTCCGAACAAGGCAGATGCCGAGTTCGTTAAGCGCCTTCGCAGAGACACCGAAGTGATCCTACGGACGCGCAACGATTCCATGCGTGGGACCAAGCCGTGGGCGCATACGGTTGACTTCTCGTCTTTCCGCGAGAAAATCAAGTCTCGTCTCGAGATCATGAAGCGGATCGTCACTAATGGTTCCTCGTCATCTCGCGCGCCGCTCGTCTCCGGCGTCAAAGGCGCGACTTCTTCCGGCGTAGGGCCAATGGGAAGCGGATTGGTTCGCAAGCAAAGGGCGCAGCATCCGATCATTATGCTCAGCAACAGTCCAACAGCGATGATCAACATGTTCAACGTCAAGGCATTCCTCGAGCAAGGCATCTTTATCGCTCCGGACCAGGCGCGCAAGGATGCTGGTGGAATTGCAGAACCGATCGTTACGATCGACCATCGACTAGGGTCGCATGCTCCCTCCAGCGGCGGCGGTGACGCATCAGGCGCATCGCGGGGCAGTTGCAAGCAGATCCGTTTCCTCGTCGTCGACAGCCAAGATGGCATTCAGAAGCTCAGCGGCTCATTCGATGCGAACGCCGCATGGAACCGCGTGATCGTCGTTTTCACCACCGGTCAGACGTGGCAGTTCAACAAGTATAAGCACACCGAACCGACGGACCTGTTCAAGAACGTACTCGGTATGTACGTGCGCTTCAACAACGACCAGCCTAATGAGAACGTTAAGAACTGGAACGTCAAGGAGCTCCTCATTGGCAGGACGCAGAGGCACACCGACAGGCAGATTGTCGCGTTCTTTTGGAGGAGCGTGGAGACTTGGATGCACCAACGTAAGCCTCATCTGCTCGCATAAAGCGGTCCAGCCAAGGCCACCAGCGGGTTGGTGGGACGCGGGCAAGGCGTGCGATGACCTTGAGAGAGGGGATGAGGAAGCAGAACAGCAAGCATTTGTACTTTTAGAGCAAGACATCGCCGAAACCGTGATATAAACCGTGTCGTGGTGTGGTCAGACTACTTGCGCTTCTTCCGCTTTGATGCAGTGCCTGCAGCACCGTTCGTCACTACAGAGGAGGCCGTTGCTCCAGACCCGACATCATACCCTTCCGCTTCGTTGCCTGGGTGCCCGTCACTAGATGCACCTGTGTTTTTGGCACCACTCGCGCCACCGAGGAACGAGCGAATCAGCGCGAAAGGCCACGTCGCGAAAAAGCTCGGCTGAGGTAGCGCATCCTCGACGTTCAGGCTGAGCCTGTCTCCGCTACCGGGATCGACAGCTTCGATGGAAATGGCGCCGCTGCCGTCCTTAGTGCCATCGCCGTGGCTTGAGACAAAGATATCGACCAAGCGTCCGGCGTGCGAGCCGGACGAGAGCTGCGAAGCGATGGCTTTCTTCAGCGTTCGCTCGTGCGCCTCCCAATCTGCTGCGGGCGCATTGGCGTCCGGCCGAGGTGGCAGGTCGGCGAAGCCTTGTAGAGGTACGCGCACCTTACGCTCGCCGGCAAGTGTGCGGCCTGCACTGCCGCCACCCACACTCGTGGAAGTGGACTTTTTGACAGCGGGCGCTTCGGAGCCGGGCCCGTACGCGGCGAGTTTGGCGCTGCGGCAGAGGTTCTCCATGCGCCCGGCGTCGCGGCGGTAGTTGATCCCCATGATCAGCCGTTGCACGCCGGCGGACGCTAGCACGATGAAGAGCAATACACTGCCGAGCCCCGGGCGGTAGCGCTCGTAAAAGTAGCCGGTCCCGCGCCATTTGGGGAACCCGTTCGTCAGGAAATGATCGTATCGGTCGCGTCTGGCATCGCGCAGAACCTTGTTGACGAGGCCCAGGCGTTCGAAGCGTTTGTGCGCCTCGGGATGACCTTGGTTCCGGTCAGGGCTGTTGAGGACAACGTCGACAAGGCATGCACAAAGTGAGTGAGGTGCGCCATGATTCGTGCACAAACAAACGCTCACTGCAACTCCATGCTCTTCTTGCGGTAGGCCTTCTTGATCTCAGCGGCGGTAGCGCGCCTATCTATCCCTAGCAATGAGTAAAAGGTGGCATTCTGCCCCTCGCCTTTCTGCAGTGCTGCCTGAAGCTCGAAGATCTGATTCGAAGAAACGAACAGAATGCATCAGGCTCGGCGCTCAGCCCGTAGTGCAGTGTTTGTCGTTCGTTACACACCTCGTAATCTTCCTTGGACCAGTTGGAGGCTAGAGCCGTGCAGGCTGCTAGCAGCATAAGCAGCACCCAGGACCACCTGAATAGCATCTTGCTGGTATGTTCGACAGCCTTTGCAGACTTCCTTGTGCCTGCAACCGAGAAGAGTGTGTCGAGTGTCACGTTTGTGAATAAGAAGAATGCGACTACACTGACGGCGGTGGAGTCGATGGGTAGTGTGTTGTGCGGTGACACGTGAGTGTATCAGAGCGTTGCGACGGTAGACACGTAGAACAGCTTGCTGGAGCATTTCCAAACTCATAAGCAGAAGAGAGAAGAATGAAGACACAGGAGATTCACTTTTCCCTCCAATCTTTCTTGTGATCTCCACCCGTGTCTGTGACCAGATATTGTCAGGTGCTCTGAAAGATCATTTGTGATGATTGATATGATTACAATAGGGGATGTAAGAAACGTGGTGGATGCTCAATTCTCTCCCGGCCTGACGAGCGACGGGTCCTGCCACCATCAGGGCATCAGGCACGCACGGCACTCCACAAGGAGCAAGGCGCATACAAATATGCTGTTGCTGTTGCTGCTCGACCCGGCGGCGGAGCGCAGGACGGGCGGGGGCTGCTCAGCGCAGCAGCGCATGCGACCTCGCCTGCGCGCGGTCCTTCTCGAGCGGGTTGTACAGCTCGGCGCCTTTGCCCTGGCGGTGCCTCCTCTGTTGCTCCTCGCTCGCCTCAAAGACGGTCCAGAAGCGCAGCTCGTTCGCGCCCGTGTCGACGCTCGCGAGCTTCTGCCCGTCCGGGCTGAGAACGCTGCCAAGGATTCGGCCCTCGTGCGCGCGGTCGATGCGGTGCAGACTCTTGCCGGACGGGTACGACCATAGATTGATGCTCCCCGAGGGCGAGCCATCCGCGGAGCCATGCGTGGTTAGCAGTTCGCGGTGGTACCAGGACCAGTGCACCGAGGAGATCTGCGCTTCGGTCACCCAGGACATGAGGCGCGCGTTCGTGTCAACGTTCCAGATGTTCACTGTGCGACAGGCTGAGCCGCCGCCGGTGGCTAGAATGTTCGCGTTGAACGGCGACCAGGACATACCCTGAGCGGGGCCAGGGGCAGCATGCAGCGTCAGTTATCAAGCAAGGCGGACAAGAGGGCATCTACCGCGGGCGCTCACCTTGATGGCTGCCTTGTGTTCCGAACGCGTGATGACCGGCTCAGTGCTCTGGCGATTATATACCTTGACGATGTTGTCATTGCCGCCGGTAGCCAGCAGCCCACCGTCGTCCCTCCAGAGAAGACCGCATGCTTTTTCAGAGTGCGCGTCGAGGTTCCTTATCAAGCTATCGCCGCTGCGGATGTCGTGATCCGAAACCAACCCTGACCCGTAGCCGAGCGTGATGGTCGAGTGGTCCGCCCAGTCCATCGCGCAGATCGTTGTGGCTGTCGCGCCTCCTTCCGCACTGGGCTTGAACGTGCGCATGCGCTTGCGCTCGACGGTATCCCATACCTGCGCGTAGCCGTTATCGGTACCGACGACGAGGTACGTCCCGTCTGGGTGCCACTTGATGCTCGTGATGTGCTGGTCGCCTCCGCCAAGCCGTTCCGGCTCCTGCCACAGATCCACGAGCTCAAACACGATCGCCTCCTCGCAGTCCCAGATGTACGCGCTGTGGTTGAGCGCAATGGCCACCTGGTTCTTGACACTCCAGTCGATCAGGTTGTAGTAGAAGTCGTCGGCGATATCCGCAGCATCGAGCACCTTCTCAGGCTTGTTGCTGATCTTTCTGCGGCCGAGCATGCTTGCGCCGGACGAAGCGGTCGGGATGAGGCGCCTGTTACGCAGCGCTGCCGCCGCCGCCGATGTGCTGGACGAGCCAGGAGCCTTTGGAGCGAACGTCAAGATCTGCTGCGAAAAGTCTAGCCCGAGCGCTGCGGCGTTGCGAGCGGCATTGCTGATCGCCTGCTGCTCCTCGAGGTCTGTCATGTTCCCCGTCGACAAAACCTTGCTGTCGCGGATGGCTTCGGCGTGGAAAGCCGACTCGTCTGATGATGCGTTTGTGTGGTCAAAGGATGATTGTCGAGAGATATCGTGGAGGGAGAGGCAAGCGAGAGAGTCTCCGGCTCCACCCCATTGTGGTGGGGCCTGCAGTGCGCCGTTCACTGAGCGTTGAGCGACGAAGCGGTCCTGAGAGCAAAAAAGGGAACCACAGGGATTGGTCACTACGACAGATCGGGTTCCAAGTCCCACATAAAACACACTGAGAGAACCGTCTCGCTCCTACTAGTGTCCGCTCCTTGCCAGTCTTTTGTGATTCGGTCGTGGCCAGGTGCAACAGGCAGCTGGTCAATCAAGTGATCCTTGCTGCTTCCACTTGCACCGCCGCCGTTGCCATATTTGGAGTGTAGGTCCCCGCCAGCAGCAGCGGCAGCAGATTTCCCGCTGCTACCATTGCCACCACCGAGGCCAATGGACGCGAGCGCAGCGTGTTTGGCCTTGATGTCGGCCGCGAAGAGGTTCTTACTCCTGCCGACCGCACTGTCCTCGCCAGCGCCGCCCGAGCGAAAGACGTTGCGCGCGCTGGTGCTCCCTGGTGATTCGAACATGATTTCAAAAGGCGAGGGTGTGGATGAAGGGAGGCAAACGCGGCCTCCGAGAACGGCAAAGTGAGGCGAGGAAAGTGTGGCTGCAGATGGTGTGTTGCAGATAAGATGTTCTCTCCATTCACCTTTGCTCACCAGTACTATGCCTAGTGTTGGGATAGACGATCGATCGACGAGGAGACGTGTCGAGATGTGGTCACGTGACCAACGAGTCGTGTCACGTCATGTCCCGCCCATGCGGTCTTGCGAGTGCTTTGAAGCAATTCGGCAAATAAAAAGGCGTTGTGTAGATTTAGACTGAATTGGAGCAAACCTGGTCTGGTCCCTCTCTGTTCGGTGGAGTAATTACATGCAATATACTATGCTGTTTTGTTTTCAATTCCCTTGGCTTGGTTGGATCGGGCGGGCACCGCCTTCATCACTGCGGCGAAAAGCGGCGGCGGATCAGGGTCAAGAGGCCAAAGTCGAGCCTGAGTCTACGCAATAAGCTGCTCCAGAGGTAGAAAAGGTGGATGGTTTGTATGTGAGACAACGCTAGCTGGCCAGGCCTGCAAGAACGAAGGGGGGGTGGGAGGATATATACAAGCAGCGAGAGTTGACTGTGACAACCAAATAGAAAGTGTGAGTGACGCGGCGACAACATGCGTCCTTGCAGTAACCCTAACAGCCGTCAATCTCGGCGCGAAACTGGGAAACGCTCCGAGAGGAAAGGGCGGAAAGCGGAGCGCACCTTTCCTTCTCCCTCCGCCTTTGCTTGGCGTTCTGATCATTTTCTCAAACCCCAGTCCCCCGGGAGCACGCATATAATATAGATCCGACACCGACACCCTGTCTCTAGAGGGCCTTGCCTTGCCTGCACCCGCACACTGGCAGACTCACAGGAAACATCTCACACCGCCATGTCCGCCCCACGCTTCGTTTATGCGCGCCACGGCGACAGCATGGGCAGTTCCTCATCCAGCAGCATGAGCGGTATGGACATGGCCTCCGGCAGCAGCAGCAGCACCGGCTGCGTGACAAACATGCTCGGCAACTGGGAAACGACAGGCGTCTGCGTGCTCACCTCATCCTGGCGGTGCGTGCTGCGCCTCTTCGTGTTCCGTCGCCCTCCGCTGACACACGCATTTGGATAACACCCTCTGCAGGATCCAGAACAAGGCCATGTTCGCGGGCACCTGCATCGGCGTCTTTCTCCTCGTCGTGCTCATCGAGATGGTCCGCCGCTGGGGACGCGAGTGGGACCGCTACATTGTCCGCAAGGAGATTGCCGCTCGCGCCCACTTTCTCGCCACCGCCACCCCCCTCGAGCCGTCCGCGGGGATGCCAGGAGCGCACAACGGCGCAGCGTCACCGGACGACAAGGAGAGCAGCAGCGGCGGCCACACCGAGAGCCAGAGCCATGCAGTCGCGATTCAGGCGCCTACACCGTGGAATGGAAGGTTGACGGCATGTCCTAACTCTCTGCAGCAACGGGCTTTCTCTGCTGGTCTACCGCCAAACGGCGCCGCGGCAGCATGCTGGTCCACGCCGATACGCGCATCTCGCTTCCGCCCGACGCTCTTCCAGCAAGCGGTCCGCTCACTGCTGTACGCGATCCAGTTCGCAGGCGCATACATCGTCATGCTCATCGCCATGACGTTTAACGGATACATTCTGCTCAGTATCGTGCTCGGCGGCTTCTTCAGCCACTTTGTCAGCACGTGGGACGCACTCGCCTTCGATCTCGCCAGCACCGACCAGGACCCTTACTTGCTCGCGAATGGCGGCGGCACCGGCGCCGGCGCCGGAGTTGAATCTCTTGGTGCAAACGGTGCTTGCGCCGCCACCGCCGCAGCAGCAAAAGCGAGTGACCAGTCGTACCATGCCAGCGGAGTATGCTGTGGCTAGCTGGTCCATGCCAGCGCTCGTCCTTCCTGATTTGTGTCCTCCTCGCAAAGCCCGATGGACGTCAAGACTACTAAGTGCCTCTGAAAACGCAACGCAACGCAGCACACCACACCACACCACTCTCACGCTCTGCCCCGTGGTCTTACTTGTAATTGTAAAATAACATCGCATTTCATTGAGCCCGACTGCACATGCGCCTCCTCGTCCTGCGAAGCGCACGCAGCGACATGAACACGGAGCGGGGATGAACGATGCCACTGCGTTGCAGGGCGTGGCGAGCGCAGCAGAGGTGTCTATTCAAACAGTTCGACAGTCTCGTTGCTGCCGATCGCGACGACTCTTGCGCCATATTCGAATGGATCCGCCTGCCGAGTGAGCCAGACAACAGACGGCAGGAGAGACAAGAGCGCGCAAGGTCAGTCCTCGTGCGCCGAACACAGTGCTGTTCCATGCTGCAGAATGTGAACACTCACATCGAACGCGATATAGTCGTCCTGGTGTTTGTTTCTGTTGCGCCAGCCTTGGTCGAGCCCGAAGATCTCATCAAGGCTGCGTGCGTCCAGATGGAGGGGTCAGCATGGTAGCGAAAGCGGGGCAAACAACGTCAGCAACGATGCAACAATCTTCTCCCGCCGTCTTTGTCTAGCGCCTCTAGCCACGCACCTGTTGGAAAGCAAGCTGACGACGTCCTCCTCATCGAGGAGGCCGTCTGTCTCCTTGGCGGCAAATGTGGCGTCGAACAGAAGATTAGCCGCCTGCCAGCCCTCCTCGATGCGGAACGCGACCTTAACGCCGGCCCTCAGCAGTGTGCTGAGCGTTGTCTCCTTCGTCAGCGGCGGGCCGGGGAGGGAGCGGCGCTCGTCCCACGTGATGCCCCACGTGCGCGGGCTTAGCAGTACGGCAATGTTGTGCTCGGCGAGCTGCTCCGGCAGCCTGGCCCCTGCTAGCGGCGCCTCGGACGCGTTGGAGATGATGAGGCGCACGTGCGGGAAGCGCTGCTTGAGCGCGATGAGCGATGCGATGTGCGATGCCCGGGCCGCTTGCACGACCAGCGGCAAGTGCCCGCGCACGACGCGTGACCAAACGTCGTCGCGGTCGCCTTTGCGCCCACTGCCGTCTTCGCCGTCCTGCAGCAGCTGGCGCAGGAGGACGAGCTGCTCCGAGATGGACGGCGGGCCGCCGTAATGCGTCAGGGCGACATGCATGGCAACTTCTTCATGTCGGATCGCGCCTTTCTCCAGGCGCGTCTGCACGCCGGTGGAGAATTGCGTCGAGACGCCGCGCAGGAAGCCGTCGCCCTGTGGCGGGACGATGGAGCTGACGACGCCGTGGGCGTGTCCCCGTGTCAGGTCGTTCCCGCCCCACTGCAAGCCGTCGACGGCGCGCGCGATCGGCCAGTCCTGCAGCGCCGCGCGGTAGTTACTCGCGACGAACCCTTTCTCCGCGAACGGATCGAGGACGGCGCCGTCGGACGTCTCCTGCTCGGACGCGATATCCGTTAGACCAAGGTTGCTGCCGAACGACTGAATTCCCGGCAAGATGGCTCCGCCGTGCAGGTCCACCTCCTCTTCTGGCCGCAACGAGGTGCTGTCGCACGCACGGTACAGCTCTGCTTCCTCGTCACGCAAGCCTTGTAAGTGCAAAGGGCCCAAGCCTTCGCTGCAGATCGTCAGCTGCCCATCGCGCAATACAACGGTGCCACCCGAGGCGGCGCCGGCACCATTGTCAGCGATTCCGTGCCATGCCGCCGTTGCGGCGGGTCCCAAGTAGTGCGCGCGGATGCCACTTCGCCTGCGCCCGTCGCGCGTGAAGACCTTGGTGACGTTCTTGAAGCGGACCTCCCTGACGCTGCGCACGGGCGTGCTGAAGGGCAGCGCCTCGAACTCCATGATCTCGCGCTTGGACGCTGCGATGCGCGCAATGTCCGCTTCGTAGCGCGCCGATGGCGGCGCAGCGGATAGCGGCGCTACCGTCCCGCGCGCAGCCGTGCCGTGGCGGGCGGACGCGGCGGGCGGCAGCTCAGGCGACGGGACGTGCGCGTGTGCAAGCTGCTCCTGGCCGTCGATCCAGACCTGCACGGGTGTGGCGCCGAGGCGGAGCGGGTGGGTGTTCCAGACGACGACGTCGGCGTCGTAGCCGTTCTGCACCATACCGAGGCGATGGCCCATGCCGATGGCGCGCGCGGCGGCGGATGTGACGCCTGCCAGGGCGCTCGGCGCGTCGAGGCCAAAGTGGTGCCCTTGCGCCGCCTGGTTGAGGATCCGCCGCGAGTCCGTCACGGGGTGGTCCGACTTGTAGAGCGGCGTCAGTCCGGCGTGCTTGAGCAGCGCACCCAAGTGCGGCCCGCCAAAGTAGGCTTCCATCTTGTAGTTGCCGTTCGTGCTGAATATCGCCACCGCGGGCGGCGGGTCCATTTCCGGCGCGTACGAGTCGTTGTGCACGGGGCGGTAGACGCGTTTGATGAGCTCCGGCACGAGCCAGGCCTCATGCGCGTGGTGAAACGCGGCGACGGGGAACTTGAACTCGTTGGAGAGGCGCACGAACGACTCAAAGTCAGTCGATGTGTAGCAGTGCGTGTTCACCTTGACTTGTCCGCGCAGGACCGCGACGAGCGCCTCGAGCTCCAGCTCGGTTGGGAAGCGCCGTTCAGTCTCAGCAGCAGGAGCGGCCGTAATAGAGGCTTCTCCCGAGTTGGCGCCCCTACCTTCGACCTGCTGCTGCTGATGGTGGAAGCCGAGAGCGCGTTCGCAGAAGGCATCCTGCTGGTCGCGCAGCTTGCTCGCGCGCTCGAAGAGCTGGCGGAAGCCCCACTGCTCATCCATCCTGTTAATCCCATACAGCCTGCGCGCGTTCTCACCGCACGCCATCTTTATGTGCCGCCACGGCACGTGTGGGACGGACGACGAAGATGAAGAAGCGTAGACGCCGCCGGGTGCGAAACCGGTCGCGTTCAGGTGGGCGTCGTACGCGCGACGCTCGTCGCTAGAGAGCAAGGCGAGCTGCTCGTTTGCGTGTCCGGGTAGTACGAGCTCGCGGGGGGGCTCTACGACGCGTTCGCTGGGGCCGTGCTCGCGGGTGGGACGCAGCTTGATGACAAACGCCTGCCCCCCAATGTTGCCGCCGCTGCCGGGTAGGACGAGGCCGGTGGTGATGCCGCCGGCGACGGTGCGCTTGAAGGACAGGTCATGCTGGTTCAGCCCATCGAGCGAGCGTAGGAAAGGCGCTAGCGGCGTCTGCCGCGTGTTTGTGTCTTCCACGCTCGGCAGCGTCGGCAGCTGGTCGACGCCCACTGAGGCGAGCGGACAGAAAGACCAGGAGTGTCAGGTCAGAACAGGGCGGCACGGAGAGAGCTGCAAGGGAAGAAAACAAGAACACTCACTGTGAACATGGACGTCGACGAGACCGGGCGTGACCCATCTACCTGCCGCATCAAAGACGGCCTCCTGCTCTTCGCGCGCGAGCGGCGCGGCACCTGCGCTCTGAACGATGTCCTTGATGATGCCGCGCTCGAGGATGATGTCGACACCACGACGCACCTCGGTTCCATCGTGAGCGCCGGTCCACAGCGTGGCATTGACGATGTGCGTGCGTCCTTTGGGGCCGGCGTGCGCGCTGTGCATGGCGGCGGCGAAGCGGTCGCTCTGCGTGCGGCGCTCGCTGAATGCCGTCCGGCCCGGCGGCGGCCCCGCGCGGGCGGCAGTAAAGCGGCACTGCTCGAGCGCGGCAGAGAACTGCTGCAGGGCCAGCGGCGCGGAAGTGGTGGTTGCGTCCTTGCTAGCTCCCGACGACGGCGAAGGGGAGCGGGGGTAGGGGTGGTGGGCGAAGCCGAAGCCGAGGCTGATGCTGGGGAAGTTGCTGAGGACGTGCTTGGTCAGCGAAGCGACGTCGCGGAAGGCAAGGATGAACGCGAGGACGAAGAGCAGCATCCGGCCCCACGTTCTTCGGCCGGGCCTGCTGGGCTCCTGCTGCTGCAGTGTCGACGACGACGGCAGGACGGTGCCGGCGCCTTCGGCGCGAGGTTGCTGCCAGGTGCCCATGCTGCTTACCGACCAGGCTTGGAGCTTTGAACGTCCAGCGCGGGTAGGGGACGGTAGTGTCAGAGCCAGCTCGCTCGCTCTCGAGAGGCGTAGGGCAGCTTCCTTGACGGGGGAGGGTCCATGCTGCTGCTGCGGGGTGGCGGTCGTCGTCGTCGTTGGTCATATATATACACCCATCGTCACCAGCCAAGCGGGGGGGAATGAGCAACGGCTGCGTTGGACTTGGTCGGCCGAAACACCTGCGAGTCGACAGGGGAAACTGGCGCAGATTCCGGGGGATTTAGGGTTGACAAACGGAGGATCTGTCCATCTCCCCGGGAAAAGGTGTGGGGATTGCACCGAATAGATTCAGAGACCCAAGCACGCATCATTGCTATGCTTCTTGTTGTTGTCTTGGTCCCAGCTGGACACGGCTGCGTGCTCCGCGGCTCACTCTCCGCTGTCCCTTGCTGAAGTTACGACAGAAGTGGCCACCATCGGAGGTGTGCCGTCATGTTGCCCCCAGCGTCACAACGAGGGTGACGCACGCATCGGGGACGGGAGTGTGTCCGCGGTCTGCCGGACAGAGTCGACGGACCACAAAATTGTTACTTGCCATCCATGATCACGTTTCACCCGCCTGCAATGCGTTGAAAACCAAACCCTGAGAACACCGAGCCCGATATCTTCCACCGCCCGCTTGCTCCTACCGCCCCCGCCTCGCCCTTGTGGGTGACATGACCGACGTCCCTGCGGCTCCGTCTGCTTGGGTCGACCTGCTCGCCGGCACCGTCGGCGGCATTGCATCACTCCTCGCGAGCCACCCCTTGTCAGTTGGCCATGGAGGGGAAGAGCCCGTGCCGTGCAATCCCTTCCGAGTAACAGCTGATATTTCTTCTTTCATCTCCTTCACACCGCTGCCTTCTGGTTACAGCGACACCATCAAGACGCGCTTGCAGGCGCAAGCACCGCAGCCGGACGTTCACGATGCACGTCGTTTGAGTGGATCAACCGCGCCAGTCACAGCGGCAGCGAGGCCCGGCCCGGCCGCTGCGCCGCCAACGGAGCGTGGACCCCTCCTCGCACTGTCGCCCGACCCTCGCGCCCGAAAGTCCTATGCATCACTTCTGTCCATTTCGGCATCAGCACCATTGCCGTCGTTGTCGTTGTCGTTGCCCTCTTCATCCTCTCCTTCCTCTTCTTCTTCCCCATGCTTCCCCCCTGCTCAGCAAACACAGCAGCCACACTACACATCGGCGACACAGGCCTTCCGCGTAATCGTGCGTGATGAAAAGTTCATCGGGCTGTACAAGGGCGTGTGTGGACCCATGGTGCGTCCGCGTGGCCGCTGCTCCTGGCCAGGCCCGGTATTGCTTTCTTTCTTCTCACGTCTCACGCAATGCGCTCTGTTTTCCTCCTCTTCTTTCCTTCCCTGCTTTTTTCGGTTGCTCACTCGATCGCTCAGCTGGGTGTGGCGCTGATGAACGCCGCCATCTTCGGCGCGTATTCGCTCTGCCTGCAGATGCTCCAGTCGCAGCAGCATCTCTTCACCTCGTCGCCTGCTCCATCGCCCCACGCGTCACATTTGCCCGCGCAAACACCCGCGCTCCCGTACTACTCACACGACGGCTCCGTGTACCTGGCCACGATCGCTGCAGAGCATGCCCAGCACCACCACCAGCAGCTCTTCTCTAATCAACAACAACAGCAGCAGCCGACCCTTACGCAGATCTTCATCGCCGGCTGTGCCTCTGGGCTGATCTCCGCACTGATCACTACACCCATTGACCTCGTAAAGATCCAAGAGCAAGTACAAGTGCCACTGCAGCCTCCTTCTCGTACGCGTATCCGCCTCGCCGCCTCCTCCTCCTTTAAGGGTATCAGCACTGCGGCTGCAGTTGCTGCGCCGCCAACGACTCTCTCATCGCGAGTGTGGGGCATTCGCACGCTCCACGTCGTGCGCCAGCTGTGGAACGAGGGCGTACGATCCTCGCATCGGAATGCGCTCGATTCTCTGGGCAACACCACGCTCTTCGCTGCAGCCTCGTCCTCGCCATCATCGTCCACGGCGCTAGTACCGCCTTTGGACGCGCGACGGCCCAAGCGAGGGTTCCGATGGCTGCCGCTCCTATCGACGTCGCCCTCGCCCTCGCCGTCACCCTCCCGCTGGCACTGGCTGCACGGCATCCGCGCATTCTACCGCGGCTACGCGATCACCGCCTTGCGCGACCTCGGGTACGGCCCTTACTTTCTCACGTACGAGCTGCTCAACCGCTCCTTCCTAGCTTTATTTCACCAGCAACATCAGACATACGGCTTCGACGCTGCAGCTCTCGCGGCGAGCGGCGGCTGGACCCAGTCGATGATGGAGAACGACGCGCAGCTGCAACCACAGCAGCAGCAGCAGCTCACCTCACTAGAACTCGCAGTCAGCGGAGCCCTGGCAGGCTGCATCGCCTGGGCCAGCACGTTCCCGCTTGATGTGATCAAGACGCGTATCCAAGCCGCCGGTGCTGATCCATCCGCACCCTCGTCTGCTAGCACTTCCTCGATCGTCCACGTCGTGCGCGAGACGTACCGTCGCGAAGGCCTGCGTGCGTTCTTCAAGGGCCTCGGGCCCACCATGCTGCGCGCGGTACCCGCCAACGCGGTACTATTCGTCGCGTACGAAGCGACGAAGAGTGCGCTGCTCACGCATCATCACCTCTAGGATGACCTCATCCCATTATTATGCAGACACGAACAGACGAGGAGCAGCGGCCGGCTATAATTTGCAATTTACAAAGGACCTAAGTAGATGCCTTGCAACTGGGCAAGCAGCTGCGGTCCCTTTCCAACATGACGATATGTATACTCGCACAAAGGAGGCAGTAGACCAGCGGCGCAAAAGAGAACAGGGATAATAGTACACGCAAGGATGCTCTTTTTGAATGCTGCGAGAGTAGAGTGCTTGTACCTTTGTCGTACTTGGTTGGCGCAAAGGGGAGAAGAAAAAAGGGAGCAGCGAGAAAGTGTCTTGTCTATATACGAGCCCTGACCCAGGCTGAGCTGAGACGGACCCGTTGTGATGATGGCGGAGAAAAGGGGGCAGCGCAAAGAGGAACACCGATGTGGAAAAGTAGCGGCAGGGGGCCCTTTCGCGATGAATGACAGGAATGGGAAAGCCGATCGGCGCAATGCTTGGGACGACGGCATTCGCATGATACTCTCTGCGGCGGAGCAGAATGCATGTTGGTCGTGTGGGTTTTCGTGAGAGCGGACTTGACTGGCGGCAAGCAACTCGTGGGGAGAGGCGATAACGAGTGTTCGAGTGAGATGGGTGGCATGGTAGGCGAATGCTTTCTTGTATAGGTGTGGTGAGATTTTGCGATATAGGTGCGGTATCGTGTTCTTGCTTTCTCTTTTCTGGTCAAAAGTTGCTCTAGCACTGTGAGCCAGGGTGCCTGTGTACCCGGTGGGAGGGAATCCCTCCTCTTCTGAATCTACGCTCGTTCATGGTCATGCTCGTCCCGCCACACCAGGCTACTCCCTCCATGACCGCGCCCGATCCCCGCCTGTGCCAAGCAACGCACCGATGAGGTCGCGCGCGGTGTTGACGATCTCGACCGCGCGTCCAATCAGACCGCCTTCATCCTCATCCACATAGTCGTCTGCGAGCGGCACGCGCACACCGTCCTCTCTCCTCGGCGCGACAAGTGCGCCGGTCGAGTTTGGCTTCCGCGGGACGACGGGGCTGTTCGGCCCGCCTGAGATAGACGTGCCGGCGCTACCGCTGCTGCTCCGCGAGCGCGCGAGCGCAAACGTCGGTGTGTTGAGCGGCGTCGGTCCGACTTCCTGCGGGCTGGCGGGATTGTTCGAGGGTACGTTGGCCGTATCGACGCTCAGCTCGCTGGCGGACGCTCCGGCAGATTGCCCAATGGAGCGTTGGTACTTTTGTCGGGCCGCTTGAGCCTCCTTGCTCTTTGTCGACGCAGCGGAGGAGGCCGAGAATCCTTTGTCGCCAGAAGCAGATGAGTTGTTGTCCGACCAGTAGCTGCCGCTACTGTTCCCGTACAGGGCTGCGTCGAAATCAGAGCCCTGACCGAGAACGGGGCTGGCGGGGAAGTTGGGACTTGCGATGTCGAACGACCCGCGGTTGTCCGAGTCAGAGTCGACATTCGGGCGTGAAGCGGCGGCGGCGTAGGCAGAAGAGGAGGGAGGAGGGCCGTGGCCGCCAGCGCCTGCTGACCGCCTGCCGTTCCCTTTTGACGGGGCAGCCGATGATCGATACGACTGTGGCGACGGGGCGCCTGAGCGCTCGGCGCCTTTGCCGGCAGCACCACGGCAAGCTGCGCCATGCGAGCCATCAAAGCTGCCGGCTGGCGACAGCGATGCACTCCCGCTGCCACCGGCGGCACTGCCATTGTTGCTGCTACTCCTGCTGCGCGGCACCCGCGCGGCATCCTGAATGCGCTCGTACGACGCGGAGCTGCCGAGACGCTGCGAGGGCCGCCCGCGCGATTCTACCGCGTTTTCGTCGAATGCACCGGCGCCGCTGCTAGTGCTGGTGCTGCTGCCATTGCGCATGATCTGAATCGCGCCGGGCGCGTGTGCGTACACGTCGTCCTCGCCGCCCATGTTGGCCGATGCGATGGAAGTGTACGGCGGCGCATCGTCCGGGTGCGCATCAAAGTCTGCACCCGCGCCAGCGGGCACGGGTGGCCGTCGGCGCGTAGCGAAGCCTTTGTAAACGCTAGCAGCGTTGCCCACGTGCTCGGGAGAGGTGGAGGCGGCGCTCGCGCTGCTACCAGCGTCGCCATCGGACTGCGTGGCGGATGAGCCAGACGGTGAGAAGGAGGATGAGCCCGGCTGGCTGCCGCCGTACTCTGCTGCGGAGGCTGGTCCGAACGCCGAGTTCGGCTGCTGCGCAGGTGCACCTATACCAACAGCTCTGGCAGTAGCAACAGTGCGGGAGCTGATGCTCTGCCCCGGTGCAGGCTGGTAGTCGTCTCCGAGGTCAGGCCCGCTAAAGTAGTCAAAGTCACCTGCAGACTGCAGGTCGTCGTCGGCATCACCCCAGTGGCTGCTGCCTACGGCGCCGGACGACGCTTTGGCCGTGACCGTGGTTGGCAAAGTCTGCGTGACAGCCACAGCAGACACGGAAGAGGAGAATCGATGGCCACCCGAGCTGTTGGCAGCTGCCGCCGCCGCTGCTGCTGCTGCTGCCGCAGCGCCGGGCTGTAGGATAGGCCCGTACGTGCCTGGATCGGGGTACGTCTGCACGCCGGCGCTGAAGCCGCCGCCCTGGACCCAGTCGGTGTGTGCACCGGTGGTGAAGCCGGTCGGGTCGACGACGGCGGGGCTGGGTGAAGGGTAAGCCTCGCTGGTCTTGAGGCGCGTCGGCGCGAGCTTGGCGATGATTGAGTAGGCCGGCGAAGTGGAGCGCGAGTTGCTCGTACCGCCTTCGCTGTGCGACGAGGTAGACGAGTAGCGCGCGCTGTGCGAGTCATGCGTAGTCGCGCCTGATGACCTGCTGCTGTTGCTGCTGTTGGTAGTAGAGCGCATCGCGCCGAACGACGGCGCAGAAGAGTCTGAGCCGGAATCCGAGCCGGACGTGCGCGGGGACGACTTCATCGTTAGCAGCTCATCATCCTCGTCGCTGCTGTCGTCTCCGCCACCGCCACCACGCGAGGGGCGAGAAGTAGCGCCGGAGGCAGCACCATGACGTGCCGAATCCTCATCGTCGTTGACCAGTCCGGCATGTCGGTGCTGATCCTCGTCGTTATCCTCTTCTCCCTCCTCCTCTTCTTTTCCTTCTTCATCCTCATCCTCCCCGTCCTCCTCGTCATCATCATCATCGTAATCAAACTGAGCGCCGCTCGAATAACGATGCGCGTCTGCTGCCGCCGCAGCCGCAGCCGCAGCTGCGGCGGCAGCGGCAGCGGCAGCGGCAGCGTACTGCTCGTGGTCGATGGCGATGCACTGCTCGACGCGCTGGTTAAACGAGATGTGCCGCTTCTCGCGTGCGCCGTAGCCGCCGGCTGACGAGGATGCAGTGTCGTTCGGCGAGCCGGCCGAGTCGGTGCCGTCGACGCGCCGATTGGACACAGGCAGGAAGCGCAAGGAGAAGTTGGCGAGCGCCGAGTTGCACGCGCGGCCTGCTGTTGATGCTGACGAGCCAGTTAGCGGGGGCGAGCCCGAGTCGGACGACGGCGTGCTTGCGCCGCTGGCGCCGAGCGTAGGGGGCGGGGAACCGCGCTGGGTGCCGACCATCTGCGCAAGGTTGCTGTCTGAGCGCGACTCGTGGATGCCGGCATTGGCGCTACTGCCTGCGCCGCACAGCGGGTCCTGGTGCGGATGTCTCAGGTTGCCCGCGATCATCGCGTCGTCGCACGCCTGGCGCTCCTTGACTGCGACCTCGACTGCGGCGCGCTGCTGAGCTTGTGTTTGCTGCTGCTGCGGCTGGTGGTACGCATACGCGACGCTCGGCGGGTAGAGCGCCATCATGTCTCCGCTGCCGGGGTTGGCCATGCGGCCGGGGTGCGAGAGAATGTCAGAGATGGTGCGGTGCTTGAGGATGGACTTTTTGCCGCTGTTGTTTACGTAGCCCGCCGCATAACCCGCGGCGGTACTGCCGCTGCCGCCGGAGCCGGCTGTCGGCGTGCCGAGGCTGCTTAAGATCGTCGTCGAGCCCGGCGTCGGGAGCGTGCCGGGGGACAATACTATGGGAGCGCCGTTGATTAACTGTTGCTGCTGCTGGCTACTGTCGGCGACAGCAAGAGCAGCACTGACACTCGCACTGCCCTTGGTGCCGAGATATACCTCGGCGCCCGGGTCGGCAGTGCCACCGCTGCTGGCGGCGGACCGGCCGTTGAGCCCTGCTACTGGTACCACTGTCGAGCGTCCGCTGCTGCCAAACGCATGCCCTGTGCGCTCGAGCGTTGGCGACGTGATCTGCGGGCTGCCGTCCTTGCCTCCAGCGGCGAGGCTGGCACAGGCGCTGCCACCGTCATCGAGCCCGAAGCGCTCGCTGACTGAGGCAACCTTGGGTGGCGGCACCGGCTCGGCGTGCTCGTGCAGCGGGCCGTAGAGCCACGTGACGTCCGAGTCTTTGAGCCTGTTGACGAGGACATGGAAGGGAAGGGGCAGAAAAGGGGGGAAGACGATGATGGTGAGTACGCTGTATGCTCTGAGCTCGACTCGCCGCATGATGCCGATTTTTGCCCAACTCACCAGTTTAGAGTCTCGGGACTGATGGTCTTAAGGTTGCCCCTCTGCTTGGCCCAGGTCCTCCAACTAGCGTTCTCCAAGCGGACGCCGTTTGCGATCTCGTTCTTGCGTTTGGTCATCACTTTCCAGCTGCTCCACACGTCCTCGTCGGTCCATTTGTGGGAGAGGTAGTCGACGCAGATCGACGGCATACGCGACTCGATCTGTGCATCGTCCGGCGCCGGCAGGTTCGACGCGACGGACGGATACGGAGCGGGTGCGGACATCATCTTGGGCGAGCTTGTGTGCGCTTTGCGAGTGGCCCGGTAGAGCTCACGCAGAAAGGATCAGAAGGGTGTGTGCGTGAGAGAGAAAGAAAATGGCCACAAGGGCAGAGCAAATAAGGCAGAAAAGCCAGCCAGCTGGCCAGCTAGCTAGCTCGCCCACCAGCTTGCACCTCGATTGCTTGCGTCCCCTTCCGCAAAAGCTTGACTCGGCGTCCTTGCTGGCGCCCCGGACAGAGTGAAAAACGATGCCTTTTGAGAGAGGTCAAGAACAGACAGGCAAGCACGTTGATTGGTCCGGTTGCTGCGAGGTTGGCCCAAGCGAATGCGTGTGTCTTGTTTTGAATCAGAGGGAGAAGGGGAGAGAGTGAGAGGGAAAGACAAAGGCAAGCTTGCTCAATGTCCTCTGCTCGGACCCCGTGCGGTGCGTGCAAGCAAATGCTGCGGAGGAAGAGTGGAATGGCCTGCTCGTCGCCGCGAGTGCCAAGTGTCACCGACGGTGGCGTGTGTGCCTGTGGATTGGGAGGCGTGATGGTAAGTGTAGGTGGAGGTATGTGCAAGAGGGAGTGGCGAGCTATGGATGGATGACCTCCTCCATGTACAAGCTGCTGCCGGTGGCTACTTGTGTGTGTGTGCAAAAACGGCAATACCCTCCCGCCTTCACCCACGGCGGCGGAGAGACCAACACACTGCTGTGCCGCCCAACTTTTCTATCGTAAAGACAGACACCACACTACACTCTGTGCCAGCCATGCAATCAAGCAACACAGCAAATCGCCAATCAATCAGCAATCTCACCCTCTCGAGTACAGAGTCCCTGCGCCACGCGCCCACCCCGCTGATGAGAATCCTCCAGGCCACCACCCCATGCTCAAGCGACGCACCACCTTTCTGCTCTTCTGTGCTGTCCAACTCCATGCACCGGCCGAGTGCTGTGCTGTGCTGTCGCCGCTCGTCGTCACCGCATCGCATCGAACAAAGGCGGCCGAGGAAGCGCGCGCGCGTGGAATGCCGAGTGCGCAACAGCAGCGCTGTGCCACGTCCATGTACATACTCGTAAGCGGACAGCGGTCTAACTGCGCTGGTGCCGCCGTTGCCCCCTCCCGCCTTCACTCTATCTCTCTCTCGCTCTCTCTCCCTCCGCCCGCCTGGTGGAACGTGGTGACATTCCCATCCAATTTTACGTGATACGGTTTCGACTGCGAGCGGATGCTTGCTCGGCGATGGTTCGGCTCCCCTGGTTGGACGCGGGAAAGTGGCGGCTCCCCGGACTGCTCGACGTTTCACCCGCTTTTCCGCCCTTCAACACGCTCAGAGTCTAGTGGGTGTTGCACGACAGGACGCCAGATGGGTATACAAATAATAGGGTTCGCGGATATCTAGTTCGAGTACATACATACATACCTCGACGGATCATCGCATGCTCGCACAGACCCAGCGCACCGCTCACTCAATCCGCCTTGTGCAGGCACCATCTAACCATGGACTCGGGCAGCGCCTCCTTCCGCTCTCTGTCCTGTGCAACCTGCACGATCAACGGAGCCGGAACACCAAGGCGCACCTTGACAAACTCGAGCGCAGGCGCTCCCCCTCCTCCAGAGGGCGCGGCGGACGCCCCCGCGGAAGCTAGCGTGGTCGACGAGAGCCACGGCTTGCGCAGCGACACAGACACGCTCAGCGACGTGTTGATCTGCTCTGGTAGCAGGTACGCGAGCATCAGCAACCGCCGGAAGGCCTGTAGCGAGTGAAACGAAGTGGGGAGGAAAACCCACGCAAAAAGTAGCGTCATGAGCGAATTTGTCACAAGAGGCTAGCGGAGCCCGGCAGGAAGCGCCTGCCACCCCTCTTGCTCACACACCTTGAAACACGTAGCGCGATCATGCAGCCCCGTCCTGTGGGCCTGTTGCTTTTGCGGCTGCTGCGCCCCAGCGCCCAACAGGCCCGCATCCCTTGCCCTCTCCCGCGTGCTCTTGAGGTACCCGCGCTGAACCTCGTTCCGCAGCATCTCAAATGTGAACACCCTCCTGTCCCGCGCGACGGACAGGTGCATTGCAGCGATCAGCAGAGCCATCTCCGTATGCGTCAGCGCCAGCAGCGTGCGCAGCTGCGCGTCATCCCGCCGCCCGAGCAGCACGTAGCGCACGCCTGACGCAGTCGGAAGCGGCTCTGAGGGTGTCAGCCCGGCCAAGACCAATAGCTGCAGCGCTCGGCCGGGTGCGTGGTGTTCATTCATCAGCCTAAATGCTCGAGGGGCCGCAGCCGCCATCTTTGCTCCGCTTGGCACTCACCCAAGCCTGGTAGAGAGAACCAATATGGTTCTCCAGCTCCCACTCATGCTGCAGCAGGCTCGCGACGCCCGCAGACTCGAGCGCAGCGCGGCATGCTGCATTCCATGTGCCGACCCATGCACGCCAGCCAGGCGCATCAACTCCTTCTTCGGTCTCCAAGAGCGGGTGTAGCGCCTTCTCTTGCCAGCACTCCAACGTCTCTGACGGCCGACAGTGGATCACGCGGTGCGAGAAGCGCGACTTGACGCGCTTCTCCAACAGGTCCACAGTGTCCTGAGAATGAAGCATCGCATGGCTCAGCAGATGCAGCCTTCGCACCATGGACTGCCTGCGGGAAGGAACATACCAATCTCGTAGCAGTGGCAAGCACAAACAGCCCAGGACGGTACGAGCTGCTCTGCACCGCGTCCAGCAGGACATATAGAAGTGCCTGCTTGGGCCGTAGAGCGAAGTCGTCCATGTTCTCGAGCACGACGATAATTGGCTTCTGCTTCTGCGACCGCTTCTGCTCGGATTGCGTCGTTAGCAGCGATAGTAAGTGGCTCGTCATGGTCGAGATTGATGACTGCATAAAGAGAAGACGTTAGCTCGTATTCATCGCAATCACTCTGCACGCTGCTCACTAGCATCGAGCTCTCCGCCGCGGCGCGAGCCGCTTCGATCTGCTCGTCTTTAGCCTTCTTGCGTCTTGCGCTCAAGCGCTCCTGCGCCAGCTCGGCCCCGTCGCCGTCTGAGCCGACGTCGCAATCGATGTCTTCCACACCGTCCTCTTGCAGCTCTTCCCCCTCCTCGTCGAGGCCTGCCTCGGGCTCATCGTCGTCGTCAAAGTCAATCTGCGAAGCGTAGAGCTCCTCCAGCGCTCCGCACGCTACGAGCTGCCGCACGAGCTCACGCAGTGCGACCTTGTCTGTATTGTGCAATATCGATGTGAGCTTTACCAGGTTGAATTGCGCAGGCTGCACGTCTTGCAAAGCAGCTTCGAACACCTGTAGAGCCGAAAGCGAAGTCAGCATCCAGTGGCCAGGCCATAAGAAGAGAGGGGAAGAGCTTGTGTACACACAGCTGTTTTCCCCGAGCCTGGTGGCCCAAGGAGCAACGCGCTATTGCTTTCGCCTTGCGACAGAGCCTTGAGCATGTTCACCAGCGCGCCTCGCTGCTGTCCCAAACGAAGGCAAGAGTGACAGAGCCGCAGGCGATCGCGCGCTCGCTGTTTCGTTAGTGCGAGGCACTTGGCGTCGTCCGCCTCGCCTGGAACTGGTTCAGCTGGTAATCTGGGCGCATTAGCAGCAGGAGCAGCAGTGGTAGTGCCGTTCACGCCTGCCATACCTGTGTGCTGACAGACTTCTTCTCCATCACCACGGCCATTCATTCGCTGCCGCTTGCTAGGAACAGCGCCTGGCTCGTCACGGTCATGCGCCTCTAGCGCAGCTGGCGAAGCGCCCGCGCCCGCCTGGCGCACAGCGGCTTTGCGTGCGGGGAGCTTGCGTTTCTTTGGTGGCATTGTGCGCTACTGCAGCCAATGTGCCGGTGCTGCCCCCTCCAACGTTGGGATTTCATGAATATATCATTAAGCTACAGTAATGACGGTGAAGGTGTGTGTGCGGAGTGCAGAACCAAGAGCCAATGAACCAGAACTAACTAGAACCCGTTCGGTTTGGTTGGATTGGGACCAGTATTGAAGTTTTCGGTGGCGTGGGACGGAACACAAACCTGCGAATTTCCCCGGATTTGCCATCGGAATCACGGGGAAGATGCGGTGGCGACATGTAAGCGGAGGCCAGCCACAGCGCAACGATCCATGGCAACAGAAAGGCATGAAGTCTCAAGACACAAACATCTGATGATTGATACGTGGACGGCTTCATGCTGTCAGAATGGTTTCTTGTTAACATTGTTTCCATTGTTCGCAGGGCGGCAGCGTTGTCTACGCTATCGTCGCCACATTCAGCTCCAGCTTCTGCCTCTGCTTTCTCACAATATGCACGATGGAATTGCGCGCATGCCTTTGGTTGTTGAGCCTACATGTGCACGATCAACGTAGCCCATGAAACATATCCACTCTGGTTTGAGCACCTCTTCTGGTTGCCGAGTGCGTTGCAATCACTCAACTTCAAGGTGTCATATTCTTTCAGCGCCGTCCCCCACAGATGAACAACGTGATCGTGAATGTCTGCCCCTACATGAAACTTGCCACAGCGAAAGAACCTCCCCTGATCCTCCTTAGTTGCCTATTCGTAGTTGCAAGCATTGCCTCCGCCAGGCGGAGCTTCGAGTGCTGATGGATATCCAGTCCCTAACTTCGAATTGACCTGGAATGCTTTCGGGGCGAGTGGCGCTCAATTTCAAGCCTATGGAATGTTCCATGAATGGCGGATGTAAGTAGAATATCTGGGCCGCCAAAGAAAGTGATTCGGCGCATGTCACCACTGATCGATGCAAAAGTGACTCTCATTTCTTCCGGCATGGTCTTACCGCCGTTCAAAGAGGCCAGCTCCCGCGTCACCAATGTCCCAACTCCTCTGGTTTATCATGTAGACCAAGAGAGCTGGTGTATAGCAATAGAGGCCGAGCACATCGTGCTATCGTAAAAAGCGTACGGTTGAACTAAGTGTCGAAAACGCATCCAACCTCGCAGAACAGTTTGGCCCCTGTGGCCCTCGTTCACTGCAAAAAAGATTCTCGTCTCATGTTGAAGGTGCAATTTTTGGTTTGGGTCCGGCAGGAGAACGTGCTCCTTGGTATCCACTACACGTGGTACAACCTGTGACTGACCCTCTGCCTTTCGCTCAGTCAAGACTTGCCGCGGGAAAATCGCATCAATAAGGCGATTGCATGTGGCGGTAACGAACAAAGACGGACGGCCATGTCCCCGTGCCAGGTTCGTTGAGTCCTCTCAATCGATATACTTTGAAACAGTAGCAAAACTCTCGGTGGAAGATAGCGGGGAAAATGATCAAGGTGCTGGCGTCCGTCACACAGTCACCTTCGGCATGAAGATCGTTCGAAGTGCAAAAGTGTCAA